TATTTCAGGTATAGATCGTCAATATGAATAATAACCTGCGGGATGATAGTATTGCTGCGGCCTTATTGGAAGAAAATGAATCTTTGTCGGATGATGAAATCTTTCTGCCTTCTAGTGATGACGAATCGGATCATATCAGCGAAGCTTCTGAAGTTCCAAGTGATACGGACGTGGAAGATGCCGAAATAAACATTGAACCACATTCAGATGATACGACATCAACACTTCAACCATTTTATCTAGGAAAAGATGGAAGAACAAAGTGGTATAAATCGCCACCGCGAACCAATGTTCGAACAAGGGCCGAAAATCTTATTACTCATTTGCCTGGATGTAAATATGCAGCTCGACATAAAAAAACTCACCAAGAATGCTTCGAGTCCTTTTTCACTGATGAAATCGTTGACATTGTTTTGAAGAATACGAACCAGAAGATTTCTTTGAGAATGGAGAACTCTACGTCTAATTCAACATACGGGGAAACTGACAAAGCTGAGATAAAAGCCGTTTTTGGGCTGTTGTTCTTGGCAGGGTTGTTTAGATCTGGTCGGCAAAGTCTTATAGACTTATGGAGTAATGACGGCACAGGAATTGAAGTATTTAGAAATACTATGACGAGGCAAAGATTTTCGTTTTTGATAAATAGCTTGAGATTTGATGATTCATCAACTCGTACAGCTAGAGTGGCTGACGATCGCTTGGCTCCAATTCGAGATATTTTTGAAATATTCGTCAAAAACTGTCAGAATGCCTATACACCGTATGAATACTTGACCATAGATGAAGAACTCGTGGCATTTAGAGGAAGATGTAGCTTTCGTCAGTACATACCATCCAAGCCAGCTAAGTATGGGTTGAAAATTTACGCGTTAGTGGATGCTAAAACATTTTACACAATGAACTTGGAAATTTATTGTGGAAAACAGCCTGACAACAGTCCTTATACAGTGAGTAATAAGCCTTTTGATGTTGTCGATCGTTTGGTGAGATGCGTGTCTGGATCAGGAAGAAACATCACCATGGATAACTTTTTTATGAGTTATGAAACAGCTGAAAATTTGCTCAAAAACCACAAATTGACTGCCGTTGGTACACTAAGGTCGAACAAGACATGCATTCCACTCCAGTTCAAGGCTCGACGTGAAGAAAAATCATCTGTTTTTGGATTTCAAAAAGACATTACTATTGTATCCTACATACCAAAGCCGCGAAAATGTGTACATATGATGTCCTCATTACATCATGATGATGAGGTGGATCCAGAAAGCGGAGACCAAAGAAAACCGTCTATCATCACATTTTACAACTCGACAAAAAGTGGAGTTGATGTAGTTGATAAACTTGCGAGAACACACGATGTCTCCCGCAACTGTAAGCGCTGGCCTCTTACCGTATTTTTTTCCATGTTGAACCATGCTGGTATAAATGGTTTTATTGTGTATATGCTGAATAATGGCATTGAAAGGAACAAAACCAATCTAAGGAAGAACTTTATCAAGCGATTGGGACTTTCTTTAATCGAAGAGCACCTCAGGAAAAGAAAGGATAATCCACATATACCACGAGAAATAAGAAGACGTGTGTGTGAAATGCTGAATGAAGAAGCTCCAGCACCACCACAAAAGCAACCAAGAAGGTCTCAGCGATGTTCTTTCTGTCCAAGAAACAAAGATAGGAAGACTCTGAACGGATGTTTCAAATGTAATGTCGCGATATGCAAGGAACATGCGAATTTGATGTGTCAAAATTGTACTGATTTACATGACGAATGATCTCGCTCAAATAGCCATAAAGAGCTAATTGTGATGTTTTTTATAAAGCCAAATATAGTTAGTTTTAGTATAATAAGTAAAATAATTAAGATAAGTATGAGAAATTTTTGTTAATTTTTTATTCCACCTAATAACATTTTGTAAGATTTATGGAGAGGTTATGTAATTTTTAAGTTTTTTTTATAATAAATGTTTAATTTGCTACTTTTTGTACTTCATTAATTAGATTTAATTATACCCGTCACAAAAAACCCATTCAAACTTATTACATAAGATTTACACACAGATTAGAGATAATCTCTTGTGGGGTTAATTTTACCCCACGTTGTATAGGTGAGGATTTTTTTTCACCTTGTATGCCGAAGGATAATAGACAGTTTGTGCCATACCATTTCATTCGTAATATAGCGGTACTCAAGCAGCAAGTATATTTATTTCTCCCTATTAACAATAGTTCAGTGGCGTACGAGTTCGGGATATTTAAAATAAATAAATATAAAGAACAAAAGTGAAATGGCGTGCGGAAAATTAAACGAATTTGACATTAATTCCGGGGACTGGACATTATACGTGGAAAGGTTACTCCGAACTCTGCTATCATAAAAGAATGTAAGGATGTTTTATTGAGAGACCTAAAAAGGACCTAAAAAGGAGGTACAATATGATTGAATTAAACGACCATGGGGCCATTGCTACACTTTTACATTCAAGGTTTAAAAACTTGTATTTCCAAGACCCCTCTGCTATTCAAAAACTTATAATCATGGCTGTCTGACAATTAAGTAGCCCAAGTGAGTCGGAAAACGATGTCTCATCTATTGCAACAACAGAATATGATTTTTGGAAACTTCATAATGACTTAGGACATAGACACAAAAAGAAAAAAAATCTCAACGGGAAGATGAAGTTTCTAGTTTTTTATCAAATACAGTAGTTTCTCTTAAAAGCAACCCATTTGCAGAATGAATGACATGATTGTTTTTCCTTGTCTATACAAGTATGTGCAGCAGTATTTAATAGTTAAGAGTTTCTTTAGCCAGGGGTGTTGTTAAGCATCGAGGTGGACAGTCAACTTATTTATTTATTTGTTTGTTTTTGTGTTATGTGACAGTGTAATAAGTGGTAGTTTAATTAAAATATAATTATCTTTATACGGTGTAATCAGAGGACGCCTTAGGTTCTGGGTAAACTCGGCTATTCTACACGGGTCTGACTCAGCAGTTCCGTGTGAAGACAGTTTTTGGTTTTATATTTCTTTTATGTTTTTAGATTATAAGATTTCTTTTAGGTTAAATTAATGTCACTATTTGTTCAACCTTCGTGCAACATAGTCAAACCCTAGTTGTAACTTACTTTTAATTAAATTAAGTCAAATAATTTTGGTTTCATTGCATCCACCGACCGTCGAAATCATAATTTTTGTTTGTTTGTTTGTTCGTTTATTTATTTATTTTTGACATTATTTGACAGAAGTCCTGGTATGGCCGGCCAGGACTGGTTTCATCATATTTTGAAAAGAACTACTTTATATTTTGGAAACAGTAGTCAATAACAACAATTTAAGAGGAAGACCTGAATGTGTATACAGTGTTGATGAAACGGGAATGCCACTTAGTTGTCACCCAACATTATAGCCCAAAAAGGTGCTGAAGATGTTGTCAGCATGACCAGTGTTGAACGAGGTGAAAATATAACCCTTCTAGTCTGTATGAACACAACAGGATAGTACAAACCTCCATTTGTTTTATTCAAAGGTGTGTACAAACATAACGATCCCATAACAAACTCAGATTTCCATTAATACCTATCAAATCAATACCCATTTTACCCATTCAATAATACGAATTTATAAAAAATATTTTTACCACAACAGCATCACTGTTTGTAATGACTATTGGTTTGTACAACTAAGTATGAATAGTATCTTTAATATCATTGTAATAGATTTTGAATGTATATTATGATATTGTCACAACAGTGATATGTTACCATTGCCAGTGGGAACATCACTGTGCATAAGAATCATGTGTAAAATCAAAACCTGTATCATATATCAGGTTTTCTGAAGTTGGTATGTGAATTAGAATTAAGATTACAGGGAATTTCTTCTGACATATAAATTTTGATCACCAACATAAACAAAACAGCAGGTTTTTGGATTATAGTGTCATAATTTTGTTATTCTAGTTATTTTTTCACGATATTATGAAGCCATAAATTTTTAAATCTCCAAAAGTCTTTCTAACCTGTGAAGAATGTTTTGTTCTAACTTTGATATTTTTTTGATTAGGGTCAGAAGAAAAAAAATTGTGTGCGTAGTTTTAAACGCATTTTCTCAATGTTTTCGTTTGACGACTTCAAACAATTTTTTACTTTAAGAAAAAACTTACATTTTTATCTTTAAAATTCACTGCACCTACCTATCGCGGTTTTAAACATAGTTTGTCACGCGGTTTGAGAATATAACCGATTTAATGTCTTTTACTAAGTTAGTTGTAACGTTTGTTTTTAAGCGCAAATTAATATTTAAAATAAACTTATATGAATAAGTTGCATATATAAAATCCAGATCAATTATTATTATTGTTTTATAATATGGAAATCCAGATCAAAAGCTCAGCACTAAACTTAAATACTTACGTGACATCTGATATATGACAACCTAAAATGCTAAGAGGGAAAACAGACTAGATAAATAACGATTCAAAAAATATATTGCTCTCATCTCAAGGCAAGTTGTTTTTGTTTAAATTTAGTATAGTTTGTAAAAATTAGGATATATGATTTTGTATTTTTATTTCTTAATAACGTTAAAAATATATATTTTTCTAAAATCTGTCGGTAAATGTATTTATATGATTATTAAGTTAGAAACTGTTGTGTAACATTAATGAAATAAATTGAACTTTCCATGACACTTCGAGTGTATTTAAATAAAATTGTGTCAATCATTTTATCGTTATATAAAATTAAAACAAATATACTTTTTGTTTTTCGAAAAGATAAGCAGTTCTGACTAAGTCAATGTCACTGTCACAAGATTTAACTTCTTTCAATGGTAACTTCAAAAGTAAAATTATTTACTAATGGATTGTCTGTCACTACTCATTTAAATGAAAACCTTGCCTGATTACACTCGTCTTATCAAATACTAATCACACACCGTTCGCAATTGTGCTAGCGTTGAAAAATTATTCTGTGTTAATATTTGGCTGAAATAAAAGAAAAATGTCACAATCTCGCCTGAAATCTTGTATTCCTCTGCCGATTGACCACAAGATACTGGTGTCTGTGATAGAAAAAGCGAAGGACTGGGCCCTGATGCACGGAGTCGGGATGCGAGATAAAAAACATTTTAACAAAGATGTCATTCAGGTATTAAATTATATATATTTGCGTTCTTGTGTTTAAACATTTGATAAACAATGTTAGATAGATAATAAATCCATTAAGTTTTTATTTGTGTTAATTCTCACTGTGATGGAACAATATAAGTTTTAATTGATTATAATAATTGGTTATTAATTGGGTTGTTAATGCTCTCAATATATTATCATCAGTTTATTACAAAAAATATTATTAATTTATATTTCAGATTGCACCATTTGTTCTCCTGCCATCACCATTCCCTCGGACAGAGTTTAATAAAGCAGTAGAGCTACAGCCAATATTAAATGAATTAATGCACAAGGTAACAAAATAAAATACAAACCATGAAAAAGCTAAATTTTTGATGATTTCTAAGAAAATACATCAAAGCAGAGATATTTTAGTATATTTTTTATCTATTTTACTTCAAGACACAAGTAAATAGGCACTTACTGATATAGGGTACTCGCTAGGCATTATTTCCACCTATCAGATGAAACGATAATCTAGCAATATCCAATCAAAATATATAAAACTAGCTTTCCGCCCGCAGCTTCGCCCGCGTGTAGTTCGGTTATAACGCGTTTCCAAGAGAACCTTTCAAAAGTATGGGATAAAACTATGCTTTGTTCTTTCTCAAGGTGAACTCTATCTCTGTACCAAATTTCATTAAAATCAGTTCAGTGGTTTAGGCATGAAAGCGTAACAGACAGACATATAGAGTAACTTTCGCATTTATAATATTAGTAGGGATTTATGTTGATTTGACTCTAATATGTCCAAAGTTTATTCTTTAGGTTGCACATGACGATGAATTTCTGGAAAAGACACTACAAAATGCACTCCAAGTTGATGAGTTTACAGCCAATCTGTTTGATATATGGGTTAAAGTAAGGGAAGAGGGTATAACTCAGGTAAATATATTCATTTTAATAATATTATATCCTTTGCTATGAAAAATAATTTTAAAAAAGCACATCACAAGGGTGCAATTCCTTTAACATAAGTCGATATTGTATAGTGGCTCACTACTGTTTAAAATAGCATGATAAATGTGTTAAACATCAAAAAAATTGCATGAAATTTTTTATATGTGTAAAAATATCGATATTAAAATAATAAATTGTACTTATGTATGAATGAATGTTGAATATTCATTCAAACTGAACAAAATTGGCCGAGCCAAAATGAAATTGGTTTAATTTGGATGAAACAAGTTTGTATATTGTCATATAATGGTCGAATCTGGGTGTATGGACATGCATTGAATGAAAAATGTGTCCGGCACAGCCAATATCACTAGGAATGCTGAGATCTGACATCATGTTGGAGTCGAGATGTCCTCATACAGAGAATCAATGCGCTAAACACACACCATATTGCTCATGGAAGCAAGTGGAGATAAATAGTATAGCATCTGGTTTCGGACATCTTGGGCCGGTTTCTAAGGATATACAGAGGTAGTTCGGCCAAAGGCTGGTGAAAATAATGATTATGTTATTTAACATACGCATAATGTAGTTAGATTAAGGCTAATTGTCAATACATTTGTGAAAACAATGGAATGAGACTTGAAATACATAACGCAATATTTGTCTTGTTTTTCATCGAGTTTGCGTAATTTTTAAAACCTCAGGATGACGTAATTTTCACCTATTTTATTTTCAAGTGTCATTCATTACAAACTTGTGTATGTAAAAATGTATTTTATCATAGTAATGCAGAATGTCTTCATGAAATCAATATATGTAATTTATTAACAATAGTAATGGTAAATTATTAATATGGGGAATTAATTTTACTGAGTTTCATACAATGTGTCATTCATAGAAACTTTTATTTTATTTCAAATGCATAAAATAACAACTTTAATGTCATACCTAATCGACATTACGTGATATGTCCATTGTGTTTCTATATTAGCTAATTGTCTCATTATAATTAACTAAAATGTATTAGTTTTGACTCAAATATGTTGCGTCATTAAAATATAGTTGTTTATAACTAATCTTACAGTTTGCGGACATGAAAATCGTTTGTCAAATAGTGTGTTTGTCAAACATCAATATTTACACGACACAATTGTTATGGATTTTGTTTTGTTTGATAATACGAAACCGCTTATTGCTAAATAACTGAAGTTTCGAGTCTATACAATTGTGACAAGTTCTAAAGAAAATAACAAAATGGCGGTCAATGTTTATTATTAATATTTAATATTGACAGGTGTTGGATAGTTATGATTTAAAAAATACCTAACGCTATTAAAAGCTAATTTATTGATGCATTCGAATAGATAATATAATAATTGTAGCAATTATCGATTATAAAAATAATATATTTAAAGAGTAAAAAAGAAAACGATTATAAAATGAATATATCTGTTACACAGTTTTTTAAAATTGTTTATGAGTTTTTAAGGTTTTTTATCTTCTTTTTTGACGTAATAGCATCGTTATTTTTCTAAACATACTCAAAGATGTCGCAATAGGTTCCAAAAGTTAAATAATTGGACAAAATTTTAAAAACTATTTCAGTCTCTCAGCTTCGGGCTCTTCAGATCGGACTACTTGATGCAAAGGGACGGTAACCGGATCAAACAAGTGGAGTTTAACACTATAGCGTCGAGTTTTGGCGCCCTTACCTCACACCTGCCCTCTATGTCTCGGTACCGACAGTGTGTGGTCAGCTTAATTTTCTATAGCAGGGCTTCCCAAACTACGCCACTATATTAAACTATGTTTTTAGTTACTATAATACATGGGTTAAAGTTGGGAACCCATGCTATATGTAATTAAGGCATCCTCACACGCAGACAATCAGTCAACATCTCTCATCTACGTGTGTGCACGCTTTTCATTTCACTGCTTCTATCGCACGCATGTTTTCTTTGCATGTTGTTTTCTCTACTTGGTAGTATAAGTATTTTAGTACTTGTGTTTTTTTTTTTGTATATTTTGTTTTGTTTGTAACTTTGCGTGCATGTTATTATGAGAATTTTGAGAGATGTTCCCTGACCACGCCTGCGGTGTCGGTTGAGGTTCATGTAATCGTTTAATGAAAAATTTTGTCCAATTATCCCCGGGATGGTTAGGGCACACATCTTTCAACACATGCACAGATATAGTCAGAAATTTAGATAAGAAATATTCAACCTGCGAAATTACTTTTATTTATTTAGGGATCTATGTGCATAGTGTCAAATTAAAGAAGGTATTCATTTTGGATTAAACAAATAATTGTGTGTAAAATTGAATATTGGCTAGAATTTCTTTAAAAACACAACAATACGAATTCAAAAATCCTAATAAATATAATGTTCCAAAAAAATCTTTTTACTAAGAAAATATCAGTATTAATAATTTAAAAATACTTTTGTTTAAAAATAAACAAATATTTAAAAGAATACATTAATTCTTGATATTAATAATCTTGTAGTATATTAAATGTATGCATGTAAAGTTATAGTATTATATTATATAAATAGTTTTACGAATGCATGTAGATTGTACATTAGTAGAAGACTTGTATGAAAGAGCTTTTAACAGTTATACAAAATATATGTAAAATGTTGTGTAAATTGTAATTTTGAGTACAGCCCATTTGCTTATTGTAATTGTAATCATTAGATCTTTATAGGCATGTAAAGCATGGTTTCATGGTATAAATTAATATACAATGTATTATTATGAAGTATTTTAAATTTTTATTTAAATTTTTCAGTTATATTCTCCGTCAATTGGGACATGGTGATCTTATTAAAAATGTAAGTAATTTTTTGTATTGCAATCTATTATATTGTATCTAAGTATTTTATATATAAATACAGAATTTTATCACAGTTCTTGTGTTTTTTGGGTGGTTAAATAATGAACGCAATGATTTTTCTTTATGTAACAGTTGGCTTTCACTATTGCTCTCAATTTAACGTTTTTATATCATTATTAAATAAGTTTGACTTTTTTAGTGTTTAAACTGTAATAAGATGTAGTTTTATTTTTATTTATGTGAAAGTATAAATAGTTGTTCTTATTTTTTTTATTCTCCAAGCAATTTTGAGTAGTCTATTTCTTTACTCAGATATTATTATTTAACATTTGATCTGTTTTAACTGAATTAGAATGATGTTAACCAAGTCTTAAGTCTTTCTGAGTTTTATAACACCAATATAGCAACACCTATTGATATTTTCTGATAACTGAGTTTTGGAAAATGCCAAATATAATTTTTTCATCAGATGCCAGAAAATCGAGCTCTGTCAGGTCTATGCACCGGTATAACTGATGCATATGACCTATTCGGAGTACCGTCAGCAGTTGTACTGTTTGTGGTTGAGGAAGTTTCTTACAATATCTGCGATCAAAGATTCCACGAGTTTGAAATATCGGAGAAGAGACCCGATATTATGGTGAGTTTGATGATTGTATGATAAAGATGGCTCTTATTTATAAGGGCCAATGTGAAATATGACAAATTTCAGTAGTCATTTTAAGTTTGATTTCAATGTATCTTGTACATACAACTGATGCTTTTGAAACTATATAGCAACTATGAGTTATGACATACATGTACGTCATTTAAGCTTGATAAACTTTTTTGTAAACCTACTAGCTTTTTTAAATAAAATATATAAGCCTTTATAAGTTAAAAAGTCTGTTACTTATGCTTTTTGATGCAATAAAAACTATTTTTCAACCAACAAATACACATTTTTTAATGGATGTTGTAGAATACAGTATTATGAAGTGTTTAAAGAAAAAAAGAAATGGCTAAATTGATAGGTTGGCCCTTAGGCCTCGGCCCCGAATTTTGCGGGCAGCGGAGCGGCGGCGGGAGCGGCAGGATCTTACGCGTATAATCAAATGGACCGACCCTCGAATACAGCGGTGCCCGCTGCCCGCTAGTTTGGAGAACAGTATGCGTTTCCGTGCCGCCGCCGACGCCGCTCCGCTGCCCGCAAAATTCGAGGCCGAGGCCTTATACATAGGCCCCATTGAAATAATTTTAGCACGTAATTTAGTAAGGGATGATAGATGCACTAAATACGATTTTTAGTTGTCAACTGTCATATGTATTATATTTAACGCGGGAAACGTGACGTCACAATTCTTGTACGTGATTGGCTGTTCACATGAGTACACTCGCGGTCAATTAAATTGGACAAAATGTATTATTACTGTTGTTGTTATTGATTAACATCAAAAGTGACCAGTTTTTGTTGCACTAAGTGTACATGCACAAAATTTCCACTATGCCACATACTAAACGATCGAACCCATAATTCAAATGAATATTGTTACTTGATTTTGATCTAATATGATATTTTTTTTAGATATACAGGAAGACTCTGAACGAAATTTACGAGGAGACGCGACTCAATGAAAAGAAACAACTTATATTGTGAGTATGGCGGAACGTTAGAATTATGATTCTTAATGGAATGAATTTTAATTTGTTCTGTATTCATAAACTTTTAACCAATAAAAAACCAAGCTAAAGAAAGTTTTTGGAGACGTTTACGATATTCAGAATATGCATATATAGAAATATAATAAGAGTATTGGCCATAGTTAAAGGAATCAAGTTTCTTTAAACTTAAAGTGGCACGCAGGTGCCGACACATGTATTAGAAAAATTGTTCGTTTAAGGATATAAGATTGTGGTATCATGAAACAAAACTCAAATTTTTTTAAGACTTTATGTTTCTATATTCTATATGTATTCTTTTTATATGTTTATATAAACAGCTCTATAATTATCGAGACGGAATAATTAAAGCACTACTTTATTTTTTAACGACCTATATCCATGTATCTAGCATAAAAATCTACACATATCCTCAGTACATAAAATTCATATTTACAATGTCTAACGTTTTTCCTCCACGTGCAACTGGATAGGCCCATTTTGATGAAATTTTACTCCCAGAGTTGTATCTTTTGTGGAGTGAAGACAAAAACTATTTTTTGATCATCAACTTTGAATAACCACAAAAATTTCATTAGTATGGGTAGGGATACTTTCAGTGCCGGCGTTAGAGGGACTGACACCCCGGACAAGAATATTTTGGCGCCCACTTGAAGCAATCAAATTCGAATATTAATTTTTTTCTGAACCAATGTGAACACTGAACGTGTATTAAGAATTCTATATTACATCTACAATCTTTCCTTTAGCGTGACCCAGAGCTGACGACGTAGAAAATTATGTAGCTCCTATATTATTTTTTCATTTATAAGTATCCTACCTCCACTAATCTCCCCCAAATTTGGCGCCCGTCGCCCCATCGCCCCCCCCCCCCTAACGCCGGCACTGAATACTTTCTTCCATAGAAATATGTATAGTATGGGCATATAATTAAAATGTCCATTTTTTTTGTTATTTAGAGAGGATCGTCCCGTAGCCGTGGTATACTATCGCTCTGGGTATGAACCAGCTCAATATCCTACTAGCAAGGAATGGGATGCCAGGCTAAGAGTGGAAAAATCATCGTGAGTACCTAATAAATACTCAAAAATTATGTTTAAATAATATTTTTACCTTACTTTTGTTTAAAGGAACATTCATCTTTATATATATAATACTTCTGTGAGTGTGTATGTCACTGAACTTCTTTCAAACGACTGGACCGATTTTGATGAATTTTTTTGTGTGTGTTCAAGGGGATCTGGGAATGGTGTAGATTCACAATTTTGTCCGCTGGACAATGTTTTTTTTTAATTAATTTTTAATTTATTAGTAGTTGTTGATACAAAAGTTTTTTTTGACATTAGATTTGACAACTAACTAATATGTCAATCATTCTGTCGCACTTAAAAACACTGAGATTTATGGCTTTAATAGGTAAACTCCAAAAATATAAATAAAAAAACGTAACAGATATTTCTTGATTATAGGGCATTACGAAATTCGCCGGGTCTTCTAGTATACAACATAATGTCATTTATACCGTCGTTTCAAATATTTATGTTAATTGCATCCAAAGACAACAGCTGCTTTTGGGTGTTGTTTTAATTTTGGTGACTTTTGCATTGATTAAGAAAAGCAATTAAATTGTTTCTAGACTTTTTGTCAACATGATAGCTGTCTTGTCATAGAAATTTCGTCGTAGTGCTGCAGAAACATCGATATTTTGGCTATCGATAGTTGACTTCAAAAACTATTCGGAATATCGATATATTATTGTAACTATCGACATATAACACGAATTCGTAGGATTGCCAAAAATCTCTAAATTGTATAAAAATATAGATTTATAATCCTTAATATTTAGGTGCCAATAACTGTTTATGATATATTTAATTATTATGTTTCAGGGCGATAAAATGTCCATCAATACATTATCAGTTAGCTGGTACTAAGAAAGTCCAACAGGCGTTGGCTGCTCCTGGAGTTTTGGAGAAGTTTATGGGCGCTGGCGCTACTACAGGTCGCGTAAGGGATATTTTCGCTGGGTTATACTCATTGGACTTCGATGAAAATGGTGAAAGGGCTGTTGATATGGCCCTAGCTGATGCTGAAAGGTGGTTGAAGTACCCTAGATTCCTTAAATCCTACTAATATTATAATTACGAAAGTTTGTGAGTGTGTGTGTATGTTTGTTGCTTCTTCACGCTCAAACGCCTGAACCGATTTTGAGAAAATTTTGTATAAAGGAAGCTGATATCCAGGAATAACACATAGGCTACTTTACATCCCCGAAAATCCGCGGGTAACACAGCGGGACGCAGCTAGTAACCTCATAATAAGGTTCATAACCCAGGTCAATACCAAGATGGGTTTGGCCAATGTTAAATGTAACTACATAAGAAGGTTTTTTTGTGCAAGGCCTTGTTTTGATTATCTGTTTTATAATTCCTCGTATTAATGAGACCGAATCTTCATTCTTATTGTTATCTTTTCTTCATATTAATCTTATCGCAGGAGTATCTTGAACCTAAAACTATTGATGGCTCTTTATAAGTACACATGAATATTTTAAAATTATTATGAAATTACTTGATATGGCTATACAAAAATTAAAAATTATATATCTTGAGAATGAAAAATACTACAGTCCCAAAAAAAGAGAGATCAAAAATACCAAAAAAAATCAAGGTCCCAGAAGTTTCACAACACAAGTTTACTCAACAGAGTATACTGATTTTTATATACATATTAGGATTTACTTAAAATAAAATATCATTCACAGATTTGTGTTAAAACCCCAGCGGGAGGGAGGCGGTAACAATGTGTACGGAGCTGATATAAGGGACGCGCTGCTGAGAATGAGGCATAGCAGGGAGCGGGCTGCATACATACTCATGGAGAGAATACTACCGCCCTTAGTGAGTACACACACACAGACACACACACACACACACACATACATACACACACACACACGGACACACACTCAGACGTACAAACATAAGAAATAATAATAATAATAAAATTTGATTATTTCTGTAACTTATACCTAGACAACAGATATAGCTAGGGAGCTCCATTTAAGTAATAGAATTTACTTGTGTTAGGAGTCCCCGCTCTTCCAAAATAGATACATATATGTATTTACATTTAAGATACGTTATAACATTTTAGATGTTTGTTTTTCTTTCTTATACTTAAATTCACCTTGTACTGTAAAATGTTTAAATTCTGATAATTATTTAAAGTAGTTATTTTTTATATTCACTCAATGAAACTGAGCAAAAGTGGAAACTTTGTTGGCTTATGTAATTATTTTTAATATGTGAAAACTATTATGATGTGTATATGCTGTTTGTTTCTCAATAAATAAATATGTATGTATATATACTGTTCCGAAAATTTTATATAAATATACTCTTAAAATTAGTAGCCGAGTATTCTTATTGGTCAGTTGAAATGAATCTAACAGTACCATATATAATAATTCCTATGAATTTTTTTATATGTGTACATATTTTGTTATCGTAATAATAATTACTATATATTTGTTATTCCATTTTATTTACTTGTTTTTGTGTCTTTTTCTTTCTATAAGATTTAATACTTTTAAGCCATTTGTAACATCTTTATAAAGAACACGCCATCTACCGTACGTGAAACTTGTTACACATAGTTAATCGTATATAAGGCATCCACGACACAAGCTCGCTTAGTGTGGACGCTTCTGGAAATCGCGCCATATTATCACTTCAGCAAAATATTGTTATGATTTTAATTGTGTTCCCTGTTAACATTGAGTTATTGCTGGTAATAAAGTACTTTTTCATTTTCATTTTATTTATATATACAGGGTGACTGGTGAATTACTATCAATATTTAAGGAGCTTACTCGGTACATGATTCTCATTCGAATTATGTAAAAAAAATAGGTACTTAATTTTTGACCAAATTTCCGTATAAATAAATAAAGTGTGTACACGTTCCAAGTGTTCCAAGTGTGGACGCGTGCGGCGGCGTGCTGATACTACAACAGGCCGCCGTGTGTGAGTGTGTGTGTATACCTAATCTGTAGGGTGTTCATACGATGCGTAATTAATTACATAACTTTTGGTTAACTTTACTTAGAAGTTTATTAATATTTATGTTATATTAATTTTTATTTTGTCATATATGATCGTCAAATATCACGTCCTCAAATATCGATAGTAATTCACCAGTCACCCTGTATATAATGTATGTTCCAGGTTGCAGGTTACGTGGTCCGTCCCGGAGCAGCCGTCCCGCCTCCCATCACAGATTTGGTGTCGGAGCTCGGTATATTCGGAGTTATTATAGGGTCAGTACTATTATAATATATGTATACTAGCTGGGCTCCGCGGTGTTACCCGCGGTTTTCCGGGATGTAAAGTAGCCAATGTGTTATACACAATTTTATCAAAATCGGTTCAGCCGTTTGAGCGTGAAGAAATAACAAACATACACACACACAAACTTTCGCAATTGTAATATTAGTAGGATAGTTAGTTAAAGTTACCTTTATTATAATGTGTGAAAACCTTGAAGGTAAATCTCATATCTATTGTAGTGTACTGTTACAGTTACTATGCATTGTGAAATTCATTAGAGTTCTCGACTATCTTCTTCTTCTATATATATAAAAATGGATTGCTGTTCCTTAGTGTCGCTAAAACTTGAGAACAGCTGAACGGATTTATCTTATTTTAGTCTTGAAATGTTCGTGGAGGTTCAGGGAAGGTATAAAAGATGAAAAAAATTGATTCATTACTGGGAAAACCATAAAAACAGCCCTTTTCTATTTCCCATAGAAACGTTTTTTTGACATTAGATTTGACAACTAACTAATATGTCAATCATTCTGTCGCACTTCAAAACACGGAGATTTATGGCTTACAGGTAAACTCCAAAAATATAAATAAAAAATTGTTATAGATATTACTTGATTACAGGGCGATACGAAGTTCGCCAGGTCTTCTAGTATATTAATATAATTAATAGTTGTTAAATGAGGTTTGTGTGTAATATGTATTGGGAATATGTAGTCTGAAGATTCTAACTTGTAATAATGGTATTGATTGGTCTAATGCATTCACGTTATGACATAGTTATATTATTACAAAGGAATATAATCTAAGCTTGCATATCACGTCACTTTGTAATTTATATTATTCCTTATCTTCAACAATTTTTGAATATCCATTTTAATCTCAAGCGATATCATATTATAAGTCTATCACAGGAAAAATACAAATTATAATACAATAATTGTTTATTATTCAATTAAACAGCACGAAAGACAAAATCTACTGCAACAAGCAAGTCGGTCATATGTTACGTACGAAATTAGCTGACGCCAACGAAGGAGGTGTGGCCGCTGGGCTTGGCGCGCTAGACTCACCGTACTTATTAGATATGTAGTACAGATTATACACAGGACTTTAAAATTGCACAGACTATATATATATAATATGAAATGACTGATAAAAATAGATAAAAACATTTATGTATGACACAGATTAAAAAATGCACACATGTCATGAATGTCAAAATATGTATTAGATTAAATATATATTTGCAATAATGGAAGTGGGTAGAAATTTAACCTAATGTTTTAATGTTAAAAAAAAAATGTATGTATTAATACTACGGTTCATTAAAAATTAGGTATAAAATGTTGCCATATACAATCGAAGCTACTGTTTTCTAAATAATGAAAATTTTGTAAATATTAAAATAATATATGTTTATAATTTTTTATTTCTTATTATACATATATAATATTGTTTTATTTTATATCCATACTCTGCAATTATTTGTGTTTTTAACCAAATTAATAGTTTTGTTTATATTTATTAGTTAAATCTTGTTTTTAAATGTATAGTAAATAATTGACATTCCACAGTTAGGGATGATGGAAGCAAATAAGACAATTTGACTTATATTATACAAATATTGTCTTGAAATAAATATCTTACCCTTTTAATAATTTCATTAAATTATGATTATTGTATTTGAATGATGAAATTTTTACAATAACTTTATATTAATCCTTAAAGCAATATTACATGATTGTTACCGCATGTGTGATAAGACGAGGTGCTGTTGTTTTATAAATTTTTAATATAATTATCATTCACAGCGTATTGGTTTTATTTACTATTTTATTACATAAATCCCAGGTTCCAGGAAAACTACGAAACTTACTTATATGTATATTATAATAAGAACTACATATTAAAACTTATAACCTACACCTAAGACTACATGATTGACCCGATGTTATGATAGCAATACCATTCCATAGCTTGTGTGGTATCAGGAATCTTCTGGTTCACACGCTTGGTGTTCGTTCCGCGGAGTCAGCAGTCACTCGTTATATATTCTATCCATACAATGATGTTGACCCGGCGATGTTCATTAATTTTTAATATGTAGCGCGTACGTAACAAATGAAAACATTTTCTACAATGTTTATTCTTACGTCATACCAAAACGAAAACAACTTTTAATTTTTTTTTATGTTTGTACAATATAATAGTTGAATCTACTAAACTTTCGCGCCAGCTTAAAGATCGAATTAGAGATTATTGTTGAATATTCTCAACAGTGAGTGGTAGCGCCATCTCGTGACGAGTGAAGCAATTTGCTGTGCTTTTACTAGAACATTTCTTTCGATATGTTAATGTAGACAAGTAGAAGTACATATAGAAGTACAGCTAGGTCGATTTCAGCCAGTCTTTCAAGAAGCGACACAAACGAAACTTTATAATAAATAGTATATTAATATTTGTTGTTTCTATTATACCACGCGTTTATATTGATAATCAAATGATAGCTCGTAACAATAATAATATTGAAAGGACGTTAAAATGTTAATACTTAATATTAATCACGGCCCTAATACATAAAAGCATATTTTATCCCTAATACCTTCTTTTAGACTCATTTAGTTTATTTAAAATTGAAGTTATCAGTATATTTCATACACAATTTTTGATTCAGGTGACAGCATTAAGAATTTTTGAATTTTAAAACTTGCTCATGGGCTCATACGGGCACAGTAAAAATGAAATTAAATGGAATCATATGGCTAAGTAGGTAAAAAAAAACATTTCTAAAAAAAGTATTTAAAAAACCAGAATCTTTAGCGTTCGCGTTTAGGAATTGACAACGTGAAAGCTTGTATTATTATATATATATATTTAATTTTTAATGTAAATTGTATATTACATAGACAGTTCAACAGACAACATGAAATAACATTTTTATTAAATATAATTTATTAAATAAAGAAATTGACAAAAAGGAACTTTTGTAACGTAAGTAAAAGATTTTTTACCAATATTAACAGTTTATTATCAGACAATCTACATTATTAATAATAATTTAGACAAATTCATGGTATTTAGGGACTTTGTTCTTGAAAAGTAGTCCCTGGTCCTTTGCGGAGTAACCTACTGTGTATTGGAAGGCTGGGTGATCATAGATTACCTTAAAAGATGATTATTTATCATTATTTTATGTTATTAACATATTAAATAGTAAATAAAACGATATTCCCGTATATCTGTAATTGTTATTCAACATAAATCAAAAATATTTCACTTAAACTATGTGTATCTTTAAGAATTAAATAATTCTTAAGATTTGTCATTTATGTTTTTGTAATATACAAATAAATTAAATGTATAAAATAATTTTTAAAATATTTGTTTGTCTTTGAACTTGGAACAAATGATGTAATTCAAAAAATAAACCAATTACAGAAAAGTTATTAATTAAAAACATAATGTAAGATAATTATGGTAGTTACTGGCTAGCAGTTATTAAAAAAGCTATATAATATAGTAAAAAAAAGTATCATATAATAAAAGTTTTTGCACTGCAAGTAAAGAATTCTAAATTTGTAATATAATATATATCAAGTATAAAACCTTTTTACTCATATTATTACCTTATCCCTCAAGTAACCGTCATCAGCCTGTGTAATCAACTCTGGTACATCAGTCCTCGGTATGTTAAACAGGTTCATCAAGTAGTGTTTGTTGTTGGTGTATACTTGCCGCTGGTCGGCCCACTCAACCTCCCTCGGGAGCCTCCAGTCCTTCATTTTGGGCTCCTCTCTCTCGGTATACTTGTCAAAGTCCAGACGTTCAATGTCTTCCACAACCTTTGGCATATAATTATTTGTTCATAATTAGTTTTGATTTAAACTATATACATAGGCAGATATCGGCTAAAGCTGGAAAATTACCAGGAAGAAGACATATATATGACCTACATAAGCTATGATAAATTATAATCAGACTTTGTAAATTATTAAAGTGAAACTGAAGTATTGAAATGAGTTTACTGATAGCTATATGTACAACTAGATTACTATTTTAAAAATAGGCTTATAATTAATTTGAAGTAACTCAAAGATAACCAATCACTTAATATATGCAATAATTTTTGTTAATGATGAATTTGGACGATAAAATTGAGTTTTCAATGTTAATTGACACTTGTCTTGAGTTGTTTGAGTTTATAAACAACAAAATGTATATATAAGTCTGTAATGCTCTAAATTTCTTGGTTTTTTCGAACATACCACTTCAACATCACCACCTCCGGTCCAGTCGTAAACCAAAAGTTCAGCGTGGGTGGAAATGTCCCTCAGATATTTGTTCTTATACTGATGCTCCATTTCAGTGAGGAATGCAGGCGTTAAGGCTTTACCGTCAACTTCATGTTTGAGCCCACGTTTCTTGATAGCTTCGCTTACCTGAAATATATGAAGATTGCTAATATTATGATTATATAGTATTGAAGCTCCTCTCCCTGCAATGCAATGGACACGAAACCCGTACAGTGAATACATTGAATGTTAAGAGGTTTCATCTCTCTTTTGATATTGTTTATATTGACATAAACCTTTTAAGTATGTTTTAGACCATTTAATTGTTACAATGTAATGTATATTTATAAATAATGTTCAAACCTTATCAACCGGCACATCGAGATAGATAACTAGATGTGGTCTCATAAGTTCCTCGATAGTGTTGTTTCTGAGCTCGTAATAAACAGACTTGATGCCTCTGCTGATATATTTTTGGGAGAACATAGCTTCTAGAAACACAAAATCAGAGTATGGTGACCTTTCAAGGACAACACCTTGGCCGGTGTTGAAAAGATGAGCGAGAGCATCAATATACTGGCCGTAACGAGCCATGTACATCATGATCTGGAAATTGCCAGCCAAACGGTGATTAGGGTGACAGTTGAAGTTCACATGGTCGAAGGTTCTGGTGTCTTCAGGGATATCTTTATCAAACATACGAAGGTCGATTCCGTTCGGTCTGATGTAATGAATATCCATGTTGGCCTCCGGAAAATGTTTCATACCGAGATCCTCAGCGAGGGCGGCTGCGAATTTAGTTTTTCCTGCAGCTACTGGCCCCTCGACTACTAAAACCTTTGTATTTTCATCAAATCTATGGGTTGTACGATCGAATAAGCTACGTAACCAGCTATAGTCTTTGTTGACATAGTCGAATGGTGCGGGTTTAGGGGGTCGGGGCGGCAGAGACTCTCGAAGAGCCTTGCCCATTATACTCCTGTTCTGTATAATGGTACATCCAGCGATTTTTCCACCGTGAGCAGGGGTGATCACCTTTACAAACGTAGTTCTAATAAGGGTCGCCATATTTAATTCAGGCTGAAAAACAAGGAATTATGAAGCAATTTCATGTTATAAACATAAACTTTAAGATATTGTTCTCTTCTTACCTTAATTTACTTCATAATAATATATAATCGCTTAAAAGATGTGACATAACATCTCAAATGTCCATAGGTTTTTTGACATTAGCGTTTAGTTTTTTTATTTAACACAAATCGTTTTTTATTTTTTGTACTTAAAGCACTATCAGATTTTCTACATTTATTAATTTTATAGTAACTTTAATCAGATATACATATATAATTTTAGATTTTGGTTACTTTTTAGAATCTGGTATATAAATATTCTTAAATTAGTTACTGTCATTTTTGACAGAACCTTTTTAACCCATGGCGTATTAAAGCCATGTGTTGTGTGACTACAAACAAATAATAATTACGATAAGTGATTGTTTAATAAATGTTATTTTAAGTGTACTACATAAAAAGCAAATATGGAAGTCGAGAATATAAACGTAGAAGAATTTCTGCCCGCCAAAAACCCTATAAAATTAAAAAATGTTAAGCGGAAAACTGTATCCGAATCTGGCGAAGGTATGGATGTGGAAGTAGCAACTCAATCGAAACCTAAACGTAAGAAGGGAAAGAAATTGAAGAAGATCAATGAACCTAATGAAAGTAAAGTAAATATGAGAAAAATAGCTGTACCAGCACACAGGTATAACCTATAAATAATTTCGTATTACAATATTTCGTTTTGATAAATGCATATAGATGTTAAAAATTATACGTAATTAATATTTGATACCTACTTCAACTCTGCTTACTTTAACCGAGGATAGGATTAAAGAAAAATAATTTCTTCACAATATTTATTTTTTTATAAGTATTATATTTTGATACTACCAAAATATAGCTATATTATATGTTTACATGAAATTTCTTAAAAAACCTAATATTTTATACATGTCCAAGAAATATTATAATCTCTTTTAAAATATGGAGCTTACTTAATTAACATTTATTACAAAACATATAATTATTATTTTTATATGAAAAACATTGTAATACCAAAATAATTCTTTTATTACAGATACACACCTTTAAGAGAGAATTGGTTAAAAATATTCACACCTATAGTTGAGCACTTATTGTTACAAGTTAGATTCAATACAAAAACTCGCAATGTTGAGATCCGAGTTGGTCCAGAAACAAAGGACATTGCAAATCTACAGAAAGCGGCTGATTTTGTTAAGGTAATAAAAAATATTATAAAATTTACTAGTTTTTATATAATACATGATAATACATGATTGTTAATTCAATTAAGATAATATATTCAAAAATTCTTTAACATAAGAAGGATTTTGACCTGTAATTTTTAACGTTTCAAATATTATGTATCACAACTAATTATTTTGCTTAATTTGTGACTGTTGATGAATTATCCTTCTTTATATTTTTGTTTCATTTGAATTACTCTATACACTGGAGATTTCTATAATGTTAAAAGTATAATTGTATGTTTTGTTTTCTTAACTAAAATTCTAAATAACATTTAATTTCATTCACCTATCATCTATAAAGTACCAATACCTCCTAACTAACAATTTAGTCGAAAAGTACTTTTTTTATTACAATAGACGTAAAACTCATATTCGCATAGATTGACTTCACTCCTATCCAATATTTCTTTACCAAACAGTTTCTTGAGCTATGTCAAAATATCTACTAAGTGGCAGAATTCATTCATTCGTATATATTTTATGGAAATATCTTCTAACAGCAGCGACAAGTTATATTTAGAACCATCTTTTCGCTCAATGGCTGATTTATATAATACACACAAAAAGTATTGTTCGGAAACCAAAGAGCCTACGGTCTGTAGGTTTACATTTGAAAAAGCATTTAATGAGAAAAATTTGTCCTAAGTAACTAAATTTGTCTCCTAAGTAACTAAATACCTATAAAATGTAAACATGAACATATCCATTGGTAACTTATTTAGAGGTAATGTATTAGAAACTATTTTATTATCAATAGTTGAACAAAATAAATAAAACCTTTTTTTTTAAACAGTTGTTTTCTTCTGGTGTAAAATTAGATTCTTAACACTTAGGAGGTATTGGTACTATGTTGGTTATAGACACTTTATTGTTTTAATATTTAATCTATTCTTTATATGAACTTACATTTATATACATTCTGGTATGTTGTTCATAGACACAGTATCTTTTTTATTTTAATCTATTATTAATTTTAGCCTTTTTTAAACCCTATCTAGATTATTTGTTTAATATTTTTCATTACTGTTTCCAGGCTTTCATATATGGTTTTGAAGTTGATGATGCCCTAGCCTTACTGAGATTGGACGATTTATTTGTTGAATCCTTTGAAATTAAGGATGTGAAGACATTACAAGGTGATCATTTGGGAAGAGCTATCGGCAGGTTGGCCGGTAAAGCCGGACGAACAAAGTTCACTATAGAAAATGTTACTAAAACCAGGATAGTATTGGCCGACTCAAAAATTCATATATTGGGCAGTTTCCAGAATATAGCCTTAGCGAGACGAGCCATTTGTAACTTGATAATGGGTTCACCACCATCCAAAGTTTACGGGAATCTAAGGAATGTTGCCAAAAGGGTCGCGGAGAGATTTTAGAAAATAAAATATATTTATATTAAATCTTTTATTTATATTTTTGGAATATTAACACTAAATAATATAGCAGTTTTAATTTAAAACGATATTAATACATATTACAATAGTATCTTATATTTAAAATGCAAGGGCACTCTTGATATAACGAGTCTGGCGTCGTAGCTGAGAGAGGCGAAGCTCCAGGGCTCCGCGGCGCTCCATTCAGCACAATATACTGAGTCCTCATGCTGTTCGTAGGATTGTAAGACACCATCTTCTAACCTAGATATAGGAATATATAAACTAATAAATATAAATATTACAACATATTAACTACCATTCTTCTTATATAAGTGCGTTCAATGTTTTGTTTATGCAGATAAGAACTGAGTTTAATGATATTTTGTGAATATTTCACTCATCAGAATTACATAAGTAATAAAATTGCCTTGATATATTGAAAGTTATTGTATAATATGAATAGGGCAAAACATTATTGGCATATATTAATATTTAACTATTCTGTCTGTATTATCTATTCAGTTATTGGCATTTCATTATAGATTTGAACTAAACTATGTAAAGAGGGATTTGTGAATTTAACCAAAGTGGATAAAATAATTACATGGAGCAGTGGTCTTTATGGTAATTGTCCATAAATATTCGCAGAAGTTCTTTAATATTTTCTTTATAGGCATAATAGGAACATGTTAAAGAATTATACGATTGTAATTTTAAAAAAATCTAAATTTTATAGCTTTTTATAGCGCAATATTCAAGCTGTTGCTCTAAGTTTTTAGAACATTAAATAGAATTTTTTTGGTGAAGTCTAGTTATAATGGATACATATAATATACTAACACTTGGCTGATCCTGAGCCCTTCTTCATCATCACACACGCTCGCCGCTGACGTGAGGAGAGCGCGCGCGTCTGAACTACCAGTCAGTAGAAGCTGTTCGTGGTACGTGTTGTAACGAACTGTCCATACCCTAGAATTGTAAATTACGATATTTTGCTTATTTATACTTTGTTTTATTAATATGATCGTTCTTCCTGGTAAGTTTGAATTGGAATTGAAATCCCTACTAATATTATAAAAGCGAAAAAAAACTGTCTGTCTGTTACGCTTTTAAGCTTAAACCACTGAACTGATTTTAATGAAATTTGCTACAGAGATAGAGTTAACCTTGAGAAAGAACATAGGATAGTTTTTATCCCAGACTTTTGAAAGACTATAAGCGAACTCCACGTGGGCGAAGCTAGTTAATTATAACTGATTGAGGTATTCTAAGGACGTATTTCGAGAGGCAAAATGTTTCGAATCCAAGTAAATGGACTTGTTTTGTTCGTTCGTGTTTTGCCAGTGTTAAATGTTACAAAATTGGCTAAGTACATTCGAAGACGCCTGAAGTGACAAATAAATATTCCCTTCTATAGCTTCTCTTACTGACTCTTAATCAAGGTTGGCCGAAGAACTAAATTCCACAACTAAACTGCATTAACAACCACTTGTAGAGAACGGTCTCGCAAAAACTCAGAAATCGAGGAAATTAAATCAGGTAAACCAAGACCGAAAGTTTTTCAAGAATAAATCAGAGTTATCTATAATAGTGTATAGTACTGTTTAAAGCAAGATTTGAATTGCATAAAATTTTTAATGACCACTAGTTGGCATAAGTCAGAAACAGATGGCGTTGTCATCAATATAGATCACTCTAATTATAATATGGATTGATTTTATTACAATATGTTACTTTGCAGCAATCAGGATTACGGGCACACAAGATGCTGCAAAGTAACCGAAACGTCAGGAGTATGTAGTTTTAAACAAAATAATGCTTAGTTATTCGAAAATATAAGTTTAATTCTCTCAGGCTTTTTTAACATAGTTATTAACTCACCAATGTGAATGATCAGTCCTAGTGAATATCGGCTCCTTCCCGTTCCTATAGTCCCAGATGTTCAACGCAGCGTCATCACCAGCACTTGCTAGGTGGAACTGTCTGAATATGAGTGGAGTAGGGTTAAATAATCTAACTTAGTGGCTTCTAAGATATATACAATACTGGGTTTCCTTCATAATAGTATCAATGGAGCTGTTCATAAAATACGTTCGCAAAAAGGGGGAGGGGGGTATACGGCAACGTGACGTTCGCAGTTTATAATAAGAATATTGTTTATATGTTTGTTATGAGAGATATTTATTATTTTATTGTATGTATTAATAAACAAATATTTTTAATTATCAGAATTTGTGTATAGTACACATTTCTAATTTATCATACTCAGAAGGGGAGGGAGTCTTTGTTTTTGTGATGAAATATTTTAGGGGTATCACAGAAAGTGTGACACAGCGTGACAATTGGGGATATATTAGACTAAACAAGTTATTACTAATAAGCTCACCTATTAGGATTAAAGTCTAGATCTCTGGCCAGTTGTCTGTGAGCACCGTCAATGTTCCAGGCGGCTTTGGAACAATCGGTTCGAGTATCGAAACACTTTATATGTGTGTCTTGAAGTACTGCAAACTATAATACATATGGTAAATGTCTAAAAAGATATGTTAGATTTGGTTAATTGATTTAAATAATTAAGGATTCCTCATTGTTTTATTCCTAAAACTATTCGCTGACAGCTGTAAAACGAGTAAATATTAAATTGGAATTGTAAAATCCAGAAAAAAATCGGCAAATTTTCAACATTTACCAACTCATATAGGTAAATCTAGTTTTACTGGAAAATCGGATTTTCCAGTAAAACTTAGGATTGGAAATACCGTAATGGATGAACCGTCGTTCGAGAACGTTTAGCTGCCTTATAAAAGGGGACCAAATTACGCTAACAAAATCTAAGTATATTTCTCCGCAAGAAAATTTCTATGTTACCAGTTCATGAGCCATATATTTAATAGTCTGTATTAAATCACTATACTAAATGAAACTAATATTTTCGGATTATACTTCGCGTTTTTAGTTTTGACTATAAACTACATACTCCCGACGTTTCGGCCACTTTTCAGCAACCGTGAGCACGTTGAAAAAGTTAAATCCGAAAATATTAGTTTCATTTAAATGAGTACTCGCGAAAATCTTAGATCTCATTCTCTATAGTAATTATCTTATTCATACCTGGTTTTGTCCTTGCGGACTCCACTTTCCTCCGCTAAATTTAAGCCTACTTCTGCCCTCCGGCGCCACTCGTCCCACTTGTTCACCCGTACTAGTATCTCTAATGCTGACGTAATTGTCCAACACTATACCAATCCGATTCATATCCATTGGATGCCATTCAGCACATCTTATTTCCTCTTCGGGTTTCTGTATATTGAAAAAATTTGCTTTTTGTGATAGACTACAGATAAATGCAGGTTTTATACTATATCGTTGGGGTCTTGGGGATAATGTAAATCCGCGTAACTGGCGTAATAAACACTGAATAATTACTAATTGTGAAAAAATCACTTTAAAAGTCGTTAATATAGAAAATATTTCAGCTTTAACTTTCTTCTGATAATTTGCTTCCAATGTAGATACGCGGAATTATCCAATTGTAGTTATCCCCGACGATATTATAAACATAGAACAGTGGAACTACTTAATTATTACCAAATTTTCAAATCAGTATATCAGCCAAAAATTTAAGACATATTTTTTTGGTATATCTTTTATTCTAAGAAGATTTTCGTAATTTTCACAATAACATGAAATAGTGTATCATTATATTAATTTTTTTACCTCTGGACTCATGGTTTTGAGTAGTTCCATGTCTTCAGCATTCCTGTTATTCATTATGGTCATGGCGTCTAAATCCTTTGGAATGACCTGAAATACAAAATAATATAAAGCATGTTTAATTAAAGAGTAGTGTTTAAACAGGCCTATGGAGTTAACATTTTACATTGGTAGCCCTAACAGTATCCTACTAATATTATAATTGCGAAAGTTTGTGAGTGTGTGTGTATGTTTGTTACTTCTTTACGCTCAAACAGCTGAACGGATTTTGATAAAATTTTGTATACAAGAAGCTGATATCCAGGAATAACACATAGGCTACTTTACATCCCGGAAATCCGCGGGTAACACCGCGGGGCGCAGCTAGTTTAAAATATATTACAAAAGACAATTTTGACATGATTTTGAAATTAGCCAGCACTGTGTCTTAGAAAGGAATAATATACAGTCATAATAATGAAAATATTCTATAGAAATATAGAAGCAATATTTTTAATATTTACGTAAAAATAATTGGGAGAGGCTATAGAAAGAGACAGAGTGGGAGTAAATGCGTGGGTCACTTGTGAATTGTAAAAAATGTTTATAAAGTTTGTGTTAAAACAATATGAGTTCACTAATAATTAATTTATTTCTAGCCTTTCCTACTTTCACATCTTCTATAGAAGGTCTCCATGCAATATTTTGTTTTCCTTTTATTTCTATTGACAGTAAATTTGTTATTTTTGCTTTATATTTTGTAAAAAATAATTATAAAATATAGATTTTAAGAATTTAATTCTTGAGTTATTTTAAATATATTTTCTATATCAAACTAAATTTAAGTATGAACTAAAAAAAACCAACATACATAGAGATTTATAATAATATGCAAAAAGAAAAACATTATATAATATTTCTCATTTTTTTTTTATCTCAGAATAAATTTCCATCATTTTAACCATATATATTATATACAACATTAACTTACCTCAGTAGTAGGTAGTCTAAATATTGACACACCCATCGAACATTGACTTGTGTCCGAGTTATATGTATTGTGTGTAGTGATGAGAATCGCTGCATCATGAGGTGAACAGCGGAGATGCCATATCTCACCGATATCATGTTTGAAAACCTTTATTATACATAATATATATTAATAATAAGTTACATTGTATAATAACTAAGATATTTACATAGTAAACATTGCAATAATTGTAATTTTCAGTATTTAAATTAATATGTTATGTTGGAATAACTGTAAATTCAGATGTATGTTAGAATTTTAATTAATTTGTATAATTTACCAAATCTTATAGGAATGGAGAAGAGTTAATTGTTTTGTTTTAAATTCACAATAAATATTATTGTTTAGTGTAGCTTTCAGATATCTCATTATTATATATAAATATTAGTTAAAACTAAATACATTTTTAAAATTAGCATAAGTTATTGAATAAAGATTAAATATATTTGGAGTCAAATCGAGCTATAATTATATACAGAGTATACAGGGTGACTGGTGAATTACTATCAATATTTGAGGACGTGATATTTGACGATCATATATGACAAAATAAAAATTAATATAACATAAATATTAATAAACTTCTAAGTAAAGTTAACCAAAAGTTATGTAATTAATTACGCATCGTGTGAACACCCTACAGATTAGGTATACACTCACACTCACACATACGCGTGTCGCGACGTGTTGTTGTATCAGTACGCCGCCGCACGCGTCCACACTTGAACACTTGGAACGAGTCACCACTTTACTTATTTATACGGAAATTTTGTCAAAAATTAAGTGCCTATTTTTTTTACATAATTCGAATGAGAATCATATACCGAGTATGCTCCTTAAATATTGATAGTAATTCACCAGCCACCCTGTATACTCTGTTTTACACCACTCTATGTAATATATAATATTAAATAGAAGAATATATTAATTTGAAAATATACTAAAAGCACAAAAACCAATAATAATTAACTATGTATATTAAATGTAGTATTATTATTAGCTTTAAATGATTAAATTAACTCACCTTAGTATGTAGCTCGCCCGTGTCTTCTTCGAGTTCAACTACATGAACTTGGTTGCTGTTCGGTTTAAGGCTTTGAGTTCCTATGAAGAATCTTATCGCGTCACTCTCCGCATATTGAGGGGATAGAGCTCTAGTCTGAAATATAATTTTTTTTTCAGTGTTTCCAAGACGAAGATCTGACTTTGTCAGCCGTTAATTGATATATGTATATTTAAAATGATTTTTAATTAAAGCATTTACTATATAATATGATATATAATGATGTTTGTTTTATTTTTTTATTAAGTAACAAAAGTTCGTGTATATTCGTGAATTCGTGATTACCTGGTGCTCAAGTCCGTAAATAATTGAATTACCACCTTCCATTACAAAATTTGCAAGATTTATTTGATACTATTTTCAATATAAAACCTTTTTCTTTTTATAAATATATATTTGTTGTGATCAAACTTGAAAACCCTGTGACACTGACAATTGAAAGTGTCATTCAGACACTGTTTACGTCAAGTTAAGACCTAATTTTGGATATTTTGTTTTGTTAAAATGTAAGTACATTGAAAAAAATTATAATTACCTAAATTATTCCAAAATAAATAAAAGATTACTATTACTCCTGTTATATTATATTTTTCAGTTATTCAATATATTAATTGGCTTTAATCACATAAAAGTTTTTTAATTTTGAATTAATTATTATTTATTTAGGTATTTTTATGTTTCTTAATTAATACGAAAGAAAAATGTTTTCTCGAAAATCATGTATAATTTACAAAAAAAAAATAAAAATATGTGTCTTCTGTCAATTTGTTTAAGAAGATATTTTATTTTTTGACTGTTATTAAACCATAGACTAAAATAAGCTTTACGCTTCAACTTAAATTTCTTAGAAAGAAAGTCTTCTATTTTATTTTCTTGCTATTCCGCACTCAAACAATTATAATAATATAAGTAATGAATGATGTAATTCATGGCTTTTATCTTGTATGTCCTTCTACAATATATAAGTAGCGAATAGCGATGAATATGTAATATAAGTAATAATTCTCAAGACGTAAAAATAGCAAAATCATAAAAAATTTTATGTTAACTCCAATATTTGGAGGCTATAAGGAATTAATTTTGTATCTCCTATAAACTATTATTAAGTTGACATCTTTTCTAGACAATCGGTTATACTATGAAATATCTATTCTTCCAATATGAATATTTAAGCGTAGACTGATACAATAATTAGACAAAGTTCGCGGGTTTTCATTTAAATGAAACTAATATTATCGGATAACTCTCTACGTTTCGGTTACTTTGTAGCAACCGTGAATCTCATTCACATCTCGTCCGTCCGTGGTCACGGTTACTGCAAAATAATCAAAACCTTTGGAGTATATAGTTTTAAAATTAATAAAATGATTGGAAATAATAAATATCGGTTTCATTTAATTGGATAACTTATATTTGTACCCGTAAAATGCACGTTTTCACTGACGCCGTCTAAAACTCCTACGATTTTGAAGAGCAAAGGAGAAGGCCTGATGGTATTATATGGAAAACCTTTTTCACAATATTCATATTGCGATTTCAATAACTTTATCTATCTCTTACAATAGATGCGGAACCGCCGCGAAATTTTTACTTTTTATATATTACTAGTTTTTGCCCGCGAATTCGTCCACGTTGATTTTGGCATTAGTAATAGGTATAGGTATGTATAGCTGACCGGGGCAAGTCTGCTCCCCCCTAGACATCGTAAATAACCAGATATTGGAATTTATTACGTTTTTCTTTTTCTATAAAACAGAAATAAATATCTTACATCCGTTTCTTGGTTCTAAGCTGTCTCTCCACCAACTTTCAACTATATCGCTACAGCCGTTCTTGAGTTATGAAAAGTGTAACTAACGCGACTTTCTTTTATATATAATTAAATTACTTTTTGTCTTTGAGTTATATCTAATTTAAGGCCGTTAAAAATCAAGCTAAATACATTATAGTATTAACGTTAGTTATTTATTGAGAAACAGAAAACTCTTCGTAAGCGCGAAACGAGACAAACTTAGAGTAAGCATCAGGTTCTAGGACATAATCTTCTTCTTTTTCTACCTGGCAATTTCCCAGCTTTAGCCAGGGTCTGCCTTACATGTTGTGAATAGTTTTGGCTAATTGTTTTTACGACCGGCCGCCTGCCTGACATCAACCCTCTTTGGGAATAAGTCTAGGACATAATGTATATTGGTACCCTACTAATTAAGTAATTTCTAATCTTGATAGTAGTAAATTAACATTATACGTAGTTAGTAATTAGTATGTTGTGAGGTAAGTAGAGAAAGGTGGTATTATCTTGACTGCCTGTCATGAATTGACGACAAGATGAAAGTAACACTTTCTTAACTCTAAAACACGATTATTGTGGTGAAATTTTGTTAAATAAGTAACTATTAAGTCACCAAGAAGATTATATATTTGAAGTACCATAATGGGAAGCGAATTATTATATTCAAAGTCTTTTTCTTCCTTGCATTTTTCCCAGCTTTAGCCAGGGTCAGCCTTACATGTTGTGAATAGTTTTGGCTAATTGTTCTTACGACCGGCCGCCTGACATCAACCCTCTTTGTGAATAAAGTATTTAAATGAAAGTAACATTTTTCGGACATGTTTTTTGTAAAAAAACTACATACTCTCGATGTTTCGGTTACTTTTCATCAACCGTGATCACGGGCAGACGAGAAGTGAATGTCTGTCAGTTGGTCTTGTTATTTATCATTTACTGCTAACGATTTCTTAATTTTCAAAAACAATATTAGTTTTATTTAAATGAATAATACTCGCGAATGTCTCATCTCATTAGTAGCGCGTATTCGCCGCATTTGTCCAAATATTTGTACGTAGTCCGAATAGCGCAAACATGACATCCACACTTGGCATGCCAACAACATTAACGCGTTTTCGCTTATTTGTGTATGTGTGTTATTTGTGCAAATATGTCAAATGAAGACGAATAAATCCTCCACACATAGTTATTTGGCCGAACACAACAAATAAACGCCAAGTGTAGTGTCATATATTCTCAGTATGTTTTAATAGATGACATTTCACAGTAATTTGGGTACGAGGTCATTAACCTTTTATCTATCACGAAAAATTATGATCGCGCGATTTTTTTGTAAAAATTATCATTGCTTTGGGTTAACTAAACAATCGTCTGGGAATGATTTGTCACGATTATAACTATTTTTTGTATATAATATTTTAACGTTCAAATTAAAATGAATGGGAAGTAATTTGAAGTTACATCGTGCTTAAGATAGACATAGTTGTATCTGAAATAATAGACTTTATTGAAATATAAAATGAAAAGATTAGTTAAATTGTTTAATTCATTTAATTTTATTTTCTTTAAATTAAAATACACTTTTTTCTATTCATGTATCGCTTAACTCAGCCTGCTTTGTTTATTTTAAAAATGATGTTATTTTTTTATGAATCTCGGGATTTAGGTTAATTTTGTAGAAGAAAAAATCACTTTTTTTTACCTCCGTTACGTATGTCACTGAAATATAAAAAATATTATACATTTTTTTAGAAAAGAGCTTATCCTCGATATCAAACAAACATAGAAACATGGCAGGGAAACTGGCTTTCGAATGAAAGAAACCGCATCAAAATCGGTCCATCCGTTAGAGCTATGACATCACAGAGACATCTTTGTCGAACTAATATTAAAAATGTATTATTACAAACTTGAAGAACATCTTATGTATATATTATTTACTCTCAAATATATTGTGAATTTACCTAATTTGAAACTATTTTTTAATATTTTAATTAACCATTTTTATTTATTTACTGAAAATAAAAGTTATTTGTAATAGTATAATATTATTGGCTAAAGTGCCGAATGACGAATCTAGCAGTTGTATGATTTAGTCATTAATTCAGCATTTTAAACGTTGCATAGCTTATAAATATATCAAAATTATGACAATAATGTATCTAATATCTGCCACAGATAATGTTAACCGGAAACAGATATACTAAACCGGAACACAGACTCCGTGGGAATGTACATGTAATACCTTATCTGTTATGACGCATTAGCGCCATTCGGATCTCGATTATGGCATCCTATACGAGGATTAATACGACAAATAACACCATCTCATTTAAAATTTATACGTTTTTTCATTTATAAGTAGTTATTTATTCCATTCATTACAAATAATTGATTTTAATTGACGTATGGTTATAAATGTAAACTTTTGACAGTTGACTTTTTTTAAATGAAAATTAAAAAGTAAAGAGCATGTAATGTACATCTTATATGATAATAAATAGTTTTTCTATTTAATTAAATGTTTTATAATAATCAACATTGAAAGTTATTAAATTGATAAACAAGGCAATGTTTAAAAACTCTTTTAATTCCTTATTAAGTAAAATTAATGTGAGAATTTATTATCTGTCGAAATTATAACTATATATATTATAAATATACCAGTAAACAGTATGTCAAAAGAATTGTTTAATTAGTAAGTTTATTTTTCTAGTTATTTCTGATACACAATTCATACAACGAGCTGTCGGATTTTTTCTTAAAACTTGATTTTTTTAATAAAAAATATTTCCACGTTACTTTGAATTAATAAAATTACGTTAAGAATATAAAAAACATTTTTAATCTGTGCAAAAACTAGCGGTAAATGTGTTTTATAAGTTTGTTTGTTGACTCAACTTTCGAATATCTTCTAAACGGCTTTACATATTCTAATGAGGTTTCCTATTTATTGTAGCTCATATATATTCAGAATTTCTCTTTAATATTGGTTCTTGGTATCATTGAAGAAATCATTTACCTGCTCAAATATGCTTTAACTTAAATTGTTCAGCCTTTTATAAACTGTGCCAGTAATAATTAAACTTTTCAGTCCTTCTAATAGCTGTATAGTATATATATGTATGTATAGATGTTTGTTACTCGTTCACACATAAACTACTAAACGGATTTTGATAAAACTTTACAGTAATGTTGCTTACTCATCAGAAGATGACATAGACTATAATTTATACAACAATTCCAGGTAGTCACCATAGTCTAAAATATTATTCACAAATTCACATTTCTCTAGAATATGTCGTTGCCGATGTTTCACATATACTTTATATACAGCTTTGGGTCTGAACCTAATTTCGAAGTCCATACGGACAAAGTTGTGTGCAAAAACTAGTATAACATGAATACAAATGTTAAAGCAATGTTTTGTTTGAAAACCGATACAATAGGTTATTTATGAACACAATTTAAAGATATACTTACTTTGATTTGTTGATAATTGATTTTATAAGATTAAAAACTTGATTAAATGAATTTAATATAGCTATTTTTCTTTATCATATTAACCTTTCTATATTAAATTAACAACCTTAAAGTTATAAAGCCGTATGTATAATATTTCGTTTCAAAAAATACTAAAATATTTCACAACATAAAACCTCCATGGTATTATTAAATATTAATGTTCATCTTATTATGTATAATATATTCAAGATAAGTATTTTCAAAGTTATAAATATATATCATATAAATGTGATCTGAATTCAAAATGAGCTTTTAGAGTCCAGTAATACAATTTTAGTTCTGTCTGCATCTCAAATCTCGATCGTGCGCCGTCAAAGGTGCCGCGGAGACTTTTAGTGCTCACGACACGGATACGACACGATATATCGCGTCATTATACACGTGGGTTGTAAAAAAATTATCGATAAAAAAAATATATATATATATTTTTATTTATTATGAATTACTAGTTTTTTTATAGAATTAATATGAATTATATAATTGTTTCAATGGAAATATTTATTCTGTGCTGTGGATGTGTGATTTTTTAATTATATATCGTGTGGAATGTAAAAAAAAAGATCATGAATTATAAAAGTCCCGCCATCGGAGATGGGTCTAACTTTACTGCGCTTTTTATTACAGTTCTTGTTCTCTTTGGAATGTAACCGTTTATATTTAGAATTCGCATTTTCCCGCTTTTATTCTTGTTTTTAAACTGGCCACAGTCTGTTGCTAGCTGCGGTTTGACTTTTTTTTTTTGCAAACCCGCGTCTGGACGTAGTATCAAAAAGTTTTAAATAAATCACCACACAGATTAAATTCAGCAAACACAGTCCATATAATAAACATTTAATACTAAGATAATGTGTTATTCATAAAATATATAATATGCGTGGGATTGTTATATTAAAACTTGTGTTGATATGTCAAATCATTAAAGTTACCGGAGCTGTAAATAATTGGTTGATAATAACAAATTACAGTTCCCGACATGAGGTCATTAAAAGCCCCGCCCGCTGTTCCAGATTACATTCCATTTTCAAAACGATTATTATACAGATAGCGCGGGACAACTTTTTTTTTTTTTTTGGACCAAGAAGGTTGAATGTGAATCGTTTAAAAAGTATTTAATAAGGGATGATTAATGTTGGCTGTATGTATTAGTTTGCTGTACAATTATTCGGACAGTAGTGAGCGGGCCGTGCTGGGAGGTTGACGTGTTTTTGTGTGAGGATTTTGTGAAATGAAGTGCTCTGTGGTAGCATTTATTTTGTGTTCAGTAACGTTTTGTAGAGGCGGTGGTGAGTTAATTATTTTAATTACATTATATTAATTATTATTATTATTATTATTTATATATATTAAGTTTAATTTCTTTTGAATAACATGCCCTCTGCGTCGGTCTTATCACCTAAAATAATTGGCTCTAGTTCTATAAAACTTATTTTTTTTTAAATATAAATTATTAATTAGTTTACGATTTAATGAGAAAATTATATTTATTTCCTGTTCAATATCAATATATAATAATATTATGATAATAAATGTATAAAGAGGATTTACTGTTTTTTGTCTTAAATAAAAGATATATTGTATATTAATGTGAATGTTTGTATTTGCGTAACTTTGATAGACTAAACAAAATCAGATGAACTTTTTCCTTAAAAATTTTGTGAGTACAGATAACCGGTAGGTATTTTAATAAAGTTTATAGATAATATTTCATTTTAATTAAAAAATAATGTCATGCAACATTTTTTGTTAATTAATTTGTATGACCAAGTACATGTAGGTAAAGAAATTATCAATTTATTTTCTAGTTTTTTTTAAATTTAATTGAAAGCCGAGTTCTTTGTTTCTAAAACATAATATTATGAAAAACAATTCAACTAGTTGTTTAATTAGAAGTAGTTACTTATAATTATAACAAACAATGCTACAATTACTGTAGTAGTTTGCGGTACAGTTTTTATGTTGACTCTTTACGGATGTACTTTCTATATGTTTTTTTAAGGATAATATATAAGATTTCTTCTTCTTCTTCTACCTGGCAATTTCCCAGCTATAGCCAGGGTCTGCCTTACTTGTTGTGAATAGTTTTTTGGCTATTTGTTTTTACCACCGGCCCGCGCCCTCTGCGACAAGAGGCGGGCCCTCTAACCACTGAGCCACCACTGACTTAATATATAAGATTTATATAGTATTAATAATACGGAAACCGGTTAAAAAATGAATAAATTAAACTCGACTTGTCAAATAGCGTAAGAAATATAAAAAAAATAAAATCGAAATGGCGGGTTTTAGGTGCAATGATGTGATTTTGGGTGAAAATCTTTAAAATTATTCAATTTTATATGAAAATTATAAAAAAATTATAAAAAAATAAAATTCTTTGATTCATAATATTTTCGTATGAACTATAATTATAAAATTAAACTCTTTATAGCAATTTTATAAAATTTTGATTTGTCAACGAGGTATGGAAAAGAATGTTATACTAAGAATTTATTACTTTACTTGGAGTGTTAAAATAGTCAGTGGTAACATAGTGGTTAAAAGGCCCGCCTCTCATGCATGAGGGCGCGGGTTCGATCCTAGCAAGTACAAATGTGATTTTTCCGAGTTATATGTACTTTCTAAGAGTATTTAGACATCACTGATTAATACATTCCCAAAGAGGGTTGATGTCAGGCAGGCGGCCGGTCGTAAAAACAATTAGCCATAACTATTCACAACATGTAAAACAGACCTTGGCTAAAGCTGGGAAATTGCCAGGTAGAAGAAGAAGACTTTATTAAAATGTCATTTAAGTATTGTTTCGAAAGTTTGTATAAGTATAAGTTTTATATTTATATTAAAAAATATATAAAAAAAAGATCTTAACTTACAACAAGAAGGCTATATATTTTTTTTATTACAAGAATTTTTTTATTAAATATTTTACACTTCCAATAGTATAATATAATTTAGAATTTGAACCTGCTTCTTACGGAAATCGCACCACAGTCTATTTGATAACTAGACTATCGGACCCTCACTTCTAATATATAATAAGATACATATATATATATATAAGCGACTCATCTTTTTTATATATAAAAGAAAGTCATGTTAGTTAAACTATTTATAACTCAAGAACGGCTGTACGGGTTTGGATGAAGATTGGTCGAGAGATAGATTAGAACACAGAAAGACATAAGATAATTTCATCCGATTTAATAAGAAAAAAATATATGTTGATCAAATCCAAAATATTATCTACAGTCTTTAAGGAGGAATATAGTTCGCCCGGTCAGCTATACATTTCTTATTCTGAAACTAAAGCAGACGAAGTCGCGTGCAAAAATTTGTATATGTAAATATATCATAAGTAACTGGCTTAGAAATAAATCGCATGTACTATTATCCGTCCAAATATTGATTAATATTATAGTCCAAATAGTGTATATTAAAGTTTTTATATGTCTTAAATGTTAAGTTTCACGATTTGTTCTGTTTCCTAAAAATGACATAATTAATTTTCTCTTCATTAAAGTGCAATTAATTTAAAATCTGTTATAAATTCATTTAAAATCTCTTATAATTTGTAACAAACTAGATATATATGTATTTATTAAAGATTTGCTATATTTTTTTATAGTTAGCAATTTTATTTTATTATTATTGTGTGTCGTCGTCATCAGCCTATCAGAGCCCATTGCTGAGCAAAGGCCTCTATCTCACATGGAGAAGGTTTGAGCATTATCACCACGCTTGCTCAAGACGGGTTGGTAATTTCAAACTTATAATTGTGAAACTATAAGTCCAGGTTTCCTCACGATGTTTCATTGTGTGTAGATGAAACTAATCTTTATATAACTTGTATAACTATTACTGAATGCATTTTTTTTTACTCATTTTGTTTGAAAATATACATGAAATTCTTGGTTAGTTTGCGATGAACCATCTACATGTTTGATAAAAAAAGATTTAGCAAATATTAAATATGAGATCGTGGTGGCCTAGTGGTTAAAGGTCCTCCTCTCGTGTATGAGGGCGCAGGTTCGATCGTGGCAAGTACCAATGTGATTGTTCCGAGTCATACCTATGTATTATCTAAGAGTATTTAGACACCACTGACTGATGAAGGAAATCATCGTGAGGAAACCTGGACTTGTAATTTCAAATTAAAAGTTTGAAATCACAAACCCGTCTTGAGCAAGCGTGGTGATTAATGCTCAAACCTTCTCCATGTGAGAAGAGGCATTTGCTCTAATAGGATCTTCTTCTTCTACCTGGCAATTTCCCAGCTATAGCCAGGGTCTGCCTTACATGTTTGAATAGTTTTGGGCTATTTGTTTTTACGACCGGCCGCCTGCCTGACATCAACCCTCTTTTTTTTGGGAATCATCATTAATCAGTGATGTCTAAATATTCTTAGAAAGTACATATGATTCGGAAAAATCACATTGGCACTTGCCCGGGCCAGGATCGAACCCGCGCCCTCGAAGACGAGAGGCGGGCCCTTTAACCACTGAGCCACCACTGACTTACTTGAGGATGATGACGACGAAATACGAGAAAATAAACTCATTTCTTTATTAAAATCATTGTTTTCTTAACTCTATTTAAAGGAAGATACTTCAATATTTTCTTTAATTAACCAACCGTTTTAAGATTAATTTATACAATAGCTAACTGTCTAAAGCTGAATTTATGTGTAAGCCTTTTTTATGTAAGATCTAACTAAAGCTTAGTTATAAAATAGCCAATAGCTAACTTAATTTATATGAAAATTTCAATGCAGCTGTTTCTTTACACAACTTTCTTCCATCTAAATATATCTCTAAGTGATTCTGCGCATTATATTTCGAATTAACTAAATATACATATACTACCTTTCCGCCCGCAGCTTCGCCCGCGTGGAGTTTTGTTATATCGCGTTTCCAAGAGAACCTTTCAAAAGTCTGGGATAAAAACTATCCTATGTTCTTTCTCAAGGTCAACTCCATCTCTGTACCAAATTTCATTAAAATCAGTTCACTGGTTTAGGCGTGAAAGCGTAACAGACAGACAGACAGAGTTACTTTCGCATTTGTAATTTTAGTAGGGATGTAATTTCGTTTATATATATTGATTATATAGCTTAGATTTTATATATGTTTCTTTGTTAGTACAGGAAAAATCTTGTATTAATTATGTAGGTATTGAGAAACTTTATTTTTACTTCGACTAACACGTAATTCTATTAATATTAAATCTTTGATGTCCTTTAGCTTTATTTTTTATAAGACATTATTTTTATTTTTAAACAAAGTATAAGCGTACAGCGTACTTTACTCAATAAAATTTGTGGTATTTAAAATAATTATCTACTTTAAGTATTTTCTCATATAATAAAGACAAAAAATTATGTACGTGGTTTATAAGGAAAAATAGATATATAAAAGGTTTAGAAAATTAAAGATAATTTATATATTTTTTTCTAGTATAACACAAATATAATCTTTTACCAAGAATGATTAGAAGAATATATTAGAAGAATTATTATTAATTTGAGTTCAAAATGCGTACACTTTGTCCAAAAGTACGTAACTAAAAGATTTTTAACATCAAGAAAAAAAATAATTATGAAAACATGCTCTACTTTCTTAAGAACTTAAACAGCCTGTATTATAGTAACTTTTTTTACTAATTATCGATTCTTTAGAAGCATTTTTCCCTCAATCTGTAGATTCTAATTTCTAATCAATTTATAATGTTATTAACAAAAATATATACTGTATATACATACATATATACAATTTATTGGATAAATGATAATTTCTTATGAAGTTTGTAGCAAAAGGAAATTATTTAATCCAATGATAGTATTTACAGACGGGATACAGTTGAAAATATATTCTGTTTATTTCAAATTATTCTAACATTTTATTAATTCTCATTTCTCTTCTCTTCATACCTATAGCTCGAACAACGGTAAATACATTACGGTATTATAAATACTTTATTACTGGAAAATCTGATATTAATGCCGTCAGCTGGCAAATGTTAGTATGAAGAGTAAAACAATAAAGTATTCTTAATTATTTACATCAATTATATATATAATATATACAGTATATATATATGCTAAATCAAATAAAATCAGTGGTGGTCTAGTGGTTGAAAGGCCCGCCTCTCATGCACGAAGGCGCAGGTTCGATCTTGGACCTGGCAAGTAGCAATGTTATTTTTCTGAGTCATATGTACTTTCTTAGAGTATTAAGAGATCACTGATAAATGCATTCCCATAGAGAATTGATGTCAGGCACACGGCCGGTCGTAAAAACAATTAGCCAAAACTATTCACAACATGTAATCCAGATCCTGGCTAAAGCTGGGAAATTGCTAGGTAGAAGAAGAAGATGCTAAATCAAATACAAATAGTGAAAACAAAGTATTGATGCCAGTCTGTATTAAAATACCGTTACACTATCAGAATCGAGCCGGCCACACACGTTTTGCATATTAGAAAATCCTTTTACACCGCGGGCCAATATAAGTGATTACTTTACAATTTTATTATATATTCATTTATGTTGTGTTCTTTGTCCTTAAGTTAGTTTGTAAATTAAACCGTTTTTTGTGCTTCTGTTTGTAAATTTTTAGTTTTTCTAAGAACACTCGCGTAAATTAATACGTATTAAAATAAATTCAACAAAAGAGAATATGCCCTACATTAATTATTTCTAGTATAAATAATATGTAGGCATAGACATTTATTACGTTAATTTTGTAGTTATAACATTTTATATTATGTTATAGCTTTACATACGAAAATAACAAATCTTTGACACTCATGCCGAGTATTAAACAGTTTTATATAATTTTGCTTAGGTATTAGTTAAATATTTTTAAACGATATTTTTAAAGGAACTGTTTATATTTAATATATATCAATTTCATATTAACGTTGAATTAATATTAATTGAAAAAGTCATGTTTTTTACAGACAATATTTTTTGTATATAATTATTTTGGCCGCAAGTGTAGATCAAGCAACGGGCTGTCGAGGGCATTAGCATCTGTGAATCCGGCTTACAAATGTATTGGTTTATAAACTTGTTAAAACATATTAAGATATATATATGTATATATATACACTGATAATACTATATGTTCATATTAATAATCATATATTAGATTTGAAAACTGTTTTTTTTTCTTTATACTAGAAATATATTCCAGTTTATTATATTTATTTCCTTAAATATACCTTTAAACAGCTTTAAATAACGATTAACCTAACTCAAACTATTTAATTGTTAGTTTTAACTGTAATACGTATTAAACATATATTATTCTACCTGGCAATTTACCCAGCTATAGCCAGGGTCTGCCTTGCATGTTTTGAATGGATTTGGCTAATTGTTTTTACGACAATATATATTTTTTATTAATACTTCATAAAAGGGATAACGTTATCTTAATGATGTCATGATACGTAATGTGTCACTATTGCCCTTGTATAAAACAAAACAACAAAACATGCCAATATAATGTACATTAATTAGATGATAAATCAATAATTAACTGATTATTCAGATATATTAGATATGAGTTTTATATCCCTACTAATATTATAAATGCGAAAGTAATTTGTCTGTCTGTTTGTCTGTTACGCTTTCACGCCTAAACAACTGAACTGATTTTAATGAAATCTGGTACAGAGATAGAGTTGACCTTGAGAAAGAACATAGGATAGTTTTTATTATCGACTTTTGAAAGGTTCTCTTGGAAACGCGATATAACCGAACTCCACGCGGGCGAAGCTGCGGGCGGAAAGCTAGTGATTAATATTATTATGAGAAAGTTTGTTGAAATTATGTAAATATATGTCTGTGTGATTACCTATACAAAAATTACTAAATGTATTTTTGTTTAAATGAAACTAATATTTGTTAAATTTTTGGATAAAAAACTACATACTCCCGACGTTTCGGTTACTTTACAGCAACCGTGATCACGGACATACGAGATGCACATCTTGAGAATTTAGTATTTTATCAAAAATAAAATCGCGGTCTACATTCGAAAAATATTAGTTTTCAAATGAATACTCACGAAAATTAGATCTCATTATGCATTTTTGTAAATTTAGACATCATAGTAATATAAACGTTACAATTATTAAAACAAAATAATTTTGTTTACCTAAAAAGCGTGGCGTAAGTTGTTTTGTATGAAGTTTACTTTCTCAAAATATAGATGGCGCTGAAAGTTGTTTCCATATCTAGTTTGAGTACTTTATAAATTTCTCTTTGCACCCAATTCCGAAGTCCAAGCGGACAAAGTTGCGGACATAAACTAGTTATTAATATTAAACGCGTAACTGTTTACGAATAAATATATCGATTTATATTTTATGGCGAAAATGTAAGCTCTTATGCTTTTTTTAAACTATGGCTTCATTTGCATCTTTAGATATTATGTTGTATTATTTTTAGCAATAGTAATTTATTATTTCATCAATGACAAGTGCGATTTTTTATTGTATTTTTACGAAACGGAATCTAACATATTAGCCCGTAGATTATTGTGTGTTTACGAACTATATATTCTGTATTTATTTTAACATTCACTTCTATAATATATTTGCAACAAAAACTACTATCTGTCAACATTAAAGATAAATATATTTTTGCCTATAAATATGGACTATTATGATAATTGTCATAATATTATTTTTTTTCCTGTACGTCTAGGCACATAGCAAATCAACTAGGATCAATTGAGTATTTCATACCATATAAAAACTACTTTCTTAGAATCAAACGTCAACAATCATTAAATAGGTCTTATTCTAGATTCAAATAGATATTTTTTTAGCTTCAATAAACCACAAATGGAACGGCGTCGTCTGTCTCGACATCAATTTATTAAAACGATGACAATTAACATTGTCTACGAATTGTTTTATTCGTCCTCGAAAACTGTGTTATGAAGACCGCGAAATGATAATTAAATCTTTTAATAAATGATACTCTGACTTGAGTTTGGAAACGCAATACATAAGTTATACTCATCTACTTATACTAATGGACATGCCGTACCCGTATAATCTGCAATAATTTTTTGGTTTGAAAGAGTGAGAGAGATGGCTTATGCTTTCGGTATAGCACTATCTCTTTCCTTATAGATGATTCTTGTATATTCGAGTAATGAGTTAAATTTGAGAGAGATAAAGATAGACCGAAACTTCGTTTCCTCTCTTTCTTTCGGAGTGCCACAATTCAGAAACGTCAAAATGACAGACCCTTGTTAGTTGTAGGTTTGTAGCCAAAAAGAGAAATGGATAAAAACGGTTTAGAAATATTTTAATAAATGAAAACTTTGTTGATACATTTGTTACACTTTTTTTACATAAATCTTTTTGTGTTATTATTAAAATGGGTTCATTTAAGTTGCGTAAAAGACTATAGAATATGACGTTCCTTTTAGCTTCAATTAATTCAGCATTTAATTATTTTGTTTTCGATTTTACTAACAAATCTTTTGAACATTAAAAGTTGAATCATAATTAATCAGTATTTGTTTTATCTTAAGACAATAAAAAGATTCAACTTACAGGCATAATAGAACGTACAAAATAGAAATAATAAAAAAACCATGTCAATTGTAATAAGTAAAAGAAATATCGTCATACAACTCAATTTTACATTACAGTAATCCCAAAAAACCATATATAACCACAATATATTATATAGTAACTAAAAAACTAAATGAATGTAAAAAATATATATGTTATAAGAGACGTAATTCATTAATAATCTGTTATCTCTCCCGGGTCGTGTACTCGTCACTATTTACTACGAAATGCACACATGACCGTTGTTATACTGATAACAGATTCTTTGAATCGACGATTTGACAATGAACTCCGGATTATATAGGAACATATCATATATTGTTGAGAATATTTTAGTATTATTCTTTAGCTCAATGTTTTTCATACGACCCCTTTGAGTTGAAAAATTTTGGAGACCCCTTGTGCATAGACAGGCTAATTATAAAATTAATAAGTTAAAGACATTCTCTGCAAAACAAAAAAGAGAAATAAACTTAATTTAAAGCTGATTTATTAGTTTTTCTTCTGCATTTTTTATGTGTAAATTATATATAATATCTGTGATTATAACTTGACATAATAAAACAATTTTGATACTTAAACAAAGTTTTTTGTTTACTTACGTTTCTCGTTATAGCAATATTATTAACTTAGAAAATGCTTAAACGATAGTGTATTTGGACGAAGTCAAATATGAAAGTATGTGTATATGACAAGGTTTACTGTTTGGCATTTTAATCTAAGTAATTGGTATCAAGACGAATTGGTTAGTTGATAATATTTTGTTAGATTTTTATATTACGACAAAGCTATCTCTGTGGTGTAGTAATTATTGAGACAATTGTTGTCGCTATTAATAGAACTGCAATAATTGTGAGGTTAAAGTTCAAATTGATCCGGCGTTCCGAATAACGTGCCGTGAAAGATATTATACGATACGGATAGGGATACGTAATGAATTATGGATCTGGATCCATTTATGTTTGGATAAATATCCTATTGGTAATAGTAGGCTGGAAAACCATAGTAAAAAGTATAGGTAAAAGGTTTTTGATGTTTAAAACTTAAATGGCCATTAATGTACGAATCTTAAGCATGTATAAAGTTTGTTAGTGACTAAAATATGGTATGATATTAATTTATAAAAATATGTTATACGAAAATGTAAGCAGAAAAGGGTTCAAAACTACTAATAATTATATAACTTTTAATATTTAAAGTTTTTGTTAGTACATAATTATATATAACTATGTTTTTCGGATTTACTTCACTTATTTTCTAGTATTGAACATTTAAAAAGACTTCGTTTAGATTGAAGTAACCATGATCACTTGTAGAAGCGAAGTTTAGTCAAATATGTTATAATAAACACTAATTTAATCCAAAAAAATATAGTTCATAGTTTAGTTTTAGAAATTTACTCAATTTTATTTTTACAGTTATAAAATGCACCCCCGGTTCAAAAGACGAAAACTGTGTAACAGATAATTTCGGGAAAGGTACTTATTTGTTTTTTATATGAAAATATTTTGCCTCTTATTTATTTTAATTTATATAGGAATGATATATGAAAGAATATAATGTTTTTTTGCTTATTTAGAATTGCTTGTTCGACAAAAACGTCAAGATCGTATTGTGGAAGAGTGTAGCCCAAGGACTGAATGGGAGAGCCAGTGTCATAAATGTATTTGTTCAGACTCTGGGCAAGCGTTGTGCTTTAAAATCGATGGATGTCGCTCCGGCAGTGGTAAGAAGTCTTTTATTAATTTAGCCTTACTTTAAGTCATAATGAAATCAAGGTTTTGAGTTATTTTTTCATGAATACAGTTGTTTTAGTTATTTCTTTATTATAATTAAGTATGAGAAAACTAATAGTCTTTAATTTTATATTGGATGGATTGAATTACAAAATGTCTTAATTGAGAATGATAATAAGAAATGATTGAAATAAAGTTTTAAAGAAATCACGCTTTTAGCTCTTACCTTACATTCGTTGTAAGGAATTTGTTAATAATATTTAATTTCGCATAAAACTGCAGCTTTTAATATTCACTTATTGTGACAGTAAAATAAAAAACTATGTATATAAGACTAAGACTAACAAGTGTTTGCCTAAAGTTAGAATCCATTGCCGTATTTGGTATTGAGATTTATAGATATTTATTACCTATTAAAAATTTCATTATTCATATAAACAAATCCATGATTGAACATAGTTTAAATATTTTCAACTATATTAATCATTAAACATACATAACTTTATAAAATTATGGTTAACGTCAAATTAAAATTTACATATTTATCAAGTACCCACTATAATAAATGTGATATTTTTTTAATTATATCTATTATATTGTATTTTAATAAGGCGTTTTTTCAGGTGAGCCCGTAAGATGCAAGCCAGAATCCAAGTTTTCACGTGACTGCAATAGTTGCTTGTGTACGAACAATGGTAACGTTATTTGCACGCTGAAGGCTTGTGTGTCGACGTTTGTGAAAGAACAGGCAAGGAGTAAGTTACATATTATGTATAGAACTACTTAATTATAGCATTACTTAACATCGAAGGCAGCCGTAGTAGGTTCTTTTCATATTTGGTTAGGTAGAGAGAGGAGCTTGTACAGTGGAGGCGAGCGTTTAACGCGCGTTAGATAGAGACCCCTTAAACCTACACCTGGGTCGTAAGTCCCAGTCACTGTTGAAGCTCCTCTCACTACAACGATGGACCCGACACACGCACCGTGAATAAATGCATTGAATGAAGAGAAGTTTCGTCTCTCTTTGATGAGCTTAATATAGATAACCTTATAGTTTCATAACATTTTCTTTCTTCTAAAACACAACAAAATATCTCGTATCATTTGTAAGTGTTAATTCATACAAATTAATAGTTTTAATTCCTACTTAAAATTTGCCTTCATTATGTCACTGAGAGAAGGTATTCTTTAGTAAGGAAAAATTGGGACCATTTTATCTTTCAAACATCATACTTCAATTTTTTTTCAATATATGTGTGTGTGTGTGTTAAAAATTATTAAGTTTCATTTGTTACGTAAGAAATACATGTATTTTATTATTTTCAGATGCCGTTAGCGACGATTTGAGGGTGAGTTGGATTATTTTATATTAATCAAACAATACTACATATTTGCACACAGCACAATTTTATCATTACATATCATAAAAAAATGTGTGGGTTTGAGGAACAACAAAATGAAAGTCTTTTTTTCGATATTTGGCTTTTATATTTATGTTTAATCAAAACTGAAATAGAAGTTTTAAAATAGATTGATTATTAGGTAAAGAGAATTATATTGGCCGATAAATAAACTAGATATTCACTTTTTTATTATTCTGAATATTGAAAAAATATAAAATATATGCAATCTTTGCAAAAAACATCCCATATTTATTCAAAAAACAAATATTTCGTAGCATATGTATAAGTAAACGAAAAAGTACCTATAATATTATAAATGCAATAATAGTTTTGAACAGTCATCGGTCTGATAATTGTTTAATCCAGTACAGGCTTTTAAAACACATGTCTAGGTTTTAATTAACGTGATATTTCGTTGTTTTTACTTTGACGACTATTTACAATAAAAATATAAAAAGAACCATTTAACATTATTATTTTCTCGAGTATAACGACTAAAACTTTTCACTGCACCTCGGTTTTGGAAACTTTTAGAGAAAAGTCACAAAAATCATCTTATTAAAGTCAAAGCACAAAGATTAATTATGGATTCGGTCACAAGCTTTCGGTGGTGTTACTTCTAATATTGTGTTGGTTTCAACTATCAAACTACAAGTTATTAGTGTTCCACTTAAGTTTTAGCGAAGTTGACTATAGTTTAAAATATTAGTAGAATTATACATTAATTAGATTTAGTTTTATATATTTTTTTATATAAAAATGTCGACTTTGCTAAAACTTTTTAACGTTTTGGGTTTGCACTCGAATTACAAGGTAAGATCTTTTTATGTTTTATATTTTAATATATTCATTTGAAGTAGCTTGAAACATTTAACATTTGATAATAGTCTAAGATACCAGGGTTGCCATTTCTTACTAATTTTCTGATGGACTAAACATTGTTCACAAAAGGCAATATTTATTCTCTATTTTCCTATAGGATAGGTTCACTTCAGCTATAAGTGACTACAAATTTTACGTACCTGATGCACCTTGTACCTGAGAATTGGCCGTCGCGTTCGTATAAGCTAGCACATACACATATATTTACTGTACACACTATTACTAACCTAGTATAAAAGTTTTTCCCATCAGAAAATAAGCCTATTCTGGCAGACATGGAATCTTGGTCCATATAAAATTGTTTTTATAGCAATCTAGGTAGAAAGAAATAAACAACACTCGTCAAACAAAAATGTAATTAATATATATTATTTAAATTTCAGGAATTAAAATTAAGTAAAACGAAAAGATCGAAGGTATGCAGTCCAAATGCGACGTATAAAATCGAATGCAACACATGTCTTTGTTCTGACGATGGTGAAAGTTTTGTTTGCACTATGATGGGTTGCAGTGAGGAGGACTTGAAAATGTCTGATGTGGAATTAATAGATGGGGAGGTAATTTTTGGTTTTAATTCAAAATTTCATACAAAATACGCATGACTTATTTGGTCTATACTCTAGCGTTTGAAGTACTGTGACCATTTGGTATAGCATCATACTAGGATGCCATACTAGTGGTTAATTGTCAATCTCAGATAAAAGTATTCTTCTATTTTTATGTACTATTTTGCACAGTAACAATAATGTTGCACAGTCACGTTAAACGAAATGAAACCGTGTCAATAATAAGTAATAAAAATATAATTTTATTTAAACGCCAAAATGTAAGTTATGAGAGACGAAACTCTCATCATTCAATGTATTCACGGTGCGTGTGTCGGGTCCATCATTGTAGAAAGAGGAGCCTCAACAGTAACTGAGACTTGAGACCCAGGTGTAGGTTTAAGGGGCCCCTATCTAACGTGCGTTAAACTGTCACCTCCACCCTCAAAGCTCCTCTCTCTACTTAACCAAATTTGAAAATATACTAGCATTAATCTTTTCCGAATATATACAGAAGTTATTTCGACCAAACGAATCATAATTTTTCTAATAATATCAGCACTACTATTGAATAATGATTAGAAAATGACTAAGTATAGTATAATTAATGTTATCAGGAAAGAATTTCAAAGGAACGTATAGATAAGCCGAATCAAATCGTTTGCAAACCTCGACGAACGTTCTATATCGGTTGCAATACATGTTTATGTAACATTCACGGGTCGAACTATTCTTGCACCAACAAACCCTGCCCATTGCCCAAAGATGTCGAGATATTCCATGAATTGACGGTAATTTTTCCTTCATATAGGCCATAACATAACTATTTTCTTGGATTCATAAGAACAATTTATTTAATGCTTATTTTTTTTGCAGGAAAAGAAATCGATCGTCCCATAGTGAAAAACACAAAAAAAATAATAATTCAAAATGAAATATATATGTTTTATATTGAAATAAACTATTATATTTATAATTGGTTTTTATTTTGCCCTTAAAAATGCTATTTATTGGGATCTATTCTAACAATTTTATCTGCAGTTCAGAAGATCGGTGGCATCAGCCAAGCCGGTGGTGTGCGCTGCTAACAGAATGTTCATCAAAGATTGTAACACTTGCTGGTGCAATGAAGACGGTACAAGCTTCTTCTGCACGAGAAAAGTCTGCGTCGAAGAACTACCAGAAGAAGTCTCAGAGCCTGTGGTAAGAAAAACTATAAAGATTTCTATAGTAACATATTAATAAAGTCTACAGATTCTTGGATTTGTAATTTTTCAACGGAATTTTTAGTCCTTATTATGTTAAAAGACAGTAATGTTCTTATAGTAATTGCTGTAGTAAATGAAAAAGACGAACCACAAACCAGTTAATCATCTGCATGTCATATCAAATTTATCAAACTTCTCGAATGTTCTAAAATCTAATGTAATCTAATCCTCTTTTCTTTCATTCGTAATAGTAAACAATCATTATTAGTTAGTGTTACCAGTGGAGCCCTCCGTGCTGTACTAATTATAATATACTATAATCCTTAGAATTATTTATATTACTGATTATAATTAATAATACTGAACCATTGTAACTTTGTAATGACAACATTTAAGTATCAACCTAAATTAATTGAAAACTATGTATTAATACTAGCTTCAGCCACTTCGTAAGATAACTGGAAATAACGCTGAATAATTAACACATCTGAAACCGTATCTCTAACATTATGTAGGATAATCTTAACTTTTTTGGACAAGTTGATATAGATGGTTTTTATTAAAATTTCAGAAAATCCATGAGATTAATGGGACTTGCCGGCCTGATGAAGTGTTTGAGATGGATTGCAATACGTGCCGCTGTAATCCTGATGGATTGTCCTACTCTTGTACAAGACGAGCTTGTCCTATTGGTGGAGAGGTGAGCATATATAATTTATTCAATACCATTGATTTCTTACACATTTTAAATATAACGTCGGTATAGTGCAAATCCGCGTAACTAGCATTGTATAATTCCGCGTATCTACATTGGAAGCAGATTATCAGAAGTAATTTTAAGCTGAAATAATTTCTATATTTAAGACTTTTAAGGTATTTTTTTCACAATTAGTAATTATTTAGTGTTTAATTTAGGATACGCTGAATTGTCCTATTGTAGCTACTCGGATTTGCACTATCCCCGACGATAAGTAATAATATGCCTATGACTGCCTTTAAGATTCATTATCAATTTCAATCATTGTACCTTAAATATGTTTATTTATATAATAAAAAGAATATGCAAATCAATTTAGTTATAAATCTATAATGTTATTATTTTTAATCTTATTATATATTATCTTATGTTACTTTTACGGTTTCATTTACAGGAACTGCCGCTGAGAAGAAAGACGAGATCTACATCGCAGGTATTTATATGAGCGTGTTGTGTGTATGTTTATGTATATTGTTTATTCATTGATTTGTTACAGCAAACATCAAGAACAGCTGAAGCACCAAGAATAGCTCAGTTAATAAAGGTGTGTTGTATTTCATTTGGGATGAATATGGCACTTTGTATCCCAAAAAATGCACCGAAAAAAAATAATAGTATATAAAATATTTGTATGGCAAATCTTAAATAAAATCTATTGTACATGAACAGGTTGATGCTGATTTTTAGCAAATAACTAGTTTCCAGTATAGGATAAATGATTATTTATATATATATCGTCGAAGATAGTGGAAATCCGCGTAATTACGTAAAAAAATTACCTTAAATTTGGTCAATTGGAAAATATTTTAGCTTAAACTTTCTTCTAATCTGCTTCCAATGTAGATACGCGGAATTGTCCAGTGTAGTTACGCGGATTTGCACTATCACCGACGATATATTTGTGTAAACTCAGCTTTATATAATAAACAACCAGATATAACGCATGTAATGTTCAGTAGGGGACGCCGAAGAACTGCCAGCCGGGGCAGGAGTTCAGGATGGACTGCAACAAGTGTCTCTGTGATAATGAAGGGCAGAACTTCTCCTGCACTCGTATTGATTGTGCAGCTTTGAACAGCAACGGAAATGGTGGCACGAGGGTTAGAAGGGGTGAGGGTTTTTGGAGATATGTCTATTAAACTTGCAGAAAAATCTCAATGTATAAATAATTGTTTTGGATACTGTTTACGATCATTTTGCATAGTCCAAATTTGAATCGTCCAAATGAATACGAAATTTTTGCCGTTTATTTTTCAATAGCATACATGAAAATCTAGTTAGGTGATAAGTAACAAGACCAACTGACAGACATTCACATCTCTTCTGCCCGTAATTATTGTTGCTGTAAAGTAGGCAAAAAATCGGGAGTATGTAGTTTCTTACAAAAATAAAGTGGCGTAGTATAATCCGAAGAATGTTAGTTTCGTTTACATGATAATCTATTGATTCCTCTTTGTGATTTTGGAAGTTTCTGGTATAATTCTTATTTGTTCTATATAGAAGATCATCTCAATTTCTCAATATCTTCACAGAGGTATCAACTCGTGAAGAATCTGGTTGTACTCCAGGCAGTGTGTTCAGTCAGGACTGTAACACGTGCCGCTGTACGGAGGACGGCGGACACGCGACCTGCACACTCAAACAATGTGTTAAACCTGATACAGGATATGAGCTGAACCAACCTGGTAAATATAATTAAACTATAGAATATAGTTTAGAAATAGTTCAGAAGTATAGTAGATGATATATAGTGAAGTGATATAGAACAGTGCAGTAATTAACACGTAGCGTACATTGAAAGATGATAAAGTGATCATATTTTTTGCAATATCATTAAATTTCTGTCCATAAATCATTGTAATTTTTTCTATGTACATATTTATTTATAACTAGCTGACCTGGCAAACGTTGTTTTGCCATATAAAAAATAGGGTTTGGCGATAAAATAGTAAAAATTTAGGGTTGTATGTTTGTTCATGCCTCATTATAAAAAAATAAAAAGAAAAAATTTCTTCCAAAACTTATAAAATATATTTTAAAGGTGAACAACCCTTATCACTTAGGAATATGAAAAATAAATACTAGCCGATTTTTAACTACAGAATAGGCATATATTAAATTTTATCAAAATATATATGTATGTTAATGTCCAAAACTTATTTCCTCTAGAGTCAGATCCAAACTTCCGTTGTAACCCTGGCGAGCAGTTCAAGAGGGATTGTAACGACTGTACTTGCAGCGCCAACGGACGAGGAGTCTTCTGTACACTTCGTATCTGTGACTTTGAAATATAAATAATATCTTACGATGTAATTCTATCATATTGTATTACACAACTAGATTGTCCTTAGACAGACATTTACTGACAAATCTGCATTGATTTGGCCTAAAATTTTGTACAAATTAATTCATGTTTAAATTTTGTTTGACGATTTCATTTATATATGTTTTTTGGACAATATTATTGTATTGAATTACATCGTGTGATGCTATAGTAATTTACAAACGTTTTTTTGTAATCCATGGACCATGGACGTAAAAGTATTTATAACTCCTTCACTTAATTTGGACATTAGTTATTTTATGAGATTAAGATAATGCTTTGTTTCTAATAATGTCTTTTTTTTGTAAGTTAAGATCAGATTTAGGTCTCTTCTAGATAATAATTATATCATTTAAATAAAATGTTTAAATTCAGGTAAGTTTTTTGATGTGTGAGTCTTGTGAGTATGTGTGTTGATCAATATCATTTTATTTACTTTCGTAAACTTTATATCGCCTCGCCTTTTTCCATACTAATACATTATCTTAAATAAATACTCATTTTTTAAATGATTATCTTTGTAGGTAGTGAAATTTTTTACTTTACGTAGTTTTTGTACTTCTCTGAACTTGCATCAGAGCTTCTCAAATATGTAAGCTGGAGATTTAAAACATTCTTTTAAACGATGTTGAATTTTGAAAAGCTCTGAACTTAAAAATATGTTATTATGTGAATTTTATCACGAAACGAATAAAGATAATGAAATACATAGAAGTTTTTTTATTGCATCTAAATAATTATTCCTTTTATGCTTGAAGAAAACTTTTTAAGGCAAAAGTTCACCTTTCTAATCTTTTGTATATATTCTCGTAAAATTTTATTAACAATTAATGATTATATGATTATAATTATATGATTAATGATTATTTTATTATATGATTTAAGTGAAAAAAAAATAATGTAATAATCTAAGTATGTATAGTGTTTTTCTTAATTTCTCCTCTTTTCTTAATGTTGTTTGTCTCAGTAACGCCATCTCGTGGTGAAATGTATTAACCTTCATGTTTACGACAAACAAAACGTTGTCATTATATAAAATAGGTTTTATTACGTTTTATACCTATACCATTGTATAATGTTGGACTTTATATAATACGTTATACTAGACTTTAATATTAAAAGTAATTGTTGTACACTACGACGGATTACAGTGGCCTACAGAAGAAAAAATCTTGTCATACAAAATGTAAATTTTCCAGACACAAGTTATACAAATATTTCTATATTTATTGCATTATGGTAATGTAATTGTGTAATGTAATGAATGATGATGTAATTCAAGTTCAAAAAATATATAAACGGTATTTTTTTTCTAAACATAATTTCTATAGATCTTTCTAAGGGAGTTCACAAATAAAAATCAGCGAGCATTGCTGCTGACAATTTGCTATTGTATTGTCTTTAAACAAGCATATTATCATGTTAAAATCTTTCATCATGCTCATCCCATACGACACTAAGATTTCCCGGACAGAGATATAAATACAAGTCCAAAAATGGATTTTGTGTGACATATACTGAGGCTTTATAAGCAAAAAGCTTTCAAATGATAAGTCAGTTTTTATCAGTTTTGGTATTACTAAGAAAATTATTACACTTTTACTAAAGACTAAAAAGCTTTTGTTTTATAGTTGTTCAATTTCAAACTGTAAACTTCATCTATTTAGCGAATTTTTTCACATATTTGTGAACCTACTTACTATGATTATTAAATTCCTTTACTAGTTGGAGGAAATTTTATTATGAGATCTTAAAAGTCTATTCTTTTTCATAACTTTCACTAAGCTTTTCAAGAGTCCAAACTGGATAGAATGAAGAGAGCATAATATAAATGACTTGTACAAAAATCAGTTGTCAAGATTTCACACCCACATAAAAATAAAGAGCAATATGTGTATGCTTACAATTTAATAAGTACAGCAACAACTTTTGCGCCAGCACAAATATTGCGTATGTATTATGTATATATTAAGAATATTTTATTTCTTTAAGTAATACTTAAAGGATGTAGATATAAATGTTCATATTTGTGATAAAAAATATTGAAATGAGGATTGTCTTTATATTAGTATTGTAGATGACGCAAGTATCTATTTTTTTCTAATGTACACAAATTGATTCTCTTGTTTCAGTTGTTTAAATTATTTATTATTATAGTACTTCATTATAGCATCAATGCGATACACTGAGAATGCCAACAGATGTAATAATGTTTCCAATAAAATAAATTAAATATTATTTTAACGTTATATTTTTTATTAATATATAAAAATATAGTAAAATAGGTACATACTTATGAGATTTTTTTTATTACAGTAAAATTTTTAAAGATAGTTTCTTTTAAAACAATTTAGTTAAGCTAAAGTGTTACTGGACTGAACGATTATTTTAAGCCGAAATCTACAAATAATTAAGTTTACTATAAATTTTTAATCTTAAAGCAATGTTGGGCTTATATTTTCAAAATTTAATATAAGAAATACTCAATAACGAAAGTCATACGTTTTATTGGATTTTCATGATATTTTTAAGGATTCTTACCATCCTTTGCTCTGGTGAAGAAAAGAACAGAAATAACTAACGTTAAAGTTTATATTCTATTTTATATATAGTGTGCATAGGTGGTAAAGCCTAGCTGTAGTCATGTAACTACAGCTCGAACACGGGCTGGCTCGACCGGGCAAGTACCACCCTCTTCTCAACATCACCAAAGCATCATACTTTTATCTTCTACACTCTTTTCCTGGTCGAAAATGCATTATATATCCTATATTAAAACAAAAATTAATGTGTGCGACAATTTAATTTATTTTTAAGTCTTTTCAAAGTGATTCTACAAAAGATTTTTGAAGTTTGAATTTATAATAGAATTCTTAAGCGGAGTTTAAAAAACTATTAAGTTAACTAAGAATCTTTTAAATTTACCTAACTATAATCAATTTGAACATATTTCAATTAATGAAAAATCAAGTACGAAATTCATCAACAGAATTAGCTTGAAACTACAGTAAGACTGGCTATTAAAAACTTTACGATTATCAAACTATATTTTTCTTCGATTTCGTCTCAGTAGAAGATAAAAAGAACTACTGCATTAGAAATAATATCAGTCTTAAATCATATTATTAACATTAGAAAGAAAACAATGTAATTAAAAAACAATAATCTAACAAAGTTGACCCCAGAGGAACTCTTGTCTTCATATGTTTAAACAGGTCTTGCATAATACATATTAAAAAACTTCTAATCTATTTTGGCCCAAGAACTACTTGGTTTATTTAAATCTAAAATAGGTCCATTAATTAAATTTTGAGAACTTCGCCATATTATATCTTTGTGTTATGGTTTCAATCTATATTATTCTTAAACAAATAACATTTTTAAACGATGTTAGTAAAAATATAATTGTTAAACAGGTAAGTAAGTATAATTAGCATAACAAATTTATTTTGCTATCGTTTGCAATAAAGCGAGAACTTCCTTATCTTTACGACTTTTTGTAATTTGTCGAATCACAACTGTAATTCAAATATTATTGCGTATAATACATCACGTTAATATGTCCTGGATTGTACTAATATTTCTCAATATATGTGTCGGTGTCAATAGTATATTGTGTAAGTATATGATTCTTATAAGTTCGTAGTTTGGAGGAAATGTTATCTTCTCAATAATGAGTTGTAATATTATCGCGAGTATTCATTTTAATGAAACTAATATTTTTCGGATAGACTACGCGACTTTATTTTTTATAAAAAATTCATACTCTCGAAATTTCGGCTACTTTTCAGCAACCGTGATCACGGGCAGACGAGATGTGAGTCTCTCACGTAGTAAAAAAGTAAGAGAAAGAGAAAAGTTGCCAAAACGTCGGGAGTATGTAGTTTTTTACAAAAATAGAGAATGCGTAGTATAACCGAAAAATATTAGTTTCATTTAAATATCTTCTCAATATTTGCTGTCGATAAATATGGATATTATTCTAAGATTTATTTAAAACAATATTCAAACATAAAAATCTTTTTGACTTTCCAATGTAATTTACTTTTTCTAATGTATATTTACGCTCGTTATCAGTGAATCCACAGCAATCGTGTGTCCCAACTACTACTGTTAAAGGGCCATGTCACGTTTGTGTATGTGACACTCGCGGTGTTTTCATTTGTCACGCCATAAAATGTCAACAGACCAAGGGTAAGTTTAATCTAAATAGGAAGTAGGAAATAAATGCATTATTTCTGACAGATATCCAGACTTTTCTTAAAGTAAGAACTTAGGTTTCTTACTTATAATTGCTATTTATAAGAACATGTTTTAAAAGTAACTCCTAATATTAACGTAATTAATAATTATGTACAGGCTACATAGCTACACTATTTCGTATGCGTTTATTTGTCCAACATTATTTATTTTTTATTTCAAACTCATTGATCCCTTCCTAAGTCAAAAATGATATAATTCTCCGGGCATCTCCGGGCGTATACCCTATGTTGATTCTTCAGACCAGTTTGTCTGTTTGTTGATTACTATAATGAAACCAAAGATACGTATATCCATAAAATACTAAATCCAAAAGCATGAAGAACAATTTTTGTTAAGGACCTTATTAAGAAGTGTAGAACCCAAAAAGTAGTACTTGCATACTTGAAATTAAAATTTAGAAAATAGGTCTTAAATGTGAATGACCTAAATAATTTTTTTTCAGTTAATCCTAGAGTCTCTATGAAAGGGGAATGCCAGCCCAAAATGACTTATAGATACGAAGAGCTCTTCTGCATGTGTAGCTATGAAGGAAAATGGATGTCATTCAACTGCCGTGAAACATTTCGACGTCTTCAGATGAACAAGACCGTTGTAAAACATCCTATGAGGTCTAATATTACATGTACGCCTAAATCATTGTTCCTAGTAGACTGTAATGTATGCCTATGTGAGGGATCCGGTACCATAAAACCTTCTTCTTGCACTAATAGAATCTGTTCCAAAGGACATAAGGCTGATCGTTGCAAATTTGGTGACTTCCTGCGAACTTCACAAGAAATATGCATTTGTAGCGATATCGGTTACTACGTTGATCGTCTGTGTGTCAAAATTAAGAATGGCATCATACAGAAACTAAAAACCCAAGATATAGATAAAATTTTAAACGTTTACAAGATGAGGAAAGCAATGACAGATACTTGTATACCACACAAGGAGTATAAAGTCGACTGTAATCGTTGCATATGCGACAGCACTGGGAAATTTGTATGTAGTCAAGAGGTTTGCGACAACGAAAAGACTATAAGGACAAGTGATTTGAGCCAGGATTTCTTCAATCTGCCATATGTTCAGGATGAGAATGAAAAATGCACGCCTGGAGAGAAATATAGGATTAAATGCAATACTTGCGTATGCACTGATGATAGCAAATTGTCATGTACTACGACCGTTTGTTTGGAAGACTTTCTGGTTGATGAGACTTCTTCCACTACAGGATTACCGTCTTCCGTGGAGACCATACACTAGAATAGTTCAACATCGCAGCAACACTAATACATATTTTATAATTAGACAATGTCAAAGACCTATAAATATCAACGATAAGGATCATATTATTTTTCTTACACTTACTTATTGTTCAATTATTTTAAATACATTTTTTTCTTAACAATCAATATTTTCTTTTAAGGAATACAAAAAAATATTCTTAATATTTTTATAGAATAACAAATACAATTATCAATTTCTCCAAAGAAATGTAGAGATAATATCAAAATTTGAATATTAAAAAGAACTATTTTATATTTTTTAGCAAATATAACACAACCAGATAAAAAAAATCTACCACAGATCCGTGAAGGTGAAAAATGTGTTGCCGGTAGAATGTATAAAATGTCCTGCAATACGTGCAGATGTGGAGAAAACAATAATTTAATATGCAGTAAAATGGCCTGTATACAAAATCCAGCTTCAAAGCAATCAAAAGTCACTAAATCATATCTTAGAAGTGGCACAAAAGGATCAGACGTGAAACTCAAAAAGAAAAGTGACAAAAGAGGGAAGAAAAAGAAAAAGGCAGGACTACCGAAGTTACCAAAAGGTCCTTGTGTTCCAGGGAAACTATATGCCAAAGGCTGTAAAAAATGTTACTGCACTAATGAAAAAAACGGAGTTTGCACAGAAAATTGCGCAAATAACAAAATAAGTATGTTTTATCTTTTATAGGGTATATACCCTTGCCTATGTATTTTATATTATTGAAAAAATCTCTATAAATATTTATTTGTTGTAAATGTAATATTAAATCTCAGGCCCCTTTCACAATTTAATAAATATCAAGATACTAATTAGGTCCAACAAAGTTTATTTAAGAACAAGGCACTTTGACAACAACATAATATAAAAAAATATGTCCAATATTTTCAAATATATGTATTAGAATCTCAGGAAAATATTGTTCTTATGTATATTCTGTTCCAAAATACTTAATTAGGATACGACTATTTTTACCGAATTTACAAATCAATGCTATTAATTATATAAACTTTATGTTTTATTCAAAGATTGCATCAATTAATCGATGTTTCAGGTCGTTTAAGTGACCAAGATATATCAGAAATAGAAGTAAGATCGGAATATGAGTTGCCACAATTACCGCATGTGGGCGTTGAATGTGAGCCCGGACATTCTTATCTTGTTGAATGTAATGTCTGCTTTTGTTCTGAGAGACGAGATCTATTCTGCACAATGAAATACTGCCTTAATGTGAAAAGTTATTCAGAGAACGCCCTTGCTGAATATGAAGGTACGCAAAAAACATTTTTGTCTGATATTTGGTACACAATAGTACAAATATTTTGTTGTTTATCGAAACATTTAAGCAAGCAATTAATAAGTAAAATCTACATGTATTTTGGGATGACGGAAGATATGAAACTTCACTTGCATTATTTTTATCCTTAGCCTATAACATTGAAGAATTTATACGGCTCTTGTAATCCATTACAGGAAAACCTTGTGTCAGTGATTTTAAAAAGTATTGTATCAACTGCAAGTGTATAAATAAGAAAAGTTCGTGCAGTTTATTAAAGAACTGTAATTCTATTATGACTGGACGACAACTGCTCACTGATGGTAATCATATAGTGAAACTGGCTTTGGACGTTAAAAAAGATCATTGCACACCTAATGTAACTTACAAGTAAGAAAAAAACATGAAATATACATTCCCACAATTCTTTAAATAACAAAAAAGTTTAATAAACTTTAAACTCGAAATTCCAAGTTGAATTAAACACAAAATAAAGAATTTTAAACCATTTTATAATATATGGTAATGTTTCTGTCGTTGTTTATAATTAAATATCTTTATTATACCGATAATATTATCAGATCAAGTTACAATTCAACTTTTTGTCCAAAGACCCAATAAAAATTGAAATTCTTTTCAGAGTTCACTGCAACGATTGTTACTGTCAACCCGAGGGTGATTTGAGATGTACTCAGAAGATGTGCCTCTCTTACTCTCAAACGAAACAACTACAGGCTCGGGAAGAGTATCTGGAGAAACATGGCCTTTAATTTGATAAAAACGAAAGAAAAATAAAGCATTATTCTCATATAATCTCATAAAATTCTTCAAGTATTATTCCTTTCAACTGAAATAAACTTTGATCATATTCTATTTATTACTCAACATTTCTATCACTTACCAGTAATATCAGAGAGGTACACATCGGCTTTTCTTGTCTTATAAATGAGAAATTATATTTTTAGTAAATTCTATAAATAATAAACTCATTAATATATTCCTAAATAACGTAGTACATCTACGTACTATACTACCGACTATCTATAGTAGCTATTTTAAGTAGAATTTCCAACCATCACTAACAGTAATTTCAAATTGCTCGGCTTTAAAGAGTACATAGTATTGAAAATATTTAATGAAAATTATAATACCTACTTTATAATATCTTGTGAAGCAAAAAGTAGTTTCAATACACAAATAATTATTACAAGTCTATCAAGATTTAATAACACCAACCATTAACTTTTATAATAACTTGAATCATAATTTTGTTATTTACATTTCAATGTCATGGAAATAAAAAAAATACCTTTGTAGTGATGCATTTCTTTAATTAACCAGTTGTTTGAGCGTGAAATTACTTATATTTCTCATATTGTTATTAACAATAGAATATTTTTGTTCTTAATCCATTAGTATTATGTTCACAAGCGTGACATTTTTGGTTTCTTTAACACTTCTATCGTGTGAAACCGGTGCTATTCGTAAGTGCAATGCCAAATTTGTTTCACATTTTTTGTAATCATTTTTATTATGGGCTAATATTTAATTAAAATTTTCTGTAGGAACGTGCAAGCCAAATTCTTATTTCACACTGAACGGTCGGCTGTGCTATTGTGATTATCTAGGCAGGTGGTCCGAAACAAATTGCAAAGTTATAGCTAGAAAGCAATCATGTCAACCTGGACAGATAATTTGGCAAGGTTGCCATAGATGTACATGCCAAAGGAATGGTCAACTTTCTTGTTCAAATGACTGTCATTTAGATGCTGCAAGAAGTCATGGTTTCTTTGAATACGGTGCCATATGCACACCGTATAGGTCATATTATGTTAATTGCAGCCTTTGTTTCTGTCCTGCGTCAGGGTTAACCTTCAGTGCACAATGTGTGAGCGATGCGTCATGTTCTGTAGACCCTAACACTTCAGATATCCAGATATTGGCGAAGGCTAGTCAATGTATACCCAACGTCATGTACTTATTCCCATGTATTCAATGCCTGTGTTCAGAAACAGGATATTTTATTTTAGATAAATGTTTAGAAAAATGTCAGTCACAAGTCAAACCGCAGCGTAGATGTATTCCAGGTTCATTATACAGAAAAGATTGTTTTGTATGTCGCTGTCCAGATGATAGTATACCGGATGAAAAGCTGTGTGTAAAAGGATTGTGTGATAAAAATAAACATTTGTACACATTACGGTCAACACCAAATCGTTGCGTTCCACACACTTTCACAAAACCTATATGCCTTTATTGTGACTGCAGTTCTGAAGGCACTGTCAATGAAGATTCCTGTCTAGAGTTGGATTGCTCTAAAGCGGTAGACTTCAAAACCTATACTGAAACAGATACTTGTAATCCTGGAGAACTGGTCCCAATTTGTATAGAATGCTTTTGTCTCAACGACGGTCGGACCAAAAATATATATTGTACAAGAGTATGTACGTACCAAAGTAAATTAAATGTTCTAGAAAAACTTTTAAATCACAGTCTCACGGATGTTAGTTTGATTGATAAAAGTAAAATAACAAAAACTAGAACCGGCGAAGATTGTGAGCGTAACACTCTCTATATAGATGAAGGCAGATACTGCTTGTGTTCAAATAATATGGACGGAAATCTGAAATTTTGTACTTCCTTCGTAGAAAATATTGAAAAGGTTGCCGAAACTACGAATTTATTAAAGAAGAACCAGATAGATCTAACGCAAGATTGCGAATCAAATACATTAGTAGATTTCGATTGTAATACATGCTACTGCAATAAGCATGGAAAAATTGATCCTAAATGGTGCACTGACGATGATTGCGAAGCTAAAAGAATAGTAGAAGAATCTCATAAAGTTCAGCCTTACATAGATCCGGTGAAAGATTCCGATGGATCTTGCGTTCCTGGTTCTATATCTAAAATAAAATGTAATTTCTGCATTTGTCCTGACAGTGGGAATCTTAAAGAACGAGTATGTACAAAAAACATATGCGAAGATAACAAGGCGACGATGTACGAAAAGTTCACTTGTGAACCCCTCGCATATTATGAAGTTGACTGTAATATTTGTTATTGTCCCCAAGATGGCTTGAAAAATGTCGCTATGTGCAGCAAAAATCAATGCGAGAAATCATTCCTCAGATCGACTGAATGCATCCCGGGTAACTTGTTCAGCGATGAATGCAACGTTTGTGTGTGTCCGCCAAATGGAAATAAAGAAGACAAAGTATGCATGAATCACACGTGCAGTTTAGCACCGTGGAATACCATCAAATTATCCCATACATTGGTGGAGAAACAGATTAATGAGGATACGACAAGAAGTTTGGACCTGTGTTATCCAGGTGAAGAGTTCGTGATGGGCTGCAAATTATGTGTGTGCCCAGATTTAGGACTAAAGGCGTATGCAACTTGTGAGGCGGTTCTGTGCAAAGACAACTTTATTTCATTTAGAAACATATCAAACGACGATGGTGGTAGAACATCTGATAATTCCGTATGTTATTTTCTAAGACAAAAATAATATTTTGATTTCGTTAATTCAATCTGATATAAATAAAATTTTGCAGGAGAATGAATCTAATTTTTTATACCACTCGAGACAAAAGAGAGAAGATATTAATACTTGCTTTCTGTTAAACATTTCTCATAGCGCGGAGAGAAAGGATTGTACTCCTGGTACAATGTATATTATTAGGTAATTATTATATGACATACCGAAAACAAAAAACTTAGAATCAAAGATTTTAACAATAAGGCTTCAAATATTATAAAAGATTTATTTTAAAACTTTAATTACAGATGCAAGCAGTGTATTTGTCCTTATATAGGAAACATTAACAATTTTTGCCGTCCATTGCCAAAATCAACGTTTTGTGAAGAAGCGTTTCCCGGATTTAATTATTTGCCTATGGGGCGAAGAAATCGTGGTATGACTGATTGTAACTCACCTTATTTGAAATATAATTATAGAAGCTATATCTGACTGTAAATATTAAGTATACATATTAAGTGGATTTGGAAGGAATATTGCAATAATAAAATAATTATTTTCCTACCATTAATTATAGAAATAAAAATACATGTATATAAGTCTAAACCACAGCAACAGTTTAGTAAATAAGTCATGTTAAGATCTCTTTAAAATAGGTAATATGTTTAATGCCAAAAACCAAAAAAAGACCAAGTGACAATTACCATAACTTTAAAATTTCAGCAAATACAAGTACAACAGAATCTAATAGCAAGATACGCACAGTGACCGTGAAACATTTGAAACACACCATACACAAATGTGACAAGCCCGGGACATACAAAGACGAATGTTACATATGTGAATGCGAAAACAATATTATTATACAAGAACACTGTTTTAAAAGTGATGCCAAAAACTGCAGTGATGTAAAATTCAATTTTTCTCACAATAAAACGATAATCATTTAAATTTGTGAATTACTTTTATCCGACTAGTATGCGAGGAGTATTGTGAACTAAATAAATACCCTTACGATTTTTAATTTTCTTTTCGTTCGAATTTTCTCACAATATTAAGCAATAAAAATGCCTTTGCAGCTATTAAATTCTGAACCAATTCTATATTAATTACTATTAAACTACTTCATTTACGATGATCGTCTCTATAGTATTGAGTATTTTTTTAATTTTTTGCACTGTATTAACTAAAACATGTAAGTATTTTAGATAAAGAATATTGAAATAATCATTATATATTAATCATTCATGTGATTTTAGATTCATTGAGTGTATCACAGGAACAAAACTATGAATGTGAACCTAACAGAATTTACAAAGGAAAGAATTTCACATGCGTGTGTTCTAGTGAGGGTTTGTGGTTGGACAAGGAATGCGCAAGCTATGTAGATCCTAGGGAAGAAAAAGATTGCGAACCAAACACTTACATATTCCTTGATTGCAATGTCTGTCTTTGTGGACCAGACGGCAGAATCAATAAAAAACGTTGCACCAAACATCACTGTGACCAAATTAACACTCGAAGATCAAAATCTGTTGTAGGAACTTGTCATGTTAATACATTTTATTCGTTAGCACCATGCCAATTCTGTTATTGCGTAAATAAACACAAACTAGTCTGTAACGCCACTCCGAAAACTGAGAAAGTTGTTCTAGGAAACTTTGAATTGAACCAATGTAGCGGCAATATATTGAAGGAAATATCCGATTTAATGCCAGAGAAACCTCTCAGATATGGAAAGTTATCCAAAAAAGATAAATCGAAAATAATAAAGAGCAAAACAGCTACAACAGTTCTGGATATAGGGGCAAACATCAGATCTATTGACGATAAAACAGATAAAAGCAATGAAGTACAAACAAGTGTAAAACATCAAAATAAAAAGAAACATAGAAATAAAGATGCCTTTAAAAAGGATAAATCCGTAAAGAAAAAAATTAATGAAGCTATCGTTGATGGTTGGGAAGATTCTTCTGAAGAGAAACACAAAAAGAAAAGTATTATAAAAAAATCAAAATCAATCCATACAAAAACCGAATCTAATTCAGAGACTGATGATAAAGGGAAAAATAATGTTCTCACAATTAATTTACCCTACGTATTAGATAAAGTGCTTAACATGGTTCTGCGTAAATCGATGGTTTCTTTGGAATCTGGTAATAATTGCACACCAGGTTCCACCTTAAAAAACAGCTGCAATAAATGCTTCTGTTTGAACAACGGTAAAATGCTTTGCACAAATAAAAAATGCGAATGATTATAATAAACTACTAATTTAAAATTAGTTTTATTATGTTTTTTTACTATGAACTGTTTTTGGTGCTAAAATTAAAATAAAAAATACAAAAGTAAAAGAAAGCCGAATGATAAAACTTAATATAATGATTAACCTCTAAAGTTTTCGTCAGAAAAGTCACTTCAAATAGACAAAATTCCAAGTTTGTTACTATTGATCTTTTTCCTTAAATAATAACGTCTTACTCATTTCATATTAATTACCAAAAAAAAATCTAACAGTTTCAATATTGATGTCAATTTTTCGAAACTTAATGTCCTAAAATTCGGACCATAATTTTCCAAATAAAACAATTCAAAGAATTTTCAAAACAAGTGCCAAATGCATAAAACGGATTTTGTCTTGTTTGTAAATGTATTTTCAAACAAATAGGGATACTTTGCTCTTTGCAAATGTATTTTCAAACAAATAGGGATACTTGAAATATTATAAACTTTCCGAAATTAAAAGAGAAAAATGTGTATGAGTAGTTCTTTATCATTACTTTCTTTCTAGGTTATTATAATTAAATCTTAAGTGAGCATCTAAAGCAGATACCTATCTGTAAATCCCTATTAACGATATAAAAACGAAATTATTTTTCTGATTAATGGTGGCATTCAGTCTACTATATTCCCTTTCTATTCAATAATGGCCAAAATAAAAACCAACAATTTGAATTTACAACAAGTCATACCTATACACAATAAAGTTAATTAAATAAAAATAGTTATGGAAATGAAAATAACTTTTGTAATAATCGATAAAATATTTATTGCTCAATCTTAAAACCAATCAATTTTCTTATATTAATTTTAAGCTTAGTGTAGTACAAAAATATGAATTAAATTTGCAATATGAATGTTTTAAGAAACTTCAATAAATATATATAAAAAACATGTTAATAAGGATATGTTTTTATGTTTTGCATCTCACCGTTATAATAGCGTATAATCATCAAAAACGTAAGTTACATTTTTTATTCCTTTTAACCAAAACCGAGAACACACCATCAATAAATGTTTTACAAAAAATACAACGCAATCTATTATGGGTAAGCTCCTTGAAGATATTTTTTTTATGTTAAATGTGACAAACGAGCAGACGGCCCACTTGATGGAAGGTGGTTACCGTCGCCCATGGATATCCGCAACATCTTTGTTGCGGATGCGTTGTCAACCTGTTTTTTTTTAGGGATAGGGAAGGGTGGGAATAAGGAAATACAAGGAAAGGTTGGGAAAAGGGAAAGGGCAACCGGCTCTCTCACTCATCGGACGAAACGCTGTCATTACTGACTACTTCACGCCGATCTTCTGTGAGAGGGTGGTACTTCCCCGGTCGAGCCAGCCCATGTTCGAGCTGTAGTAACTTAACCACAGCTAGGCTCTACCAAGATAGTTATTTTATGTCCAAAAACGAGAAATATCAACGTTTGGTTTATCTAATATTTAAAGATTATGAAGGTGAAAGTAATGTTAAAAAAGAAAGCCGCTTCTAATTGCGTATTTAAAAGATAAGACCAGATTTAGGTAACAAGCTATCGCGCCTGTCCCCGATTGGTAACATAAAAAGTTATTACAAATCGATATTGGCAAGGTAATTGATTCGTCACGTCCTCTTGTCGATGGATTTTTAGGTATAAAATTTAATAATTTATATTAATTTCACCTTCGTCAATTATAAATTTGGTGACTGAGACTACTTTATGAACAGCCACTAGCCTTCAGATGAGTTAAAGATATTTCGGGTCGAGAATAAAATAATGATATCTAAGACTTTCGAGTTTTATTCATTTAAATGAAACTAATATTTTTCGGATATACTACCCAGGCTTTATTTTTTTAAACTACATACTCCCGATGTTTCGGCTACTTTTCAGCAACCTTGATCACGGACAGACGAGATGTGAGATAATAAAGATCATGAGCAGACGGGATGTGAAATAATAACAGATTTTACGCAAGTGAATCACCTTGTTTCATATAGATCCGATTATTTAATCTTTAAATTCCATGAAAACTTTTTAGCATTGCCTCAAAAACTATGGAGTGAACGTTGTACCAAGAACTCAATCGCGTTGAATGACTGCAACTGGTGTTGGTGTGATGTCAGACAGAAGTTTCAATGTAAAGCACGGATCTGTGAGGAGGTGGATATGTTCGGACATTTTAAAGGTCAGTTTTCCACTTAACTCACCTATCCTAACCTATCTTCATCATGACGCTATCAAATTGATTTAAATAAATAAAAAACGCCACAGAACAGGAGACGTTTTCTACTTTAAATAAATTAATTTTAAATAAGAATATAAACCGGTTTCACCGGTTAGAACAATGGCTGTAAAATAAGTAATGAATGACAAAGAATAAAAATTCATTAAGACGTCAACTTAAGAACTTAAGACTCAATAAATTTATAATCTATGTAAATAACTTAATGATTTCGTTTATCTTTTTCCATATAATCAGACGCCATACGTGATATTGATGTGGGAATGGAAGGACGCGGGTCTTGGCGATCCTCAGTGACCCCCTGCACACCCGGAGTTCATTACAGACGGGGAGATGTTCTGTGCTTGTGTGATGAAGATGGAAATTGGCCGAATCCAGTCTGCAGAGACATCTTCAGAGTTTTGCATCCTGTGGAACTCCATAGGGATACTCTTAATCAAACTTGTACTCCATCTAAACTATATCTGATTGGTTGTAACGTCTGTTTCTGTTCATCATCAGGAATTTTAGATCCGGAATTATGTACAAAACAAGAATGTCAGGAAGATGACCCAGCGCTACCAGAAAATCGACCGAAAACCCAAACTGATAATGAAAAAATTTCCGAAGTATACGCCAAATGCGATTCTGACGAAACCTATGAGCTTGGATGTAGGAAATGCACTTGTCTGAAAAATAATAGACTTATATGTAATGACTGTCCAAATGAACATACAGCTGTGGCAGAGAAGCCTTTATACAGAAAAAGAAAACGCAAAAGGAGGAGAAAGAAAATAAGAAATACCAGATTTGGATTATGTGAAGGAAAATATCCCAAACAGAAATTCTCAATCGGATGCAGTACGTGTTTCTGCGACAAGTACTCAGGAATATATTGCTCAGTGAGGAAATGTCTTAAACCTATAAGAACATTGAAAGCAACTCTGTCTCTCTCAAAAACTGATCCGTCTATAGTTGTTCCAAATGTAAAACGCGTCGAAGCGCCTATGGACGATGATATGTGTCAAGCAAACACTAGATTTCGTAAAGAATGCAATGAATGCATTTGTCTCAAACTGGAAAAAAATGTCATAGTTTTAGATTGTTCACTTAAGACTTGTTCATCGTCAAAAAATGATGATGAAATGTTTGAGAATGACTGCGTTGTTGGCAGTGTGTATATGAGGGATTGTCGCATATGTTACTGCTATACTATTGACGGAATTGTACATCAAATATGTCACGCCAACGCGGAATGCGCTTCTAATAAAAATGAGTTGGATATGGGATATTGTATACCAATGCGCAAGTATAAGAGAGATTGCAATACCTGCAAATGCTTAGCCGATGGGAAAACTTTAAAGTGCACTAGTCTAGCTTGCCCGGCAAGATCTTCGAATCCAGTATCAGTGGACATAGTGCCGGTACAAATGTTGAACGGCGACCACTGTCCCAAAGGCTACTCATATAAATTGGACTGCAATACATGTTTTTGTCTGTCAAATGGGAACGCAATTTGTACAACAAAAGACTGTTCTGAAGATAACGAAGAATCGTAAAGCTTGTATTTTTTGGTCTAATTACAATAAATTATACAAATATAAGGCATCGTTTTGTTTTTATTTGATATCACTGTTAAAATTTGGAAGTGGGATGTAGGTTTGTGAATCAATTTGGAGTTTTACATAACTTGATTATAAACTATTAACACCACCTACAAATAACACCTTCATATGTTATCAGAATTTATTTTCCAGGATTTAAATATTAAAGAGAACATTCACAAAAAACTACTTAATATTTTAAATAAAAGTAATACCCTCCACTGTCCTGTGCTTTTATTATTATTTTAACAACATACTTGCGAGGATTCGGTTTTACGGACAGGCGATGTGAAAATGTCTATCAGTTGTGTAATAAAACTTCAAGGGATCTTCAACATAATATATTTCACACAATAAAATAAACTCACACAAAATGTGGTAATAATTTTAAAACAAATTGTTCAAAAATAACACAATAAATAAATGTGTTTCAAGACTTTTGCATCGATTTATGCGTATTTTAATAACTTTAACATAACATAGATGGCGCTGTTAGAAACTGGTTCCTAAAAACAAAAACAATATGAATAAACTATTTTTACACTAAGTAGCATACACGCATAAGATTGTCGATATTTAATTAATTAAATATTATTATAAAAATAAATAATAATATAGAAATCGACAAAAATAAGTTTTATACATTCCTTCATTTCGTTGTAAATAATTTTCACATTAAAATGCTTTTGTAATAATCGATAAAATATTTATTGCTCAATCTTAAGACCAATCAATTTTCTTATTTTAATTTTAAGCTTAGTCTAGTACAAAAATATGAATTAAATTTGCAGTATGAATGTTTTAAAAAACTTCAATAAATATATATAAAAAACATGTTAATAAGGACATGTTTTTATGTTTTGCATCTCACCATCATTATAGCGTATAATCATCAAAAACGTAAGTCATATTATTTATTTCTTTTAACCAAAATCGAGAACACACCATCAATAAATGTTGTACAAAAAATACAACGCACTCTACTATGGGTGAGCTCCTCGAAGATAGTTATTTTATGTCCAAAAATGAGAAATATTAACGGTTAGTTTATCTAATACTTAGAGATTATCAAAATGGAAGAAATATTTAAAAAGAAGCATCTACGAATTGCTTATTCAATAGCTAAGATCAGATTTAGGTAACAAGCTATCGCGCCTGTCTCCAATTGGCAACATAAAAAGCTATTAAAAATCGATAATGGCAAGGTAATTCATTCGTCATCTGCTCGTGTAAATTGATTACTGTATTTATAATTTGATTATTTATATTAATTTCATCTACGTCAATTATAAATTTGGTGACTGAGGCTACTTTACCAAAATCCACTAGCCTTCAGATGAGCTAAATACATTTGAGGTCGAGAATTATATTAAATAACAGATTTCATGCAAGCGATAATCACCTCGTACGATATAGATCCGATAATTTAATCTTTAAATTACATACTTGAATCTTTTTTAGCACTGCCTCAAAAACTATGGAGTGAACGTTGTACCAAGAACTCTATCGCGTTGAATGACTGCAACTGGTGTTGGTGTGATGTCAGACAGAAGTTTCAATGTAAAGCACGGATCTGTGAGGAGGTGGATATGTTCGGACATTTTAAAGGTCAGTTTTCTTCATAATGGCGCGATCAAATTGTGTTGAACCAAATTAAAAATGCCACAGAAGAGTAAACGATTTATACTTAATTTTTACGATTTATATTTATATTTATAAAAAAAGAATAATAAATCGTTTAATATGTCTTCAAAGTTAGTATTTAAAATCTATGTAGAACAAATGCTGTAAAATAAACAAATAATGATTGATATAGAATAAAAATTCATTAAGACGTCAGCTTAAGAATTTAATACGAAATAAAAAAAAATTTTCTTACATGAAAACTCAATAAATTTATTTTCTTTGTAAATAACTTATGTAATGATTTCGTTTATCTTTTTCCATATAATCAGACGCCATACGTGATATTGATGTGGGAATGGAAGGACGCGGGTCTTGGCGATCCTCAATGACTCCCTGCACACCCGGTGTTCATTATAGACGAGGAGATGTTCTGTGCTTGTGTGATGAAGATGGAAATTGGCCGAATCCAGTCTGCAGAGACATCTTCAGAGTTTTGCATTCTGTGGAAATCCATCGGGATACTCTTAATCAAACTTGTACTCCTTCTAAACTATATCTGGTTGGTTGTAACGTTTGCTTCTGTTCATCATCAGGAATTTTAGATCCGGAATTGTGTACAAAACAAGAATGTCAGGAAGATGACCCAGCGCTACCAGAAAACCGACCGAAAACCCAAACTGATAATGAAAAAATTTCCGAAGTATACGCCAAATGCGATTCAGACGAAACCTATCAGCTTGGTTGTAGGAAATGCATTTGTCTAAAAAATAATAGACTTATATGTAATGACTGTCCAAATGAACATACAGCTGTGGCAGAGAAGCCTTTATACAGAAAGAGAAAACGCAAAAGGAGGAGAAAGAAAATAAGAAATACCAGATTTGGATTATGTGAAGGAAAATATCCCAAACAGAAATTCTCAATCGGATGCAGTACGTGCTTCTGCGACAAGTACTCAGGAATATACTGCTCAGTGAGGAAGTGCCTTAAACCTATAAGAACATTGAAAACAAGTCTGTCTCTCTTAAAAGGTAAAAGTAAAAGTAAAAGTAAAAATAAAAGTAAAAGTAAAACTAAAACTAAAACTAAAATTAAAACTAAAACTGAAACTAAAACAGAAGTAAAAGTAAAAGTAAATGTTGTTCCAAAAGTAAAAGACGTGGAACCGCCTACGGACGATGATATGTGTCAAGCAAACACCAGATTTCGTAAAGAATGCAATGAATGCATTTGCCTCAAACTAGAAAACAATGTCATAGTTCTAGATTGTTCACTTAAGACATGTCCATCGTCAAAAAATGTAGATGAAATGTTTGAGAATGACTGCGTTGTTGGCAGTGTGTATATGAGGGATTGTCGCATCTGTTACTGCTATACTATTGACGGAATTGTACATCAAATATGTCAAGCCAACGCGGAATGCGATTCAAATATAAATGAGTTGGATATGGGATACTGTACACCTATGCTCAAGTATAAGAAAGATTGCAATAATTGCAAATGCTTAGCCGATGGGAAAACTTTAAAGTGCACTAGTCTAGCTTGCCCGGCAAGATCTTCGAATCCAGTATCAGTGGACATAGTGCCGGTGCAAATGTTGAACGGTGACCACTGTCCCAAAGGCTACTCATATAAATTGGACTGCAATACATGTTTTTGTCTGTCAAATGGGAACGCAATTTGTACAATAAGAGACTGTTCTGACGATAACGAAGAATCGTAAAGCTTGTATTTTTTGGTCTAACTACAATAAATTATACAAATATAAGGCATCGTTTTGTTTTTATTTCATATCACTGTAAAAATTTGGAAGTGGGATATAGGTTTGTAAATCAATTTGGAGTTTTACATAACTTGATTATAAACTATTAACACCACCTACAAATAACACCTTCATATGTTATCAGAATTTATTTTCCAGGATTTCAATAATAAAGAGAACATTCACGAAAAAACTACTTAATATTTTAAATAAAAGTAATACCCTCCACTGTACTGTGCTTTTTTTATTATTTTAACAACATACTTGCGACGATTCGGTTTTACGGACAGGCGATGTGAAAATGTCTATCAGTTGTGTAATAAAACTTCAAGGGATCTTCAACATAATATATTTCACACAATAAAATAAACTCACACAAAATGTGGTAATAATTTTAAAACAAATTGTTCAAAAATAACACAATAAATAAATGTGTTTCAAGACTTGTGCATCAATTTATGCGTATTTTAATAACTTTAACATAACATAGATGGCGCTGTTAGAAACTGGTTCCTAAAAACAAAAACAATATGAATAAACAATTTTTACACTAAGTAGCATACACACATAAGATTGTCGATATTTAATTAATTAAATATTATTATAAAAATAAATAATAATATAAAAATCGACAAAAATAAGTTTTATACATTCCTTAATTTCGTTGTAAATAATTTTCACATTAAAATGCTTTTGTAATAATCGATAAAATATTTATTGCTCAATCTTAAGACCAATCAATTTTCTTATTTTAATTTTAAGCTTAGTCTAGTACAAAAATATGAATTAAATTTGCAGTATGAATGTTTTAAAAAACTTCAATAAATATATATAAAAAACATGTTAATAAGGACATGTTTTTATGTTTTGCATCTCACCATCATAATAGCGTATAACCATCAAAAACGTAAGTCATATTTTTTATTTCTTTTAACCAAAATCGAGAACACACCATCAATAAATGTTTTACAAAAAATACAACGCAATCTATTATTATTATGGGTGAGCTCCTCAAAGATAGTTATTTTATGTCCAAAAATGAGAAATATTAACGGTTAGTTTTATATAATACTTAGAGATTATCAAAATGGAAGAAATATTTAAAAAGAGGCATCTACGAATTGCTTATTTCATAGCTAAGATCAGATTTAGATAACAAGCTGTCTCCAATTGGCAACATAAAAAGCTATTAAAAATCGATAATGGCAAGGTAATTGATTCGTCATCTGCTCGTTTAAATTGATTACTATATTTATAATTTGATTATTTATATTAATTTCATCTACGTCAATTATGAATTTGGTGACTTAGGCTACTTTACCAAAATCCACTAGCCTTCAGATGAGCTAAATACATTTGAGGTAAACAATTATATGAAATAACAGATTTCATGCAAGCGATAATCACCTCTACGACATAGATCCGATTATTTAATCTTTAAATTACACACTTGAATCTTTTTTAGCACTGCCTCAAAAACTATGGAGTGAACGTTGTACCAAGAACTCCATCGCGTTGAATGACTGCAACTGGTGCTGGTGTGATGTCAGACAGAAGTTTCAATGTAAAGCACGGATCTGTGAGGAGGTGGATGTGTTCGGACATTTTAAAGGTCAGTTTTCTTCATAACGGCGCGATCAAATTGTGTTGAACCAAATTAAAAATGCCACAGAAGAGTAAACGTTTTATACTTTAAGTAAATAAATTAAAAAAAGAATAATAAATCGTTTAGTATGTTTCCAAAGTTAGTATTTAAAATCTATATAGAACAAATGCTGTAAAATAAACAAATAATGATTGATATAGAACAAAAATTCATTAAGACGTCAGCTTAAGAACTTAATACGAAATAAAAAAAATATTCTTACATGAAAACTCAATAAATTTATTTTCTTTGTAAATAACTTATGTAATAATTTCGGTTATCTTTTTCCATATAATCAGACGCCATACGTGATATTGATGTTGGAATGGAAGGACGCGGTTCTTGGCGATCCTCAATGACTCCCTGCACACCCGGTGTTCATTATAGACGGGGAGATGTTCTATGTTTGTGTGATGAAGATGGGAATTGGCCAAATCCAGTCTGCAGAGACATCTTCAGAGTTTTGCATTCTGTGGAAATCCATCGGGATACTGTTAATCAAACTTGTACTCCTTCTAAACTATATCTGATTGGTTGTAACGTTTGCTTCTGTTCATCATCAGGAATTTTAGATCCGGAATTGTGTACAAAACAAGAATGTCAGGAAGATGACCCAGCGCTACCAGAAAACCGACCGAAAACCCAAACTGATAATGAAAAAATTTCCGAAGTATACGCCAAATGCGATTCAGACGAAACCTATCAGCTTGGTTGTAGGAAATGCATTTGTCTAAAAAATAATAGACTTATATGTAATGACTGTCCAAATGAACATACAGCTGTGGCAGAGAAGCCTTTATACAGAAAGAGAAAACGCAAAAGGAGGAGAAAGAAAATAAGAAATACCAGATTTGGATTATGTGAAGGAAAATATCCCAAACAGAAATTCTCAATCGGATGCAGTACGTGCTTCTGCGACAAGTACTCAGGAATATACTGCTCAGTGAGGAAGTGTCTTAAACCTATAAGAACTTTGAAAGCAACACTGTCTCTCTCAAAAACTGATCCGTCTATAGTTGTTCCAAATGTAAAACGCGTCGAAGCGCCTATGGACGATGATATGTGTCAAGCAAACACCAGATTTCGTAAAGAATGCAATGAATGCATTTGTCTCAAACTGTAAAAAAATGTCATAGTTCTAGATTGTTCACTTAAGACATGTCCATCGTCAAAAAATGATGATGAAATGTTTGAGAATGACTGCGTTGTTGGCAGTGTGTATATGAGGGATTGTCGCATCTGTTACTGCTATACTATTGACGGAATTGTACATCAAATATGTCACGCCAACGCGGAATGCGCTTCAAATAAAAATGAGTTGGAAATGGGATATTGTATACCAATGCGCAAGTATAAGAGAGATTGCAATACCTGCAAATGCTTAGCCGATGGGAAAACTTTAAAGTGCACTAGTCTAGCTTGCCCGGCAAGATCTTCGAATCCAGTATCAGTGGACATAGTGCCGGTGCAAATGTTGAACGGCGACCACTGTCCCAAAGGCTACTCATATAAATTGGACTGCAATACATGTTTTTGTCTGTCAAATGGGAACGCAATTTGTACAACAACAAACTGTTCTGACGATAACGAAGAATCGTAAAGCTTATATTTTTTGGTTTAACTACAATAAATTATGCAAATATAAGGCATCGTTTTGTTTTTATTTGATATCACTGTTAAAATTTGGAAGTGGGATGTAGGTTTGTGAATCAATTTGGAGTTTTACATAACTTGATTATAAACTATTAACATCACCTACAAATAACACCTTCATATGTTATCAGAATTTATTTTCCAGGATTTAAATAATAAAGAGAACATTCACGAAAAAACTACTTAATATTTTAAATAAAAGTAATACCCTCCACTGTACTGTGCTTTTTTTTATTATTTTAACAACATACTTGCGACGATTCGATTTTACGGACAGGCGATGTGAAAATGTCTATCAGTTGTGTAATAAAACTTCAAGGGATCTTCAACATAATATATTTCACACAATAAAATAAACTCACACAAAATGTGGTAATAATTTTAAAACAAATAACACAATAAATAAATGTGTTTCAAGACTTGTGCATCGATTTATGCGTATTTTAATAACTTTAACATAACATAGATGGCGCTGTTAGAAACTGGTTCCTAAAAACAAAAACAATATGAATAAACTATTTTTACACTAAGTAGCATACACGCATAAGATTGTCGATATTTAATAAATTAAATATTATTATAAAAATAAATAATGATATAAAAATCTGCAAAAATAAGTTTTATACATTCCTTCATTTCGTTGTAAATAATTTTCACATTAAAATGCTTTTGTAATAATCGATAAAATATTTATTGCTCAATCTTAAGACCAATCAATTTTCTTATTTTAATTTTAAGCTTAGTGTAGTACAAAAATATGAATTAAATTTGCAGTATGAATGTTTTAAGAAACTTCAATAAATATATATAAAAAACATGTTAATAAGGATATGTTTTTATATTTTGCATCTCACCATCATAATAGCGTATAATCATCAAAAACGTAAGTCATATTCTTTTATTTCTTTTAACCAAAATCGAGAACACATCATCAATAAATGTTTTGCAAACAATACAACACAATCTATTATTATGGGTGAGCTCGTTGAAGATAGTTATTTTATGTCCAAAAATGAGAAATTTTAACGGTTAGTTTATATAATACTTAAAGATTATCAAAATGGAAGAAATATTTAAAAAGAAGCATCTACGAATTGCTTATTTAATAGCTAAGATCAGATTTAGGTAACAAGCTATAACGCTTGTCTCCAATTGGCAACATAAAAAGCTATTAAATATCGATAATGGCAAGGTAATTGATTCATCATCTGCTCGTTTAAATTGATTACTATATTTATTATTTGATTATTTATATTAATTTCATCTAAGGTCAATTATGAATTTGGTGACTGAGGCTTCTTTACCAAAATCCACTAGCCTTCAGATGAGCTATTTTGAGGTCGAGAATTATATGAAATAACAGATTTCATGCAAGCGATAATCACCTCTACGATATAGATCCGATGATTTAATCTTTAAATTACACACTTGAATCTTTTTTAGCATTGCCTCAAAAACTATGGAGTGAACGTTGTACCAAGAACTCCATCGCGTTGAATGACTGCAACTGGTGCTGGTGTGATGTCAGACAGAAGTTTCAATGTAAAGCACGGATCTGTGAGGAGGTGGATGTGTTCGGACATTTTAAAGGTCAGTTTTCTTCATAATGGCGCGATCAAATTGTGTTGAACCAAATTAAAAATGCCACAGAAGAGTAAACGATTTATACTTTAAGTAAAAAAAGAAAAATAAATCGTTTAATATGTTTTCAAAGTTAGTATTTAAAATCTATATAGAACAAATGCTGTAAAATAAACAAATGTTTTATACAGAATAAAAATTAATTAAGACGTCAGCTAAATAACTTAATACGAAAAAAATATTTTTGCATGAAGACTCAATAAGTTTATTTTCTATGTAAATAACTTAATGATTTCGTTTATCTTTTTCCATATAATCAGACGCCATACGTGATATTGAAGTGGGAATGGAAGGACGCGGGTCATGGTGATGAAGATGGAAATTGGCCAAATCCAGTCTGCAGAGACATCTTCAGAGTTTTGCATTCTGTGGAACTCCATAGGGATAGTGTTAATCAAACTTGTACTCCTTCTATATCTGATCGGTTGTAACGTTTGCTTCTGTTCATCATCAGGAATTTTAGATCCGGAATTATGTACAAAACAAGAATGTCAGGAAGATGACCCAGCGCTACCAGAAAATCGACCGAAAACCCAAACTGATAATGAAAAAAATTCCGAAGTATACGCCAAATGCGATTCTGACGAAACCTATGAGCTTGGATGTAGGAAATGCATTTGTCTAAAAAATAATAGACTTATATGTAATGACTGTCCAAATGAACATACAGCTGTGGCAGAGAAGCCCTTATACAGAAAGAGAAAACGCAAAAGGAGGAGAAAGAAAATAAGAAATACCAGATTTGGATTATGTGAAGGAAAATATCCCAAACAGAAATTCTCAATCGGATGCAGTACGTGCTTCTGCGACAAGTACTCAGGAATATACTGCTCAGTGAGGAAGTGCCTTAAACCTATAAGAACATTGAAAACAAGTCTGTCTCTCTTAAAAGGTAAAAGTAAAAGTAAAAGTAAAACTAAAAATAAAAGTAAAACTAAAACTAAAATTAAAACTAAAACTAAAACTGAAACTAAAACAGAAGTAAAAGTAAAAGTAAATGTTGTTCCAAAAGTAAAAGACGTGGAACCGCCTACGGACGATGATATGTGTCAAGCAAACACCAGATTTCGTAAAGAATGCAATGAATGCATTTGCCTCAAACTAGAAAACAATGTCATAGTTCTAGATTGTTCACTTAAGACATGTCCATCGTCAAAAAATGTAGATGAAATGTTTGAGAATGATTGCGTTGTTGGCAGTGTGTATATGAGGGATTGTCGCATCTGTTACTGCTATACTATTGACGGAATTGTACATCAAATATGTCACGCCAACGCGGAATGCGCTTCTAATAAAAATGAGTTGGATATGGGATATTGTATACCAATGCGCAAGTATAAGAGAGATTGCAATACCTGCAAATGCTTAGCCGATGGGAAAACTTTAAAGTGCACTAGTCTAGCTTGCCCGGCAAGATCTTCGAATCCAGTATCAGTGGACATAGTGCCGGTACAAATGTTGAACGGCGACCACTGTCCCAAAGGCTACTCATATAAATTGGACTGCAATACATGTTTTTGTCTGTCAAATGGGAACGCAATTTGTACAACAACAAACTGTTCTGACGATAACGAAGAATCGTAAAGCTTGTATTTTTTGGTCTAACTACAATAAATTATACAAATATAAGGCATCGTATTGTTTTTATTTGATATCACTGTAAAAATTTGGAAGTGGGATGTAGGTTTGTGAATCAATTTGGAGTTTTACATAACTTGATTATAAACTATTAACACCACCTACAAATAACACCTTCGTATGTTATCAGAATTTATTTTCCAGGATTTAAATAATAAAGAGAACATTCACGAAAAAACTACTTAATATTTTAAATAAAAGTAATACCCTCCATTGTACTATGGGCTTTTTTTATTATTTTAACAACATACTCGCGACGATTCGGTTTTACGGACAGGCGATGTGAAAATGTCTATCAGTTGTGTAATAAAACTTCAAGGGATCTTCAACATAATATATGTAAAATGTCGTAATAATTTTAAAACAATTTATTCAAAATTAACACAAAAATAAATGTGTTTCAAGACTTGTGCATCGATTTATGCGTATTTTAATAACTTTAACATAACATAGATGGCGCTGTTAGAAACTGGTTCCTAAAAACAAAAACAATATGAATAAAATATTTTTACACTAAGAAGCATACACGCATAAGATTGTCGATATTTAATTAATTAAATATTATTATAAAAATAAATAATAATATAGAAATCGACAAAAATAAGTTTTATACATTCCTTCATTTCGTTGTAAATAATTTTCACATTAAAATGCTTTTGTAATAATCGATAAAATATTTATTGCTCAATCTTAAGACCAATCAATTTTCTTATTTTAATTTTAAGCTTAGTGTAGTACAAAAATATGAATTAAATTTGCAGTATGAATGTTTTAAGAAACTTCAATAAATATATATAAAAAACATGTTAGTAAGGATATGTTTTTATATTTTGCATCTCACCATCATAATAGCGTATAATCATCAAAAACGTAAGTCATATTCTTTTATTTCTTTTAACCAAAATCGAGAACACATCATCAATAAATGTTTTGCAAACAATACAACACAATCTATTATTATGGGTGAGCTCCTCGAAGATAGTAATTTTATGTCCAAAAATGGGAAATATTAAGGGTTAGTTTATATAATACTTAGAGATTATCAAAATGGAAGAAATATTTAAAAAGAAGCATCTACGAATTGCTTATTTAATATCTAAGATCAGATTTAGTTAACAAGCTATAACGCCTGTCTCCAATTGGCAACATAAAAAGCTATTAAAAATCGATAATAGCAAGGTAATTGATTCGTCATCTGCTCGTTTAAATTGATTACTATATTTATAATTTGATTATTTATATTAATTTCATCTACGTCAATTATAAATTTGGTGACTGAGGCTTCTTTACCAAAATCCACTAGCCTTCAGATGAGCTAATTTGAGGTCGAGAATTATATGAAATAACAGATTTCATGCAAGCGATAATCACCTCGTACGATATAGATCCGATAATTTAATCTTAAAATTACATACTTGAATCTTTTTTAGCACTGCCTCAAAAACTATGGAGTGAACGTTGTACCAAGAACTCCATCGCGTTGAATGACTGCAACTGGTGTTGGTGTGATGTCAGACAGAAGTTTCAATGTAAAGCACGGATCTGTGAGGAGGTTGATATGTTCGGACATTTTAAAGGTCAGTTTTCTTCATAATGGCGCGATCAAATTGTTTTGAACCAAATTAAAAATGCCACAGAAGAGTAAACGTTTTATACTTTAAGTAAATAAATTTAAAAAAGAATAATAAATTGTTTAATATATTTTCAAAGATAGTATTTAAAATCTATATAGAACAAATGCTGTAAAATAAACAAATAATGATTGATATAGAATAAAAATTCATTAAGACGTCAGCTAAAGAACTTAATACGAAAAAAATATTTTTGCATGAAGACTCAATAAATTTATTTTCTATGTAAATAACTTAATGATTTCGTTTATCTTTTTCCATTTAAACAGACGCCATCCGTGATATTGATGTGGGAATGGAAGGACGCGGGTCTTGGCGATCCTCAATGACCCCCTGCAAACCCGGTGTTCATTACAGACGAGGAGATGTTCTGTGCTTGTGTGATGAAGATGGAAATTGGCCGAATCCAGTCTGCAGAGACATCTTCAGAGTTTTGCATTCTGTGGAACTCCATCGGGATACTGTTAATCAAACTTGTACTCCTTCTAAACTATATCTGATTGGTTGTAACGTCTGTTTCTGTTCATCATCAGGAATTTTAGATCCGGAATTATGTACAAAACAAGAATGTCAGGAAGATGACCCAGCGCTACCAGAAAATCGACCGAAAACCCAAACTGATAATGAAAAAAATTCCGAAGTATACGCCAAATGCGATTCTGACGAAACCTATGAGCTTGGATGTAGGAAATGCATTTGTCTAAAAAATAATAGACTTATATGTAATGACTGTCCAAATGAACATACAGCTGTGGCAGAGAAGCCTTTATACAGAAAGAGAAAACGCAAAAGGAGGAGAAAGAAAATAAGAAATACCAGATTTGGATTATGTGAAGGAAAATATCCCAAACAGAAATTCTCAATCGGATGCAGTACGTGTTTCTGCGACAAGTACTCAGGAATATACTGCTCAGTGAGGAAGTGCCTTAAACCTATAAGAACATTGAAAACAAGTCTGTCTCTCTTAAAAGGTAAAAGTAAAAGTAAAAGTAAAACTAAAAATAAAAGTAAAACTAAACCTAAAATTAAAACTAAAACTAAAACTGAAACTAAAACAGAAGTAAAAGTAAAAGTAAATGTTGTTCCAAAAGTAAAAGAGGTGGAACCGCCTACGGACGATGATATGTGTCAAGCAAACACCAGATTTCGTAAAGAATGCAATGAATGCATTTGTCTCAAACTAGAAAACAATGTCATAGTTCTAGATTGTTCACTTAAGACATGTCCATCATCAAAAAATGTAGATGAAATGTTTGAGAATGATTGCGTTGTTGGCAGTGTGTATATGAGGGATTGTCGCATCTGTTACTGCTATACTATTGACGGAATTGTACATCAAATATGTCACGCCAACGCGGAATGCGATTCAAATATAAATGAGTTGGATATGGGATATTGTACACCTATGCTCAAGTATAAGAAAGATTGCAATAATTGCAAATGCTTAGCCGATGGGAAAACTTTAAAGTGCACTAGTCTGATTTGCCCGGCAAGATCTTCGAATCCAGTATCAGTGGACATAGTGCCGGTACAAATGTTGAACGGCGACCACTGTCCCAAAGGCTACTCATATAAATTGGACTGCAATACATGTTTTTGTCTGGCAAATGGAAACGCAATTTGTACAACAAGAGACTGTGCTGAAGATAACGAAGAATCGTAAAGCTTGTATTTTTTGGTCTAATTACAATAAATTATACAAATATATAGCAACCAAATGTTTTTATTTGAAATCACTGCTAAAATTTAGGAGTAAGCTGTAGGCTTGTGAATAAATTTTGAGTTCTAACAAACTTGATTAAACATATGTCAGTTGGTCTTCTTATTTATCACTTACTTAGTAGTTTTCCTTTTAAATTAGTAAAATATGTTCAAAAAGATGTTGAAAATAATTTTTGATTTTTTTTCTTCTTGTCTTACTCCTTCATATATTATGTTTCAAACACGCACACATATATATTATATGCATATATAAAAACGAATCCCTTTTGCCCTTGGTCAAGACATCACGCGTGAATGGCTGGACCAATTTCACTAATGTTTTTTTTATTGAATTTGTTATTATTAGGAGAAGGTTCTTATGTAAGAAAATTACTAGAAAAAAAATACTACATTATTTCACTTTTTTAATAAAATAAATGGTGCACTGGCAGTAATATTCACGTAGTTGGCATTAAAACAAAGAAAAAATTGAAACAAATTTACATGCTCTTTGCAAATATATCGGTCGGAGTTGGTCTTTGGCCGGAGTTAAATAACAAAATACCTACATACTTCATTTACCATTTATTGTCCTTTTCACATTGGTTTCTACAGGATAATTTGTAGTGTTTGTAATAGATATTTTACGTTCGCCGGGTCAGCTAATACAGGGTGACTGGTGAATTACTATCGATACTTGAGGACATGATATTTGACGATCATATATGACAAAATAAAAATTAATATAACATAAATATTAATAAACTTCTAAGTAAAGTTAACCAAAAGTTATGTAATTAATTACGCATCGTGTGAACACCCTACAGATTAGGTATACACACACATACACACGCGTCGTCACTTGGAACACTTGGAACGTGTCAACACTTTATTTATTTATACGGAAATTTTGTCAAAAATTAAGTGCCTATTTTTTTTACATAATTCGAATGAGAATCATGTACCGAGTATTCTCCTTAAATATTGATAGTAATTCACCAGTCATCCTGTATATACATGAAATATTTCTTCAAGTCGTACGAATTTCAAGTGTGACAAAAAATCTCTTACTATAATAAAACTTCAAGTGATCTTCAACATTATATATTTCACACAACAAAATAAATTCACACAAAATGTTGCAATAATTATAAAACAAATTGTTCAAAAATAACACAATAAATAAAATATAAATGTGTTTCAATACTTGTGCATCGATTTATGCGCATTTTAATAACTTAAACATAACATAGATGGCGCTGTTAACAATTTGTTCCAAAAAACAAAAACAGTATCAAGAAAATATTTTAATTCTAAGTACATAGCATACACGCATAAGATTGTCGATATTTAATTAATTAAATATTATTATAACAATAAATAATAATATAAAAAACTGCAAAAATGCGTTAAAATATAATTTTATACATACCTTCATTTCGTTGTAAATAATTTTCAGATTAAAATGCTTTTTTTTTTCAAGCATATTTTTCTAGTACATTAAAATTATGAAGTAAATTTCTGCTAATTAACCAATTCTTTTTTTTAAATCTAACTATTATTCTTAATAATATTAATTTATCATATGACAACATTTATTTGATTCAAGTTACAATAAAGCTTGGTTTTATCATGACTCAGCAGTCGACAGCGGATACATAAAAATCTTTATTCATACAAATATTTTATTATTTAAAATTTCTTATATAAACTAAGGAGATTTTGCATAAAGATGAAATTTAATATAAAAAATTAATCATAGCATTTCGCAATTATAAAAAACTTTGAGACATTTCTATCTAACTATAACTAAGCTTGGTTTTCTTCAACGCTCATCAAAAATAAGCTTGGTTTTACTTCTATTAACAAGATTCTTAATTAAAGCGTCAATGAATATAAAGCTTAAGATTGTTATTAAGAGAATACATCGTTGACTTGTCTGCAACACCTGATGAATGTGGCTCTTCGTGGTAGTTCGCGGAGCCTCGAGGCCCCCACGTAAGTGCACGCGGACCTGAGGCCCCCCAAAATATCTTTCACAGTACCCTCCACGTTACCACGGTATTCAACCTCCACTGTCTTACCTGTTAAAATGAGATTATAACTTTATGAGTATTTATTTATATGAAATTAATGTTAATCTGATCACTTCGCGTATTTTATTATTTTTAAAACTATCAAGAAAATAATCATCTCATCCGTCCGTGATCACGGCTGCTGCAAAGTAACAGAAACGTCGGGAGTATGTAGTATTTTGAAATAATAAAATACGTGTAATAATCCGAAAATATTAATTTCCTTTAAATGTAGGGAGTATATTAAATAAAATATATTCCCTTCATATGATCCGTTAATAAATTTTTATTGAATTCTTGGATAATATTTCATGTAACTTTTTTAAAAACATTTCTTGCACGGTCTATTGATATAGCTAGAAGGTCATATCATTGTAATAATCATATTAAGCCAACAATAATCTAGTTAACATAAAAACACTCCACATTAATCTAGCCCCAAAATATTAAATACCTTCAGATGATCTATATTCAGCTACACCGCCCGAGTGTTTCAACATGGCGGTCGATGAAGACATTCCATAGAACAGCTTCACCTTTTTTCCATCGGGTTTAATGACCAATTCCCCGGAACATTGATCGTGACCGGCGAACATTCCGCCAGCCATCACGAAATCCGCACCCGCCCCGAAAGCCTTCGCTACGTCACCGGGACACGTGCAACCTCCGTCCTGGTGATATAATAGGTTGCGTTAAACGTTTAACGCTCTGGGTGTAGAGGGAATGGCGCTTGCATGGTTGCGGATAATCAATTGGGTGTTGTAAGTAATGTTGATTAATTTTTTCTTAATAACACTTAGGAACCCTTAATAATAAATCATTTTCTACCCCTTCCTCTTTTCATTCCAACATTAGTTTCACTTCTTCCGCAAAGAGGGACTCAACGCACACTAAACTTTTTTCGTGTTTATTCAGTTACAAACCATCAACAAACAGACCATGTAAAAGATAAAATGTCAATCTAAAAGAATTATATTTAATTTTTTTTTAATTTAATTCCTCATTTTATTTTCAAACAATTGAAATAAAACTTCATTATTAAATTCATACTCTTTCTTATTTAAATGTCGTTTAGTGCAGATTAGAGAAAATATGATATTGTAGACAACTTAAATTACACGTAGAAAATAAATAGCGTCTCATCAGCGTTATAACAGTGACAAACTAACGACATTTTAGCATCAAAACAGCGATACAATAACGATATATAAACGACCAATACGCATTTGAAATCTTAGTAAAGGTTATATGTTAACAATACGTACAGATATAATGTGTCCCTTGAGTCCGTGTGCCGCGTCCGCGCATTCTATGACGGCTGACAGCTGAGGATAGCCCACACCTGTCTTCATACGAGTCGTACACACCGACCCCGGGCCGATACCGACCTGGCGGGAGAGAATTCCAAATTCAAATATTATCCACTGAGAATCAAGGTCACATTTGAAATTCGAAATTTAAAATATCAACTGAGAATGATGGTCACATTGGGAATTCCAAATTTAAAATTCAACTGAGAATGATGATCACATTGTGTCATCAGTCTATCAGAGCCCACTGCAGAGCAAAGCCTCTTTCTCACATGGAGAAGATTTGAGCATTAATCGAATCCCAAATTTAAAATATTAACCGAGTATCATGTCACATTTTTAATTCCAAATTTAAATTCTATGAACTGAAAATCAATGTCACATTAGGACAAGGGTATTTATTGTTCATTTCACACAGATTAAAAAATATAGACGTATGTATGAGTGTATATAATAATATGTTTGTTTGTTTGTTTACCTTTATGATATCAGCTCCTGACAGTATGAGTTCTTCAACCATCTCGCCCGTCACTACGTTACCAGCCTGGAATAATTACATTACTACTTAATATAAATCAATAGCTATACAATTCTTAATTTGAAATTTAATATATAATTATTTTTATATAATTTTAATTCAATCATTCTTAGTATCTGTATATATTATTTAATATAATATTTTATTACGATGAAATATTCTTTATTATTATTACATCGTAATAATAGAATATATAATAAGGTATAGAAGAAATTATTCAGTCTTTAAAATTGGTTGAAAAGTTTTAATTGACAAATAGTCCATTAACCACTAGGCCACCATAACTTCTATATAGTTCTACAACTATTTATATATATCGGCGCTATCAGCTTTAATAACGGATGCGACATGAAAATAATTTGAGGCTGTCATCAATTATTATTAAACCTCATTAGTATTCATGATTATTGTTAAAAGTAAAACGAAATCCAAAGTATCATAGAACTTTGTTTAAATCTTGTTATAAATATGACGTCTGGACGCACGACGGCAGAATTCAGAATTGAGAATTCAGAGTTCAGTGAGTATGTATCATTGAAGTGTGTGATTATGAAGAACCTTCGAAAAATACAAGGAAATTTAGAACAATTAAGTTTCATTTTAAAATATCATGGAATGTAATAGAAGAAGTGACATTTCTTACGTCTCTCGTAACGTAACGTAACGTCTCGTCTCTCTCTTTTAAAACAACGAATCCTACTAATATTATAAATGCGAAAGTTTGTGACTGTGTGTGTATGTTTGTTACTTCTTCACGCTCAAACGGCTGAAGCGATTGTGATAAAATTTTGTATACAGGAAGCTGACATCCAGGAATGACACATAGGCTACTTTACATCCCGGAAATCCGCGGGTAACACCGCGGGGCGCAGCTAGTTTGTAATAAATCCGATATATATTTTTTCCAATCCCATTATTTTCCAATCCCATTATTTTTCCAATTCCATTATTTTCCAATTCCATTATTTTCCAATTCCATTATCATTATACTCACAATGATCGTGTGTGATGGGTACGCGGCCCTCACTCGCCGCACGTACTCCACGAAGTGTTGTGAGTATCCATTGGCTACGTCGAGACATATGAACTTCAAACTCTTCACATTATTCAAGATTTCTGATAAACGGTCGAAGTCTGCTTCCGCTGTACCGGAACTGGCGGCTGGAATTAAATAAATATATATAAGAAAAATATATAACTAAATATATGATTTATATGTTTATACTAGCTTCTGCCAGCGACTTTGTGCGCTTTAATTTGCTAGTAATATATGTATAGCTGACAGAGCGGACTATTCTGTCCTATAAGACATGAATAACCAGATATTGGATTTTTTTTAAATTATTTTTCGATCGAATTATTAAATACATAATGATGTAGGAGTGTAATATTAAAACATCGATCAATCTCGACTTTATTTCGATATAAACAAATGTACTTTTATAATTAACTAGCTTTCGCGTGGAGTTCGGTTATATCGCGTTTCCAAGAGAACCTTTCAAAAGTCTGGGATAAAAACTATCCTATGTTATTTCTCAAGGTCAACTCTATCTCTGTACCAAATTTGATTAAAATCAGTTCAGTGGTTTAGGCGTGAAAGCGTAATAGACAGACAGAGTTACTTTCGCATTTATAATATTAGTAAGGATGATATATTCATCTTACCCATTTGTTCCAAACACTCTGGATGGTCATCAGCGAATTTCTTCCATTCATCCAATGAATAGTATTTGTGGATACAGGTAAAGAGGCCGTGCTGGAATGAAAAATATGTATACTAGTTTTTGTCCGCAACTTCGTCTACTTTAGTTTTAGGAATTGGAAATATATAACTCTACTATTAAAGATAAAGATAAGAATATTTTGGATTTGATTACCTTTTTTTTCTTTTTCAATCGTATGAAAAACATGCTATTCCTTTTCATTATTCTAAACTATGTCTCCATTAATTTTTATCCAAATCCGTAGAGCCGTTTTTGAGTTATAAATAGTGTAACTAACATGACTCTTTTATATATATAGATACTATCTTCTACCTGGCAATTTCCCAGCTATAGCCAGGGTCTGCCTTACATGTTGTGAATAGTTTTGGCTATTTATTTTTACAACCGGCCACCTGCCTGACATCAACCCTCTTTGGGAATCAACATTATTCAGTTATGTCTAAATACTCTTAGAAAGTACATATGACTCAGAAAAATTACATTGGTAATTTTGCCAGGGCCAGGATCGAACCCGCGCCCTCGAGCTTCAGAGGCGGGCCTCTTAACCACTAGGCCACCACTGACTATATATATAGATACTATATATTAGGTATTATTCCTAATAAAATAGTCATCTGTATAATTTCTTCTCACGTTCGTATTCCCAGGACATATAGGTGTCCTGGGACCTGGCACTTATGGTGTATCAAAAGTCTTTTGTTTTCAAACGAGTATGAGACACGTTAGTGCATATCAATGTATAAGGGAGATAGTTGACACTAATATATTATCAATACTTTAATTGCTAAAGCTTATAACAATACTATGACAATAGAAATATGTACTACAAGCTGCGCCCCGCGGTGTTACCGGATTTCCGGGATGTAAAGTAGCCTATGTGTTATTCCTGGACGTCAGCTTCCTGTATACAAAATTTTATCAAAGTCGGTTCAGCCGTTTGAGCGTGAAAAAGTAACAAACATACACACACACTCACAAACTTTCGCAATATAATATTAGTAGGAAGTAGGATATATATATGACTATAAACTAAGAAATATTTCCAAACAATTATATCCAAAAATGTACCTCTTTTTTTAAAAATTGGTAAAAAATACATTAAAAAAGACGGCCATTATTTTTTTTTTCAAATGCCATTGGATACCATTCCAATCTAAAGCCACCAACCTTCGACAATTCCATGGCCATTTCAAATGTGCCAACGGTGTCCATGTTGCTGGCCATCACGGGAATGCCACGGTAAGTCTGGCCAGAGTTACGGAAAGTAATCTCTCTGAATAGATCCACCTGGAAATTATGAGAAAATACCATATAAGTTGAAGACCTGTTACATGTGCACTAACTTCTGTAGTTCATACTAATGTATTGCAAATTGAGTCAAATAATTAGTGAAGTTATAACTATGAGCTATTTTCGTCTATTTAAACGTTTGGTAAAAAATTATATTTTATATAATTTTACCAAAAATTATATATACGTATACATTTCATTGACAATAAAATATATATTATTTTTATGCTTTTTTTAAACATTCTATTATGAATTATTATATTGTAAAATAATAAAAAATGCAATACAATTTATTGAAATTTCCCCCCACACGAGGTTGTCTTAGCAAAAAATTTCACAACACTATATTTATTAATACCTAAAAATAAATATTATATACATATATACATACATATTATTTTTTATATATAATTGCTTTAATCATAATTTGTTTAGTTATAATTTAATTCCACCCACAGTATTATTATGAATGAAGTTATTGTGTTACATTATAACAAATATATTGATACAACTCATACAATATCAATACTTTAGTTATACTTCGTTTAACATTCATTCACCATTCATTCATTCATTCGCCATTCACTCGTTCATTCAAATATATTAATATTTAGTCTATTAATATTCCGCTGCCCGTAGTGACGACATCAACAAATATTGAAACCATATTTCCCTTAAAACGATATTCATAAAACATAACTATTTCAATACTTTTTATCTTTAAGCCAATTAATGGCTTAAGTCGAAGATATATTTATCTTACAATTAGGTATACTTACATGCATTGTACTTTATCTTTGAATAATAAAAAAAATATTGTGTGTTATAAAAAGTAAATGACGTAGGAGGCTTTTACGAGGCATATCTCAATTTATTTATTCACATTTATTTATGTATTTATTTATTTATTCATATTTGAGACATACGAAAAAATTATGGCCTGAGATTTTTACCTATTTATTATGGGGCCGTTCAAGTATTACGTAAGCAGATTTATTACAATTATTTACCCCCCCAATACCCCTTGTCAGCAAAAATAAGCAAAGCTCTTACCCCCTCCCCCCATGCTTAGGTAAACATTTTCAATTACTATATTGTTTTTTTAAATATAAATCAATAAAAAAAAATAAAAATAATATTTTTTTATGGATCTTCTCGATGTGACGATAAAAAGTAAATAACTACCGATGACGTAATCATCATCTACACTCCCCTACCCCCCTTGTCATCCAAAATAAGCAAAGCAAAGACCCCCCGCTCCTCCATAGTGCTTACGTAATACTTGAACGGTCCCTATGTAATCTATATAAAGTTTTTGCATTTAAACTCTTAAGGTTTTTAATAAATATGTTTTTAAATAATAATTAATAAATCTGTTTATTAATGTACATAATTATTGGTTTGAGAGTATAGTAGTAGAAGTGTAGCCTTAGTAGGTTCGTTTGAAAATTGGTTTGGTAGAGAGGAGGTTGGACAGTGGAGGTGAGCGTATAACGCGTTAGATAGGGTCCCTTAAACCTAGACCTGGGTCTTGTGACTTCTCTTGATGTAAAATAAATTTTATGAAAGTAAATAAAAAACCAATGTCTACCATTTCTGATTTACATTTACACTAAGAATGAATCTTCTATAATATTTTACTGTTCATAAATAATCTACTTTTATAGCTGACTGAAGAATTAATGAGGAAATTTTATATTACTATAATTTTATTTATATGCTCATTCATATATCATTCATTCACACATTCACTAGTCAATCATTCATTCAATTTAAATACATTTAATTTTATATGTCCTGTTACCAATATTACAAATGCTACGTAATAATAATAAAAGTTAGAAAATTAAGATCGAGATAAAAAAGTGTGCCAATATATGAATTGAGATTGGATTTTAAGAATTTTTCACGTAACCTACATATCATGACATTGTAAAACTTTGGACTAATGCCACAAAATATTGGCGTACATTTGACAACGGTGTCAAAGTTTCGAATAGAAAGGAAATGTGTTAAGTAGACAAATATGATAGAATACAATTTCCTAGTGATATATAAGACTTTATTTCTTTAATAAAAAATATATTTTAATGTGTATATACACTACTAGGTACCCGACCCAGCTTCGCAAAGGTACTTTAAAAAAAGATTGAACACAAAGAAATTTATTTTGATAAGACTTTATGCAGTAATTATGTAAATAGTTTTCCTATAAAGGCATCATGAATGTATAGCAATTTTTAAAAGTACATAGTAAAATTGATATAGTATATAGTATGTTATCCTTAAGAAATAGACATATGCCATCGCGGACTTTTCTGTAGACCTATATAAAATACATAATTCCACCAAAAATTGTTAGATAGATAGATAGAGGTCCCTTAAACCTACACCTGGGTCGCAAGTCCCAGTCACTGTTGAAGCTCCTCTCACTACAACGATGGACCCGACACACGCACCGTGAATACATTGAATGATGAGAGGTTAAGTCTCTGTTATATTTCTAAGGGTTTTGGCAACGTTTTATAACAATTAATATTAAACTATAACAAACTATATATTAAAACCTTTCTCGATAATCACGCTATCGACTGGTGAAAATTGCTTGGTAATTGGTGCAGTAGTTTTTCTGTTTATTGCGTAGAGACAGACAGACGCGGCGGGAGAATTTATTTTATAATAATATGTATTGAAAATTAATTAGTAAGACAAACAAAATAAATTCTTCAAACAATATCTTTTATTAACGTTTAAAGATTTTCAAAAGCATGTCTGTTGTTACTACTGTTGATAAGTCTTTTTATTGTATTAAATATTTATTAATAACTCATACAAATATATATTTTTATTTATTGCAAAGCATTTGATGGCAAAATAGTAAGGTGCTGGTAAATAATTTAGTAACTGAATATGACAAAACTTTTGAACCAATTAAATATTGGGTTTTCAAACAGTCTCATTATGAAACTACATACTCCCGACGTTTCGATTACTTTTCAGCAATTTATCAGCAATTTGAGATTTAATTAATAGAAAACGCGTAGTAATCACAAAATGTTAGTTTCATTTAAATGAATACCCGCGAAAGTCTTAGATTTCATTAAGAGTTTTATGTATGTACATTATTAGTTCCTTTAACAATTTACTATGTACTAATTATTATAGATATTTCGATTATATTTATATACTTTCTGTTGTTCTTTGTACTGGTAAATATATAACTAGTCCTCTTTAAAAAAGTATTATTATTAATAAGTTTTCAACTAAATTATATTCTCAGTTAATTAATAAATAACGAAAAAAATAATTAATTTAGCCCTCAGAACTGAAATACGTATAAAAAAAGGAGGTATGGAAATTGTTATTATATGTAAATAAATGAATGAATGTAATACGATCTTGCAATGTTAAATAAATAACTTAGATGGTGATAAGAGTTTTAATAGAATATTATCAATAATCTGTTCTTAGGAAGTGCAATCTACTATCCACTAAATAGTTATGCTTGAGAGACGAAACCTCTCATCATTCAATGTATTCACCGTGCGTGTGTCGGGTCCATCGTTGTAGTGAGAGGAGCTTCAACAGTGACTGGGACTTGCGACCCAGGTGTAGGTTTAATATATGTATATAGAGAGACGAAACCTCTCATCATTCAATGTATTCACCGTGCGTGTGTCGGGTCCATCGTTGTAGTGAGAGGAGCTTCAACAGTGACAGGGACTTACGACCCAGGTGTAGGTTTAAGACCCTATCTAACGCGCGTTAAACGCTCACCTCGACTGTCCAAGCTCCTCTCTCTACCTAACCAAATTTGAAACGAACCTACTAGGACTGCCTTCGAAGCTGATAATATAACCCAGAAATATTGTTCCATATTGATATTAAATAAAATTTGGATTTAGTATTGAGAAACCTAAATAAGGCTAAAATATGCTGTAATTTTGAATGATAGACTAATATTTTTGTACCTATTTTTCTGTTTGGAAAATTCGAATTCATAACACCCAATATTTTTAGTATTTGACTAGAAGACCTAGCGAACTTCGTATCGCCCTATAATCAAGAAATATCTATTACGTTTTTTTATTCATATTTTTGGAGTTTACCTGTAAGCCATAAATCTCCGTGTTTTGAAGTGTGACAGAATGATTGACATATTAGTTAGTTGTCAAATCTAATGTTAAAAAAAAAGTTTGTATGGGAAATATAAAAGGGCTGTTTTTATGGTTTTCCCAGTAATGAATCAATTTTTCTCAGCTATTATACTTTCCCTGAACCTCCACGAACATTTCAAGACTAAGATAAGATAAATCTGTTCAGCTGTTCTCGAGTTTTAGCGAGACTAAGGAACAGCAATCCATTTTTATATATATAGAAGAAGAAGATAAAGATATGTAAGAAACAAAATTTATTTTACTAATATATTTTTTTAATAATTGCAATATAATATATATTTTTTTATTATATACGTTCAGCTTATGATGTTGATCAAGACCTGTAATTACTCCAGGTGCTTTAATTTCAAATACTTCGTTAGTATGAAAGCATATGGAAAGACCACTCACATAGTTAATTAAAGAGATTTTTATCATACAATAATAAAATTAAGGTATTATTTAGTAATAAATAATAATTCTCCATATCAGCGTGATATATGTAGCGTTTTAAAATTTTTCATTAAACGTCATTTAGTGATGCCATTATGTAATTATTTGTTTGAGTAACTCAAACAAAATTTTACCTTATTTCGTAATCAATATATATGTGTAGAAAATACCAAATATTCATTGCGTATAATTTTTGTAGAGTACGCTAACATTTAACAATATGTGATACTTAAAATTTCATTATAAGTTTATATCTGGTGTTCATTATGAAAAATATGATGGCGGTATTAATTCAATTACAATTGACCAAAAAACTTGACTAATACGAAGTTATTTGCTAGATCGTCTTTAAATATAACACTAAAAGGAGAGAAACTGATAAGTTACAATAATGTCGTATTATTAAAATTTTAATTCGTAAAACAGCTGATTATTTTTATTTACATAAGTAAATAAAATGCGAGCAATAATCCATATAAACAATTATAATTTATAATAAATAATCCTTCTACGAACGAATCCGTCTTATTTCAATCTTTATTACCTTACAAGAGTCTTCTTCTACCTGGCAATTTCCCAGCTATAGCCAGGGTCTGCCTTACATGTTGTGTATAGATTTGGCTATTTGTTTTTACGACCGGCCGCCTGCCTGACATCAACCCTCTTTTGGGAATCAACATTAATCAGTGATGTCTAAATACTCTTAGAAAGTACATATGACTCGGAAAAATCACATTGGTACTTGCCCGGGCCAGGTTCGAACCCGCGCCCTCGGCAAAGAGAGGCGGGCCCTTTAACCACTAGGCCACCACTGACTATTACCTTACAAGAGTATTAATTAAAATTACATTATATATCACAAAGGTCATTGACCTATCCTTTAATTTTTGATCGTATAGGACTAAACATTTACCAAAATCAAAGTAGTGAAGGTTATGCCACATACTGAAAACTTTGTTTAATCTTAATTATAAATATTATTAAGAAAAAATGAAACTTAAATTCAGTTACAATATACAAATATTGTACACTTGATATTAATTTATGACTGGAAGTAATCTTATTTGTTATGTGTTACTAAACTCTGACGTCATACACGGCTGAATGAGACATTTGCCTCTGAAGCATTCAACTTGCGTAAACATACATAATATATGTACTACGTCCTGTTTCATTAATAAAATAATATTTGCTAAGTTCAATTATCGATTTTCATGCTTTTATTATGTTTCAGCTTGAATCAATACAAAAAAGTTTTTGTTATGACTTTTTTAGTAAACGTAAAATTTCAAATGTTTTTTTCCACTGATGCGAATCGAAGGTTCGTCAGCTATTATGCCGTATTTATTACGTCATGTGACGTGTGTCTTTTATGGCTAAAACATTAATTATTATTAGACTTATAGGGTATATGTACTAATACCGAAAACTCAATTGTTTTTGTAAAATATTAATAATCTTTAAGTTGTTTTTTATATATAACATTGCTGGTATACCTGGCAATTTTAATTTTAATAGCAACTCTTGTAAAATTTATGAAATGAATTCGTTATTTTAATAAGTTCTTAATTATTGTGTTATCATTTTAATATAGACAGAATTACTCAAAATTTACTAAAACGTTTCAAAATACAAGTTATTCTTATTACAAAATATATTTTTTCGGATCTCATGTATATGTATATTTCACAAATATTTAAAACTTCGTATCTTAACAGCCCATATTTTGATACTGAATCAAACAAATGAAAAGATAAAAAATCGATTATTCCAACAAAATGAACAAGATCAAATAAAAAATGTTACGATTTTTTGTATAAAAACTTGCTGAAACTGTAACTGTACTTTCTGAAATTCATTTGGTACAATTATATCAAAATCATTGTTAATAGAAATCATTCACAAAACTAAAATTAAAATTAATGTTTATTTATCGTAATCAAACTATGATCATTTTATCTCACATCAAAATATTTCCGTGACCATTCACTCTGTATAGTAAAAATAGTTTCAGCAAGACAGCAATATTGATAGACCTTGATGATTCAAAATAAACATAATTTGACTCACATCATTCCTACTTTTCAGTGTGCTCCGTTTAGGCCGCAGTAACACGTCTTTGAAATCCAATTTAACCTCATTTATGATATTAGGCATTATTATTTAATAAGAGTTTTTCAAATTTATATATTAAACCAACAATGAGCGTCGCCTTTGCTCGCGATATCGACTAGACTGCTAGCGACGGTAACTGTTGCCAGAATCTAAATTTACATTTCCCCTTTAATAATTTCTTTTATTTTTTGTTTAGGCTTGTTGTTGGTTTGTTAGTGTATTCATATAAAATCGTTGATTAAGATTCTAATATATATTTAAATAATAACTTATGATATAATCAATTCAGTTACACGAGTAAATAAATTAAATACGTAGTTGCCACATGTTACATAAACTAAATAAGTTATATAATTCAAACTGTAAAAACTATTTAAAAAATTGGGAAGGTATTTTTAAAAAAACTCCACGAAATTATGAAAAATTTTAGATAATGGCAACACCCTTTCAAGTGTAACGTGACAGTGACGTCACAAGGGCATGCTAAAATACTCGCTTCAGCGGCTAGGTGAAGGTTATTAGAAACCGATCCATCCCATTTCACTTTTAACTCTATATAATTATAATAAACCCTTCTGCTATTTATAAAATTTACTATTTTTATTGACGAAACAATCAGCTGTTGGCGGGTTTACTGCGCATGCGTGAAACTGCATTAGCAAATGACATTGGCCTTATGGTTGATATCAAATGTAATTTTTTCGATGCGATCCATAGCGTTCTGCCTCGGATGTACGACATTATCAAACACTAAAAGACTAACATAGATAACCCGGTTTTGAATTAATTTTAATTTTAAAAAACATATATTTTACCAAGCGTTTATCATAGACATTCGTTATATTTTGCCGTACTTCCCTATTTTGTTATATGAAATATTGCAAAGAAACAAAAAATGTATTAATGATTTTCCTGAAAAATACAATTTTATCATAATAATGTATACTTTGTGTATTGTTAAGATCGCTAAAAGTTAGAACTGTGGAAAATTATCAAAATCACTTCATTTTAATCTCTATTGTTGTGCCTAAATCTTAAAAAATAAAAACCTTTTTCTCAAACAATTTTAGGTAATTACATAAATGTGTTTGGACACAATCCAATTACATAACGATTATTGAATAAAACTGTCTACAAAGCTGACAGATAACAAGACATTTTCATATTTAAAAAGACTTATACTCGTAAAACAGCTTTTTAATAAGTAAAAATGGTTACATTGGCAGAAAAATTGAACAATTATAGTGTGAAGGAAGCTTTAATATTAAAAAAAATAAGACTAACTGACAGACACTGTAAAATAACCAAAATGGCGAATGAAATGTAATATAATAAAACATATAGTAGATTTAAAAATTAATTCACCAGAAACTTAACTTTAATATTAATTTAAACAATTCCAAGTTTAAATTATTAATTTTCAACCGTACTTAGTTTATGAAATGTTTTTATTTAAACCAAAACAAATATAACAAAAGAAAAATAAAACAAAGTCAGTATTTTCATTACGATGACAAACAAGAAAATATACGATCAAAAGCTTTTTATTTAAGGCGGGATCAAAAATTTAAATATATAAAAATCTAGAATGGTATCGGCTTAGCTGGTAACGCCGCTTCGTAGCCGGTCCTGAAGTTAAGCGAATTCTTTTTTGTAGCTGAAAAATAAATTAAAAACACCATGTTACGTACACGCTACATATGAAAAAAAGGAACATCGTCGGGGCGACATCTTTGTATCGGTAAAATATCGTATAACGAGTAACGCTGCTGACTCCGCGGAGCCAACACCAAGCCGTGTGAACCAGAAGATTCCTGATACCGCACAAGCTATGGAATGGTATTGCTATCCTAACATCGGGTCAATCATGTAGTCTTAGATGTAGGTTACAAGTTTTAATGTGTAATTCGTATTTTAATATACATACAATAAGTATGTTTTGTAGTTTTCCTGGAACCTCCGGTTGCCACCCTATATGTATAATTACCAAAATAATATTTATTTATTCACACTGTTTAATTGTTCTGTTACGAAATACGTGTTCTAACTTGAACATAGTTATCTATTAACATGCCACCTAGAACTCACTTCACAAAAAAAACAAAGTATGACCTAACAATAAAACGTCATTTAATTCCTAAACCGTCATCTATGTTTGGACAATACGAAATAAAATTTGAGAGAGATTTATAAGGAAAATCTTCACTAAAGAAGAATTATATTAAACTAATAAGTTTAATACTATAGTCATTACTTGTAGTGCTGTAAGACACATGACGAACTACTTCCAAATGTGGTGAAAACATCGCCTCCTTGTAGTTACCGTATCCATCACACTCAACGTCAGAACCGGTACGACATTTTTCTCGGACGCAGTCTAAAAAAACATTTACATTTTACATCTAAACTGAGCAAACAAAAAATATTACTTAGATGAAAATTACTTTTAATGCTTGTTATTGTATTAAAACTAATGATATCTAAGACTTAATATATTAATTTAAATAAAACCAATATTTTCGAATTGCTACGCGTATTTTATTACGTCAAATCTCGTCTGCCCGTGATCACGGTTGAGGCAAAGTAACCGAAACGTCGTAAGTATGTAGTTTAAAATAATAAAATACGAATAATAATACGATAATATTGGTTTCCTTTGTATTAAAACTAATTTTATCACATTAAATCTTTGTATTTAAATCAAATATTTTTATCTTAATAATGCGAATTCAGTTAAACTCTTTCTTTAAGACCATCTCGTTTTAAATCTCGTTTACATATTGAAAGTTTAATTGAGATTGCATATAATTAGTTATTTAAGTTAATTAACTACAAATTAATAAATATTATTAGTTTTAATCACCACAATTCATATTGGAGACTTCCACACGGGGCACTCTAATGCCTTGGATGAAGGTTCCATCTTCTAGCGAACAGTAACACACGAAACGACGGCACTAATAATTATATATATATATATATATATATATATACATATTTATATATATAAAAGAAAGTTGTGTTAGTTACACTAGCTATAAATAAGAACGACTTTAAAGATTTGGTTGAAAATTGGTAGGAAGATTGCTTAGAACAAGGAGAGGGACATAGGATATTTAATTCTGTTCAATCGAAAGAGAAAAAAATAGTTAATAAATTCCAATATCTTGATATTTAAAGCCTCTAGGGCGGAATAGAGTTCGCCTGATCAGCCAAATATATTTATAATACCGAAATTAACGCGGACGAAATCTCTGGCAAAAACTAATATATGTATTATAATGTTTATATAGTAATTATTCTTCATAATTTTGAGTGTAAATGACACTCGATCTTTCTTTACTAATGCAGATTCCTGTCTTCCTGCTTGACTTATTACAATCACGTTTTTTATCAAAATTTAACGATAATAATGAATAATTACGATACATATTATATTAAAAATAAGTCAAACGTTTCATTAATTAATTTGTTTAATATATATGTATGTATATTTGTTACCTGAACGGGTGCGTATAACCAGAGTGGTGTACATTGAGGTGCGTTGTAATGCAAGTGCCCATCTTTGCCGTATTTTTTCTTGAAGTACTTCAACTCTTTCTTACAAGGTTCTTTAAAATATGATTGTCTTTTAGTTATAAACTACAATGACAACAAATTTGTGTCTCTCTATTTAAAATTGATAATAAATTAAATTGATAATATCTTCATAAATAAATTGAATATTACTCGAAAAACTTTTGCTGCATACGTGTAATACTGATACTACGAGTATATACGTGAGAGAAAAGAAAACCAGTCACAGTGGAACCGTAACGCGTTACGTTACAAAGCGTTACGTACCCTCTCATAAGAAGTTATCACTTCAAACATTAAAGGAAATCGTGAATTGAGGATTGCTTTGTGTAGTCAGGTAAAAGTAACACAAATGCTAAGACAACGGTACTTAATATCGGGAACGTCGTAGATTCAAATCTCAATATTAATAGAAGGTTTTATCTCAACACAGATTAGCTTAAATATTGGTAAAAGAATAATAAAAATCAATGGATTACACATATATTACAATGATTGAAATATGAAAAATAATATTTACTTATACCTAACTAGAAGTACTTTTAAATAAATTTCTATAAAGACTTATGAGATTTGCATTAAGTTTCAGTAATTTTAGTTCTTTGTTTCTCGTATATCTTTAATCCTATTCATCATCATCTCACCGTTTGCTTCTATAAGACCCTCATCCCTCTTCCTCCTCAGCCCCGGTGGGGTTGGCACGGAATGTATATCTTGACACAGACCCTGCCTACAGACCAGGCCATCATCACAACCAGGCTCGAGAAACTCTTCCTCCACCTACACAATATTTGATTAAAACAAATGTCCCAACATAATATTATCTCATTAATAAACAAGTATCGTTTCCATTATACCACTATTATTTATTACCCCTCAATAATATTGATTCAGTTATCCTTTATGTCGATTTTATTAATTTAATTTTTAATAAAAATTTGATATAGCTGTTTTTCTCTATTATTTTTCAATACATACCTACATAAATTTAAAAATGTTTGACGTGATATCAGGGTAAAAAATTGTGAAAATCCGTGACAAGGACGATTGAAGGGGATTAAAAATGCTTAAATTTGAGTGACGTACTTTATGGATGGTCCCTTATAGGTAAATATATAATAAATATAGGTATATTATATACTAAGTGTTTCCTTTCCTTTGTAACATACCTCCGTCTCCCTGGAGCCATTTACAACGTGGACAGTCTTCTTGAACTCAGCGCATTTTTGGTTCAGCTCTATAAAAATATGATTTTTAGTGTTCAAATTTGAAGCTGCTATGTAATCTTAATATTTTAACCTATCCAGTTATTGAGACTTAAACCTTTAATATATTCTTGTTACTTCAACTCATTCCTAAAATACGTTCAAAGTAACAAAATTAGCATAAATAAACTGTAGACATTCAAGGAACACTTCATCATAAGCTAATTAGTGACACTTACGGCGTCTATTTTCTTTTGAATCAGAAAAAATATAACATTTTTTATAATGCAAATATTCCAGTGACTAAATGTTATTAACATATAGAAAAACAATTTCAGACACATTTATAGATAATAAACTTCAAAACTATATTACATTATCTACTTTTCGTGGACGAATTAATTTTTGTCAAGGAATGTTTCGTCATTGAAATAATTGATAATGTCTAACGAACAATAAAAACCATAAAATTATCGTTCCAGTTTACTTTTTTATGCTAAAGGGGCTATTAAGCAGACGGCCTACCTGATGGAGAAGAGATAAGAGATGTTGTGGATGTGTTGCTACCCTTGATTAGGGAAGAGGGGACCGAATAAGTGGGAAAGGGAAGGAAAAGGAGGGAAAAGGGAAATGGCAACCGTCTCTCTCACTCATCGGACGAAACGCAGCCATTAAAGCCTACTTCACACCAATCTTCTGTGATAGGGTGGTACTTCAACGGTCAAGCCAGCCCATGTTCAAGCTGTGGTGACTTGACCACAACTAGACTATACCGGTGTGCGCACAGAGGTTTAGGGTAGGGTAAGCAGAATATATATTCGAAAATGAAACAAATTTTCACCATAATTTCCTCCTCTATCATCTAAAACATGAATCTAATGACATATTACATTTCTGTAATCATTCGTATTCTTTAATGTATCATACATTCAAAAGGAAACATTCCTTAAATAATGTAGGTTTACATTTCGTATGGCCTACCCATACGAAATGTATAGCAGTTCTTATTAGCTTATATGGTATGCACGCCATTGGTTCTACCACCCACAAAATATTATCTACTTCTAAAGTCTGGTCTAAAGAATCATAGTAATTCTAACGTTGGTAAGTGCTGCATCTGCCGCAGCAGTTACAGGTCTCCCTATCTGGAAGGAAGGCTCCAAGAGGACATCTCTCCTCTGGCACCTGGCCTCCCGAGCACTCCCAGCCTCTACACGAGAGAGGGCAGTCGTCTGATGTGGGCGGCTCGAAACGATAGCTACGACGGCTAAACGAGGAAGAATTAATTCACCATCAGCATATATTGAGACGAAACCTCTCAGCATTCAATGTATTCATATGCGTGTGCCGGGTCCATCGTTGTAGTGAGAGGAGCTTCAACAGTGACTGGGATTTGCGACCCAGGTGTAGGTTTAAGGGACACTATCTAATGCTCGTTAAACTCTCACCTCCACTGCTCAAGCTCCTCTCTCTACATAAACTAATATGATGAAATTCATCAACTAATCGTGTAATAGTATTGAAGTAGACAATTGTGTTATGAAAAATATAGGTTTTAAGCTTAAATAGAATACTTAATTACTTAGAAAATACTGATGATTTAATATTATTATAACAAAATCTATTTGAAAACACTAAGACTTAAAAAGTTATCGTCAACGTTTTTGAAATATAAGACATGATACTCGTATAAGTAAATAATGTAGCTCTCGAAACAAATGTTCTTAACTAATAATTCCATCTATTTTGACGAGAAAAATCCATAAAACATTATTAGACAAACACGTAAAAGTAATAGAGCAAGAGTTAGGGTATTTAAACAAAATAACAGACACTTGTACTTTGCTTCTAGTGACACTGGTTAATGCAATGTAATCGTGAGGCCAAAGGTTAAAAATCAATATTAACACAATTTATATGCGAACTACATCCAAAAGAATACTTTTATTTCCAAACTAGCTTTCCACCCACACCTTCGCCCGCGTGGAGTTCGATTATATCGCGTTTCTAAGAGTACCATTCAAAAGTCTGGGATAAAAAGTATCCTATGTTCTTTCTCAAGGTCAACTCTATGTCTGTACCAAATTTCATTAAAATTAGTTCAGTGGTTTAGGCGTGAAAGCGTAACAGATAGACATAGTTACTTTCGCATTTATAATATTAAATAATTAGTAGGAATAAAGACTATAAAACTTACACGTTTATCGTTTCACTCGGTAATGCCGGTATTGAAATTGGTACACCTGTAGCATAAACAGTTTTATGTAATTTTTAAAACTTCATTTAAATTAACTTTAGAGATAAACTATTATCTCTTACATCTCCGTAAGATTTTATCACAACGAAGCGCTCTTGACTCTTGCTCAGGGTGGCCCCAATACGGATTACAGCCAGCCCTAAAATCTACGATGACAATAGATAGCTTACAAACTTTATAAGGTCTATTAGTATAAAGTGACAATTGCTTATTAAATAAAAACCCGTTTTATATAGCATTTTAAACATTGCTTCAAATTGTTACGCTTTTAAAGTACGTTCGACAAGTTTAACAAAAGATCTCTCACCAATAGTAGTGACTGGTAGGAACTCGTCTGCCTCAAAGTTATATTCATCTTGCATACAGGATTGGTCTAATTCTAATAATAATGAAAAACAGCGTTTTAATAGTAAAACAATTTAAATGTATGTTATAAATAATTCTTGTCTATATTTTTATGCTTTGAAATTGATATCTTGATTTTTCTGACAGATTTATCCAAGACTTAATGATTCATCATCATCATCATCAGCCTATCAGAGCCCACTGTTGAGCAAAGGCCTCTTTCTCACATGGAGAAGGTTTGAGCATTAATCATGACGCTTGCTCAAGACGGGTTTGTAATTTCAAACTTATATTTTAAAATTATAAGTCCAGGATTGTTGTTTCAAGATGTTTTCCTTCAGCGTCTGTCAATGGCGTCTAAATACTCTTAGAAAGAACATATGACTCGGAACAATCACATTGGTACTTGTCCGGGCCAGGATCAAACCCGCGCCCTCATGCATGGGAGGCGGCCCTTAACGACTAGGCCACCACGACCTTAACTGACTTAAAATTAATCATCGTAATTGGATTTAGCAAAGGCCTCTTTCTCACATGGAGAAGGTTTGAGCATTAATCATGACGCTTGCTCAAGACGGGTTTGTAATTTCAAACTTATATTTTAAAATTATAAGTCCAGGATTGTTGTTTCAAGATGTTTTCCTTCAGCGTCTGTCAATGGCGTCTAAATACTCTTAGAAAGAACATATGACTCGGAACAATCACATTGGTACTTGTCCGGGCCAGGATCAAACCCGCGCCCTCATGCATGGGAGGCGGCCCTTAACGACTAGGCCACCACGATCTTAACTGACTTAAAATTAATCACGTAATTAAATCGATTTAATATATTTGTTTAAAGATTCTTAATAGGAACTGAAAAATAATGTCCCCAAGGATTTTATTTTGTGTTTTTATTACTTAAAACAAATACATACCTCTGTAAAACACACATTCGTCACAACAACGACATTCTGTTGGATCAGCTGGTAGGAACATTGTCCGCCATTTTCCGTATTTTTTCTCACAATATGTACGATACTCCGAAGGATGCACGGTCCGTTCTCTGGGGATTAAGATTTAATCACGCAATAAATGGATACCTAAATAAATAAAATCTAAATGATATGGAAGTATTCTACATAAATACATACTTGAAACAGATCTGACTATAATGAAATATCTGTCATAGATTTAACAATAGGTATGTGCAAACATATCCGTACCTACCGTTAACTTAAAATTCACGGATTTAAAGGTTTTAAAGATACAAAGTCCTTTATTAACAACAAAGTATACAGACATTACAACGTTTATACGGAATAAAGCTAACTTTTCAGAGAATTTCTTTATTCTGTGTATCAAATATTATTTTTTAATCTTTTAATCAAGACTTAAAAATTACAGCAACGAGCTACGTTGTTTATTGCACAAGACGTTAAAAGGTCTTATCCACAAGAAAATAATCGCAACTAAATTTTAGTTGCGATTAATTATATTTAAACAATAATAGTTTATATATATCTTTGACTCTATACAAAGAATTAGGTATTTGCTCCAAGTTAATAGCTTAAAAGCAGATAAAGGACATAGGATACTATTCATGCAATCGAAAAAAGAATTGATAAAATCCAAAATCTTATTTCTTGGCTTTATAAAAGAAAGAAAAAAGTTTGCGCGGTCAGCTATACATTTCTAATTTTGAAAGTTACGCAGACGAAGTCGCGAGCTAAAGTTAGTATATTATACTTACTTGCAGGAATCTCGGAACAAGTCGCATTCTGTTTGATTATTGAATCTGGGACATTGAGGGCACAGTTGGAAATCTATAATAAAATATATAATGCAGCAAAATTACCTTAGTTAATTTGTACACACTACATAGATTTCATGTTTAAAATATTTGTAATTAATAATAATAACTCTAGTGCCTCGTTTCCTATGGTTTCGTTTGATTTAACAAAGTAAAATAATATATAAATATGTTATTGAAATCTAAGTAAATGACTAATTTAACAAAGGTCTTGTTTTGTCTCGTTAAATGAACAAAGTAATATTATTTTGACCTATAAATCATCATAAGATTAACAGAGTAATATATTAAGTTCATTCAAGTCAATCGCAAAATCAAAAGAATATAAGTATGTTACGTCCCTTTTAGCATATTATGAATTGAATAAAGTTATTTTTCTATATTATTCAAGTATATCGCAAATACCATTATTTCAGATACTACGCGTCTTTTTTTATTTTATATCTACACTATCCTAAAGTTTCAATTACTTTTCAGCCACCGTATTCACGGTTAGACGAGATGAAAACCTAAGATACTGACAATAAAAAATGTAGTATCTAAAAAAGCATCTTCATTTAAATAGTTACACGTGAAAATCTTCTATCATTTAAATGAAACTAATATTTTCGGATATACTAAATGAGAAGAGATATCTCGTCCCGTGATCACAGTTGCTGAAAAGTAACCGAAACGACGATATTATATAGGTTTTTTTACAAAAATAAAGCACGCGTGGTATATTCGAAAAATAGTATTTTCATTTAAATGAATAAAACTCGCGAAAGTCTAATATCTCATTATCTTCTATCATACCAGGCAGACCCTGGCTAAGGCTGGGAAATTGCCAGGAAGAAGAAGATCTATCATTACCATTATTGGTCCTACATATGGGTCTCACGGTCCTCAGGCTCGGGAACTGCACCACAATCTTCTCTGGGGTGTGCTGGTTGCATTTATCGTAATCTATATCGGCTTCATTATTCATCACCAATGACAGAACTTCTGTTTCCCGCCAGTATTCGCTGGTATCTTTTTCGCCATCAATGAGCATTATAAATGGCAGGAACTTTAAAAATATATATCAATATGAAATTTTCGTCCTCAAACTTTCAGATAATTTCGAGTATTTTAATTTTGTAGGGTATTATGTACATATATAGATATAGGTTAATTATTCTTTGACGAATAAAAGAGTTATAATAGGAGAAAAAATACAATATTTTGTCTTTTCATTCATATGACTTCATTTTTCGTAGTAGATTTTTATGGGTCCTTTTATGAATTTTATTGATTAAGTACCTTAATTGGTCTTTGATAATGTAGTCTTAGCACATAGATGAACTAGAAAGCATTTGGACTATACCATAAAAATAGTAAATACTTATTTTTATTATTATAATCTAAGCGAATCATCACTGATCAATGCATTCCCAAAGAGGGTTGATGTCAGGAAGACGGCCGGTCGTAAAAATAATTAGCCAAAACTATTCACGACATGTGATGCAGACCCTGGCTAAAGCTGGAAAATTGCCAGGTAGGAGAAGATAATCTAAGCTAATTAATTATAATAACCTTAAGGGGCTCCTTTGTTGTAGTATTTTTAACTTTCTCTTTTTGTTCCAGTGATATCACAGGCACGAACCTGTCTGCTATTACGTTGCTTAAACAAATTATTAAAAACAACTGTAACTTCATTTTGATGGCGATATTTTTTTATAATTTCTGTTCACGCTATATAAAATGCTGTGACATATTTTGACAAGTCCTGATAGGTTTTGCTTTTCATGTTCTTGCAGAACGTAAATAATTTCAAGAAGGTCTTATATATTTTTATGTATATAATTATGTGTATATTATATGCCCTATCAGTTATAAAGTATTGTTGGCCTACCCTAAAAGAAGCATCAATATTTTTAAAATTACTCCAAATGGTTTAATTGTTCTATTTATTTTAAGTTGATTTTATTTAATTATATTCTTTGTACTTACCTTTGTCATGTTTTGTTATCGATGTTAAATATTTTCTTTTTTAATTATTTAGGTACGAGTTCCATTTTATTCGTTTCGAATTTTGGTCTAAAAAATGAAGTATTAAGTTTGAGAAACGTTTTTTTAAGACTATATAAAAAGATTCTAACAATTGAAGAAACATAAATACATATAAATATTCATAAAAAAAAAGATTCCAAATATTCAAGTATTTTTACTGTCTTTTTGTACTCTGCTTTAATTGGGATTTCCAGAGACACACATTAAAATTTAATCAGTTCAGTTTAATGATTAAACTGATCAACACTTTCAGCGTTTTCAAGGGCAATAGTCAGAAAGAAGACTAACTTCTTGAAAGCAGACTAAATTGAATAAACCAGACCTTAGCATTAGGTTATACCTTGTTATAACGTGACCTTGAAAAAGATTGAAGTCTTGTAACTTTTTAGGACCGAGTGTTCGAGATACAGTTTCAGATTTCTTATTTAATGTTCAGCGTTACTTTCAGTAATGTCTTACAAAATGGCTGAAGCCAGTACTCATTGCTTACAAATACCGTAGATACTTAAATGTTGTCATAACATTAGAATGGTTCAGTATTATTAATTATAATCAGTCATAAAAATAGTTCTAAATATTTTAATTAGTACGGCACAAATGGCGCCACTTGTAACACTGTACATTTTAAATATAAACTATTGTGAGGCAAAAAAATGTTTAAATTTGATTACTCTTTTGTCACTCAGTTGGTTAAAATGTCTTGCGACTAGAATATAATGACACCTATTAAATTGAATTTATATGCAATTAATTCAAAATTGCTGTTAATAACTTTATTGTTGCTACAAAGAAGCATAGAATATTATTGAAAAGGAATATTAAATAAAATAAGAGAAATATAAAAAGGATCTTTATTAAATAAACAAAATTCTCAATCTATGGCAGTGTGTGGCATCATGGTTTCTGTTCGTCTATAATGTCTATGACTAGAATCTATTAAAATTGAGCTAAACCTCCAAATCTATAGAACATGTGATTTATCGATAAAAATGTATAATATCAAAGTCAAAATATCATTTACTACTAAATTTAATTATTATTTTTTTCTATCAATTAATTACCTTTATTAAAAAAAAACAATTAACAGGGCAACACTGAGTTCATTTAAAAAAATAATTGACTAGAAGAGATCACAAAAATGACTATTTTATTAGAATTTCTAACTTCCAGAGCTTCAATCACTACAATACTATTATTACAACTATGTAGAAGTAATTATTGAAACACTCTCGTAACAAAATTGAACGAAACAGCGACCAAAAATCTTTAAACTGACAAAAAACAATTAAAATTCAAAATATTAATGCAATTTACAATCGACACACAAAAATGGGAGCTCAAGATATGCTGGTCAGGAGCTCATTGAAGTACTTTCGTGCCAGAATTGAACAAAAGAGCGGCCAAAAATCTTAAAACTGACAAAAGAACCGTTAAAATTCAAAATATTTATGCAATTTTCAACCGACACACAAAAGCTTAAGATATCCTGGTCATGAGTTCAACGTATGCTGGTCAGTAGTTCAAGATATGCTGGTCAGACTTCAACGTATGCTGGTCCTTAGATCCATGAGAGCGCTGGCTGTTATCACGCCATGCCTCTGCCCATAGAAACCATCACCACCAATTGATATAGTTGAGAAAGAAGTCGAATTCCTCCTTTGCTGACTCCTCTTATCTGGAATCCTATTTGGAATGTAATCCCCACTGCAATTTTCCAACCAGTCCTGCCTTTCGAATATCTTGGTCGCTTTTATGGGCTTGGATATTGCTTGGTCTGATTTATATTCTTTGACTGGTCGGTTGACCCTCGGTCGGGCTTGGTCGGCTGAAGTGCTGAGTTTGGTTTTGTATTTCGACATGTCCTGGGTGTATGTGGAGGTTTCTTGGAAACTCTTGCTCTTTGGAGCTGCTGTATGGGATTTGCTGAAAAATAACATTTTGATAAAAACACACAGTCGTATAGTCTTTACTGTAAAGAGTACATCAATTATTATTATTGAGAATTAATTAGGATTAATCTAGCTACATGTATATAGTTTTTCTTGTCTTCAAATATTCCGTTAGTCCATTAGAAGATTCCGTTTGGATACTAACATGAATTTTTTAAAGTATACATTAGTTATTATTATTGAATATTAGAAGTAAATTAAAAGTAAAAAGGGCAGACTAAATATATATGTATACGGTTTTTATTGCCGTCAAATATTTCATTAGTCCATTAGAATAGTCCTTACGTATATATAATGTTTCATTGCCTTCGAATAATTCATTAGTCCAATAGAATAAGCTGTTAAGATAATAATACGAATTTTGCTTGTATCTATTCATTGAACATTCTTATATATGTAAGTTTTCTTATGACTAACCTGTAGTGCATCTTCCTGCTAGCCCCGCAACTATTCCCGAAGCCCTTAGCCATGATGCTGTACAGTTTGTTCCTGTAATCATCTACAGACATCTGTTTGTCATCTCGTAAGGGCAGTAATACGTCTGATGGTAGGGTCACTTCGTCTTTCTCGCGATGGAATCTATTATAAAGGAAGTAAATTGAGCATATTTTATTTGGACAAATAAGAACATTTATATCAAACGAGAAACGAAGATATGTTGTTGTTGTGTGAGAATATCAAAATTTTAACTTACTTGGCTACATACTCATGATGGAGGGCACTATCAGCACTTAGCCTCTTAGCCGGATTGAACAGCAGTAATTGCCGCACAAGATCTGAGGCATCTCTTGGAGCGGTCGCTAGCTGATTGGTGAGTGAGGAACTGCTGCTATGTGCTGCAGCTTGTTCGCGAATCAGTGACGAGCCGTAACCACTACATACGGCTGCTATATCTACATTAAGTTAAGAATCTAGTAATACTTTATACTTTAAAACGCCATTAAAATTAACTCGATGGAATTTTAGCAAAAAAAATTGAATTATTTGCTTAAACTGATAATTTTTTTTGTTGTAGTTAGGACAAATAAACAAAAAAACATATTTAATACTGATAAATATTTTTGCTAGTATAAGTATTGTAACCTACCTTCAGATGAGGGTTTCGGTAGCGCGGCCATGATTCGTTCAATCTGGTTGACGGTGGAAGTTCCCGGGAACAATGGCTTGCCAGTCAACATCTCGCCCAAGATACAACCCAAAGACCACATGTCTATGCCTTTGGTGTAACTAGACCATGTTTGTGACAAAAAATTGGTTAAAAAATACAGTTAAGGACCATTATATATGAAATTATACAAAAAAAAAAAACTATCAATCGTACACTATTGATTTTTTTTATATTGTTAATGTATAGTATTCAATATTAATCCCTACTAATATTATAAATGCGAAAGTAACTCTGTCTATCTGTGTCTGTTACGCTTTCACGCCTAAGCTACTGAACTGATTGTAATGAAATTTGGTACAGAGATAAAGTTGACCTTGAGAAAGAACATAGGATAGTTTTTATCTCAGACTTTTGAAAGGTTTTCTTGGAAACGCGATATAACCAAACTCCACGCGGGCGAAGCTGCGGGCGGAAAGCTAGTTTTTAATAAATCATAGTTTATATAATGTAGAATATTCCATGACAATTACTCCATTGGATAAGCTTTATAGACATATAAATCCAAACTTATAAACTAAGAAATATCTAGCCATACATGTGGCTTTGAAGTGATAACCATTCTAAAAAAATATCAGTGACTACCGCCACACTTCAAACTGAGCTATCGCGTCATATTAAACTACCCTCAATACTTTATCTATCACTTACTTCTTACTAGCGATAAGTATCTCTGGCGCTCGATACCATCTTGTGGCTACGTAGTCAGTGAGACAAGGATCCGCCCCGTCTTCACCGCCAGAATACATCGAAGACACAGACCGAGCCAGACCAAAGTCTGCCAGCTTAACTCTGATAGATGAAATAGTATCGAATCATAGTCTATTCAAATATATTCGTAATTATAAATGAAATAAAGCTAATATTTTTCAGATCTACTACGCGTTTGTAAATATTTTTAACACAATACTCAAGAAGTTTCGGTTACTTTGCACCAATCGTGATACCGGCAAACGAGATATTACTATGAATACTCGCGAAATTCTTAGATAATATTAAATGTAATTTATATTCATTGATACGACCAAGATTCAAACCTGTTAGTTCTGGAGTATAACTTTTCAATTTCTTTTACCAATTAAACTTACTCGATAATGATTAAGCATAAGATACGATCTACTGGGATCTTTTACGAAAATAATAATCAATATATTCTAAGTTATAGACGAAATATTGTATAATATATAGAACTTAAATCACGAGTTAAGACATGCTTGTGTAATCGTAAAACAACACAAACACGATATCACAGAGGCTGTAGGTTTGAATCCTGATCGCGTCAATTATCAGTTCTTTATATTATTCTACTTTTACTTTTAACTGACCTCCTTCTTTATAATCTAATCAAAACATTGATATAAAAATATAAAGCTATTTGAAATATCTAAACAAGCAAAACTCCGAAATATCTGATTCCAATTATTAAGAAAAACCCTTGTCTTAAACTAAGACTTCTTCTTCGAAACTTCGGTTGATGATAGTTATTACAATTTACAACCTTTTTTGAAAAAAAAAGCTTACTAAACCATTACAAAAAATCAGCTTAATACCAAACCAAGCACCTTAAGGCCTCAGACTCGAATTTTGCGGGCAGCGGAGCGGCGGCGGCGGCGACACGGGCAACGCATACATGTTCTCCAAACTAGCGGGCAGCGGGCACCGCTGTATTCGAGGGTCGGTCCATTTGATTATACGCGTAAGATCCTGCCGCTCCGCTGCCCGCAAAATTCGAGGCCGAGGCCTAAGACAGGAGTTTTCCAAACCAAGCTCGAATCAAGCACAATATACTCACCTGCAAGCGCTATCTATGAGCACATTACTAGGCTTCTGGTCCCTATGTATCACGTTTCCAGAGTGTATATACTTAGTGGCCTTCAACATTTGATACATAATATATCTTTTGTGGACATCCTTCAGTATATTACCGCGTTTAATAACATTATGCAAATCAGTCTCCATGTATTCAAACCCGAGGTATATGTCGCGATTGTTCAGTGCCCTATGAGAACAGAAACCAATGAAGACTCAGTGCATTTTAGAAATCTGTACTTTTCTGTGCTGGGTATGGATTTTAAATTATTATTAGTGATGGTCGATAAAAATATTCCGTGATAAACTCGATGCTCATTGGTAGTCGGGATTTATGTTGGTATTTTATGAAATTAGGATAATTTACAAAAAAAATATAAGCACTCATACGTAATAAAAATTGCTATACTAAAAAAAGAAAACTACAAATAAATCGTTGAAAGACTGCGTGTCTTAAAAACAGTGATTTTAAGTAAAAACTAAAAAATAATAGGAATTTATTTGCATTGAATCAAGCTTTGAAATTGGCCCAAAATAGGTCAGGACGGAAAAAAACGTTTACAAAGTAAATAAAAAATAAATATATAATTATATCCGATTGTTACAATACAATATTAATATTAAATTAAAGAATCGCCTTTGTAATTACATAACCAGGGGATAAATAGATTTAGAAATGATTTTTTTATACGACAGTCATATCAAAAATGCCGAAAATTATTATTCATTTTTTTAACCTCAAATATATGTAAATTTAGATTAAACTAATTAGTTGCTAAGGAAATGCTTTAAATCTGTTACCTGTGTATACTATGAAGTTTCACGATATTCGGATGATTTCTAAATGACTGTAAAAATATAATCTCTCTAAAAGTTCTCTGAGCGTCAGTCTGGTTTCTAAATGCGTCGAAGATTTTTTTTATCGCCACAACATCTTTGGTCTTCTTGTCGACAGCCTTCCAAACGATCCCGTACGCTCCCTTGCCTAACCTCTTTTTTATATCAAACCTCTTTAGTATGTGTTCGTCGATTTCCGACATGTTTTTTTCCGGACTCTTCTTTGTAACTTTATTTTTTTCGTCACGTTTAACATTCCCATGCACTTGACTCATTTTCAGATTCCACAGTTCGAACCGTTGTTACGATTCGCCTCTAAAACCGTAATTTTAATGAAATACAAGCAACATGAAATATGTAAATTCATTATCATTAATATTTCAATAAAACATGACATGAATTTAAATTTCCATCGATACTATCGGCACACTAAGCAACCGAACAGTCAATATTTGAAATTGTCTGTATTGGAATAATTACACTGTAATACACCATGATTATTCATATTACGTTGATTTTTGTTGGACTTACATTCGTTATAAATAAAATTGGTCCTATATTACATGTTATAAACACAACAAACAAATATATTACAAAATTCAATATGAGCACGTTTTGTTTTAGCTGACGAAATTCATTTGTTTACGGCGCCAAACAAACTTAATGTTGCTATGGCAACCGTGTCAAGTTTTTTAATGATGGCCATAGAATTTTTTATTAAATCGATAATGTTATATCGATTTTGTTTTTTTATTTGGGTTAGAATGAAATTAAAATGCATCTCAGATATGATCAAATTTATTGAAATAACAATATATTAGTAATTTTATTTAAATTTAGTTGCATTACATAGCAACCTAACACTTAAACATATATTAATCAATAAATTCCTTAAAAAGGGAATTGATATTGACGATCTGTGCGCTTAACATGAATACTTAAGTTATAATGTAATTGTCAAATTAAGTACTAAAAGAAAAGAATATAAATAATAAAAATAAACTTTTAATGCGGTTTATCACAGCTTATTTAACGTATTGGTATTTTAAAACATAGATTCAAAATAAAGTCACATAATTCAAAATATTACAATACATACAAACTTTACTTATATAATATTATTATTATTCACTTCAATAAAACTAATAAAAAATAAGAACAACATCACAGCGCTATAATATTTGGATATTAAGATTCAAGTATATTAAACTTTCTGAATACATAATAGACATAGTAACATCATATTTCAAAAGCGAACTAGCGGGAACATTGAGAAACCTTCTAAGCTGCGAAGGCACTTGAACATTAATAATATATGTTTAAGGTAAAGGTGGATGAATCTTCTTCCTCTCGTCTTCTTCCAAACGCCCCTGATCCAAGGATGAAGGGGTTGGCAGACCGCAGGGCAGTTCCAGCATGTCTGATTCATGAGTCATTATGTGTTCGGCTTCCACTAAAACGATACAATTTTCTAATATTCCAAATTCAAATTTACTAAAATGGAATTCATTTGATATTGAAATCGCGCGATTATTCTTTTTTTTTTAATAGGTGTATTGAAAGACCAATGTCAAGTGTTGTCATGAAAAATTCTAAGTATAGTTAAATTAAAACACTTACTTCTTATACGATGTATTTTATTCCCATATGAAAGATCCCAATAGTAGAGATTTACAAATGTTAGAGGCAGTAACGGAAACAGGAAATAGACACGTTTGGTTCTGCGGAAACTGAAATGAAACACATACAAATTTATTGCTTTCTGTAATATTCATTGTCGTAATAAAAATAAACCCTCGTAGGTAATATTTTCACCTACCTAATATAATTTGGTTTCAAAATAATGCTAGTGAAATGTATATATTTAAGTAAAAATATATCTCACCCAGTAAATAAGCCCGTACCAGCAGCGAAGTAAAACATTGTATACCAAATAAAAAGATCTCTGTTCTTAGCAATTTCCATGGCCCTTTGCCTTTGAGCCATCTGATTCCTCATTTGTATTTGCCGTTCCATCTGAAAAGATATATCATCTGTATTAAATATTTTATTTATAATGAATCAATTATAACATAAAACATTTATATCAAGAATATTTTTTTTATATACATATTGTAAAGGCATTCACATCCTCAAAAGTATTTATAAAAGTTAATGACAGTCTATAAGTATAAAAAAAATAAGTTTTTATATTCAAAATTATAATGATAACTTTTAATGTGTTAACCAATAGGGTAAATTAAACAAAAAAATAATAAAATTTCCTTAAAAATGCTGGTATACTTCTTTATGTCTTTTAAATGGATGTATTTATACTCCTGTCCTTTTATTCATATTTCATTCATTCAAATTGTGATCATAATAAATATGGGTTGCATCATTGACATTTGTATACATATTTGTGTGTGTGTGTGTGTGTGTGTCTATGTCATCAAATGAAGTAGCTGATGGCTTTAAAAAATATGGGCTCTGATCATTTCTAATAATATTTAAAATTGTTGATAAACACACATTAGATTTAAATAAAAAATTGCTTCAAAGGCACCTTTGTATCAGTAGTTATACAAGTAGAATCATAATCTTAAAAGTTACTTGGTATGATAAAAAAGCTAACTATTTTTAGTTATTACTTACAGTGATCTCATTTAAACTTTGTAGAAATTTTTCGTTTTTTCTATACTGGTCTTCCAGATTAATGGAGAGGTAACTACCCATTTTCTTTTAATATCTTCAGAATATAAGTTAATAAATAAAACTTATTTCAGAATAATTAATCACCAAGATGTAATTAAATAGCAATAAATTCAATGATTTAAGTACAGACAAGGTTTCCTTTTATTTATTATTTAATATAACACTTTTTGCTATTAAAAAAATATATATGTTCTTTGTTATTTTTAAGAAACTTTTTGTAACACAGCCTTCTCAGACCTAATATTGACGTACTAGGTATATTGACATTCGACTTACGATCATGTAAGAGTTGCTCTATGAAAATTAAGTATAACATAATAAGATTTTTTTATAACAGGAGAATACAAATTGATTAATAATTAAAACATATTACGATGCTACTATTTATTTATGAGTACTTGTAGTAATAACAAGTGATAGTGAAATAAAATCGATTATTAATGTCCATCGAGTTAGCAAACAATCAACAATATTACAGTTGCACGAATAGCAATCCCTGTCTAAAACGTCAAAATTCCCGCCCGTTTTGTTTTACAAATCAAAGATTTACTAACATATTGGAATTTTTAAATAATTAATAGTAACTGGCCTTTAAACAAAATGGGTATTTTAGGATTATCGAAGTTGATTGCAGATATTGCTCCAATGGCTGTAAAAGAAACAGAGATAAAAAATTATTTCGGTTTGTGTACAGCATTGTGTAGTAATGTTTTAATATCGTTTTAATTCAAAATATTAATGATAATTGTATCAAACAGGTAGGAAAGTCGCAATCGACGCTTCTATGAGCTTGTATCAATTCTTAATTGCTGTAAGAAGTCAAGGTATGTTTTTAAACAAATCTCTTAAATTTATGATACAAATAGTAAACATAATATAATAATATAATAAGTATAATCCTCGTTCATACTACTAATACATAAAAAAGTGCGTGTTTAAATCTATGATGTACTAATTTAAATTATTCATTATATAGATCTATATAAGCATATTTTTTTAATAATAATTTCTCTATAACCAGGTGCTCAGCTAACATCAGTTGATGGTGAAACAACATCACACCTAATGGGTACCTTCTACAGAACAATTCGTCTGATAGAAGATGGCATTAAGCCAGTATATGTGTTTGACGGTAAACCTCCTGACATGAAGTCACATCAGTTGAATAAGAGGGCCGAAAGACGAGAGGAAGCTGAGAAAGAACTGCAAAAAGCTACCGAGGCTGGTAAATAACTATATTAATATTATTTGTAAACAAACATATTATACTATCATCGTTTTTAGTTTAGCCGAAGCAAACAAAAAGCCAAACAAAATTAGCCAAACTTTAGCCCAAAACTAGAACTTCACCTAAAATTTGAAAATTAAAAATATAGTATTAATTAGTGTATAAGAATGTTCTATAACTATATGTTACTGAATTTGTCATAACACAATTAACAAATAAATAATCATACTTTATGAAATACAAAAATCAAGCATTTTTATATTTCAAGATCATAGAGCACACATATTTAATCAAGTATTTATGATGTGCCTATAATGTCTTAGACCTTACCAAAAGGCAGCCCTACTGCCTTTTGGTAATAAATACTTATTCACTGCTGAATGTGGCTGCTACTGCTGAAACTGGCTTTTAAAGGAAAAATCTGTATAGAAATAAGTTGATCTTATTAAGAGCTATTATACCACAAACGGACAAACATACTAGATACTTATAACAGTTACCTTTTTGCATCAGAAAATAAAAATTAGACCCTTAAATCTCGTCTGCCCATGATCACAATTTCTGTAAAAGAAACCAAAACAATGGGAGTATGTAATTTAAGATAATAGAAAAGTTGTAGTAATATGCAAAAAAAAATCTTTATATTATTTAATGGAGTGAAAATTCTCACACAAATAAGTGTTTCAAAACATTATGCAATTAAATTGACATAAATGTGTGTTAAAATAAATGTTTAAATCGTCAGTATTAGTATATAGAAACTATTTAGGTAACACATAATATTCTTTAGGTAAAAATACATTATCTAATGCTGGATTAAGCTAGTGTGGGGACTAACGCAATCATTTTTTCCAAGCATTAATTTATCTTTATGTTTTTAGAAACCACTTTACATAGAATTTATGTGCATAGATCCACAATTTTGTGATCTAGGCTTTAGCAAACTGCTTTTACCTTATAGTAATTCTATCATTATACAATCTAGGTAACATATATATAATATATATGTATTACATTCCAGGTGACACTGCATCTATGGACAAGTTCAACCGTCGGTTAGTGAAAGTAACTCAACAGCATGGGTCTGAAGCTCGTCAGTTGTTGAAACTGATGGGTATACCTGTGGTGGAGGCTCCTTGTGAGGCTGAAGCACAGTGTGCTGAATTAGTAAGATATATTGTAGTATTACATTAAACTATGTTAAATTTGTCATGTATATATATATATATATATATATATATATATATATATATATATATATATATATATATATATTGTTCTAAGTAGCGACACTGAATGATAGCAACTAATAATATAAAGTGATCTTCCTACATTACACTTGACATCATATTATTATTTAACAATATGGAGGAAGTATAATTAGTAATGCATAACAAATATGTATACAACCCAGGTGTAGGTTTAAGGGACCCCTGTCTAATGGGAGTTAAACGCTTACCTCATGCGCAAACAAATATCCTCTGGGATTTTGTATTGTTTTTGATACGTATCGATCAGCGAAGCCGCTTTAAGGATAGAGTAAGGCTTGATGTTTGATTTTATAGCCAGTGCCTTCTCTCACAAAACCTGCTGGTCGTTCGTTTGCGGTTATTTCCCTTTGCGCTCTGGCTACCGAAAGACTAACCGCTTCACGTATTATTTCCAGAACCCTATCATTGCATAAATTTTTATTACATATGAAATATGTATTTTATCTGAATAATAATATAGTGTTGGAACAAATTTATTTTCAACCAACCTCAAAAAAGAAGGTTATCACTTAATCTATACATTTTATTCCAGGTCAAAGGTGGCAAGGTGTATGCCGTGGCCACTGAGGATATGGATGCCTTGACCTTCGGAGCCAATGTACTGTTGAGGCACCTCACCTTCTCTGAGGCCAGGAAGATGCCTGTACAAGAGTTCCACCTGGACCAAGTGCTGAGAGGATTGGAATTGGAACAGACGGAGGTTGGATCAGTTTGTTATATTTAAATACTAGCTGCGCCCCGCGGTGTTACGCGCGGATTTCCGGGATGTAAAGTATCCTATGTGTTATTCCTGGACGTCAGCTTGCTGTATACAAAATTTTATCAAAATCTTTTCAGCCGTTTGAGCGAGAAGAAGTAACAAACATACACACACACTCACAAACTTTCGCAATTATAATATTAGTAGGATTATTTATTATAAGTCGTGGTGGCCCAGTGGTTAAAGGCCCGCCTCTCATGCATGAGGGTATGGGTTCGAAACCTTAACACCAATGTGATTTTGCCGAGTCAGATCTAATTTCTAAGAGTATTTAGACACCACTGATTGACATCATGAGGAAACCTGGACTTATAATTTCAAATTATTAGTTTGAAATCACCAACCCATCTTGAGCAAGCATGGTGATTAATGCTCAAATCTTCTCTATGTGAAAAGAGTCTTTAGCTCATCTGTGGGCTCTGATAGGCTGATGATGATTATATATTAACAGAATTTTAGCATTTATATTACTTTTGATGAACAAAATACAATGAAAAATAACTTGAGATATATCATGAGATTTGTATTCATGTTTATATTTGCTGTCTTTTACTAAACGCCTGGAGCTACTTTAAATGTATTTCTTAGTTGAGATTTATGTGATTTTAGGAATTAATAGTACAAAAATTATAATCCTAGTACATATCTATAATGTAATTCCTTGTCATATTATTCAATTAAACTTGTTCCTAACGTTAAAAGTATATGTAACCTAAGATTTGACCGAAAATATCACGACGTGTAGAAAATAATTGTTAGAATATATATTAATAAATTTAATATGATAATTTCAGTTCATTGACCTCTGCATTCTGTTGGGTTGTGATTACTGCGGCTCTATCAAAGGGATCGGACCGAAACGGGCCATTGAACTCATCAAGCAACACCGCAGTATAGAACAGGTTCATTTGATTATTATGATAATATCTTTAATACAACTTTTGTGCAGTTACACTATATACAACTCGTTTCCCGTTTCTCATTCAATAGTCTAACTTAAAACAATGTGAAGATTTATTAATGAAAAACTGTTAACGCTACATTTGCTAGTTAGACAATAGCAACTTAATAAGCATCCAAATGATTCTTCATACATTGATTGATATTTTACTTTAGACTCTTCTATAGTTTATGCAAGAAAAAATATATAAAGTTTATTTAAAATTAAACAATGTGATAATAAAATGCGACATAATAATTTTATGCCAATAATTATCCACACTTGAATTGAAATTCATATATATTATGAGTTAATATGTAAATTAGGACAAACTGGTCTTTTATATTTCTCACAATTACTATGATAAACAATATATATACACATATATATTGTTTAAAACATATCAGTAACATATTAATATTAACAATGAAAACCTTAAATTGTACTAAATAATTTTCTTTTAATAAAGGAGGAATGAACATGTAAATTAATTTTCTTTTATCATATAATCATTATTTTTTATTATATAATAAATAGTTTCTTTTTTCTTCAAGGTTCTTCATAATATCGACACAAAGAAGTACACACCGCCAGAGAATTGGGAATATGAGAACGCTCGGAGACTGTTTCAGCAACCAGAAGTTACCGAGGCCAAGGATGTTGAGGTATTATATGTCAGAGGTTCCCAAACTTGTTGTATCCACCTACTATGCCTACTTTGAGAATTAATTATATTTTCACCGACTGAAAAACCAACAATTAATACTAGCTAAATAACATTACAAATCACCATAGACCTCTTCACAACCTTAAGTGTACCTAATCGTACCTACATTTTTTCTGTCTCGTACTTCCTTAAGGCGTTTCGCCCACTTTGGGAAATACTGTTACATGTGTATATTACTCCTTCCTTTAATAACATTATACTGTGTGTCTGCTATTTAAACACAAGGTAAAATAGAAACTATTTATGTTTTATATAGAAATTACAAATAAAAAGAGTAAAATTTCGATAATGTAAATTTGTTCTAAGGATGTTGTGTCTATGCTGTGAGATTTCACAAAATACTATAATACGAGAGATACAAAGATACTTCAAATTATATAGTTTGACATGAATTTATTGTTACAAGTAATTCCTTAATTTTGTATCGCGAATTTCAACATTGATGAGACAATTAAACGACATCTTATTATTTACTAAACGTTAATAGTATGTTATTATCAAATACACAATATATATAGTTATCAAGATTGATGCTCTCAAACAGCAAATATATATATATAGAATCTAAAAATATCTCATATTAGGGTTTATATAGCACTAGCTTTCCGCCTTCAGCTTCGCCCGCGTGGAGTTCGGTTATATCGCGTCTCCAAGAGAACCTTTCAAAAGTCTGGGATAAAAACTATCCTATGTTCGTTCTCAAGTACAACTTTATCTCTGCACCAAATTTCATTAAAATCAGTTCAGTGGTTTAGGCGTGAAAGCGTAACAGACCGGCAGACAGAGTAACTTTCGTATTTATAATATTAGTAGGGATAACATACTAATAGTATTTAATATATATGAATAGTTGAAATGGTCGGACCCAGATGAGGAAGGTCTGGTGAAGTTCCTCTGTGGAGACAAACAGTTCAACGAAGAGCGAGTGAGGAACGGAGCCAAGAAACTGATGAAGGCTCGCACGGGCACCACGCAGGGACGACTAGATGGATTCTTTAAGGTACACTTGTATTGTATAAGGTTATAAGGTACAGGCTAGCTACGGTCAAGTTACTACGGCTCGAACATGGGCTGGCTCGACTATGGAAGTACCCCCCTCTCACAGAAGATCAGCGTGAAGTAGCCTTTAATGGCTGTTTAGTCCGATGAGTGAAAGATATGGTTGTACTTTTCCTGTTACCACCCTTTCCGCCTATTTCCTTATTCCCATACCTCTCGTTTCCTCAACAACCAAGGTTGGCAACGCATCCACAACAGAGATGTTGTATTGTTACTATTATAACATCACAAGTGACCAGTTTTTGTTGCACTTAGTGTACATGCGCAAACTTATCCCCACTATGTCAAAACCTTGCCAAGATACGTGACAATATAATATCACAAAATAAAGCTAATATTTGACGTCTTTATATTCTATTATATAAATATGATTTTCTTTTTTATATACTGAGTAAATATTAAAGTTACTTAATGATATATTTAATATAACTAGCTTTTGCCGCGACTGCGTCCGCGTGGAATAGTGACTTCCGGCAGATTTTTGGTTCTTCCCACATAGTTCCCGTTCTTGCGGGGTTTTCGAAATGGTCGAGTTCCCGTAGAATTTTCAGGATAAAACCTATTTTTTTTAATTCACAATGAAGTACTCTTAACCAACAACATAATATTTATTTGTTTATTTGAATAAAGATTAATATTATGTTGATACAACTTAAACAAATTATTTCGACCAAATTAGGTACCATAAAAACGGTTTTTGTGAGTTAATCTTAAAAGATAGACATATACTGTCGCGGATTGTTTTTTATATCATTAAAAGAGCTATTATTCTTTAATACATATTTTTTGTGTATCTTGAACCGTTTTCACGGCGCACGCAACGGAAGGTTTCAAAGATGAAATAATTTCTCCCGTTTTTAAACATTTACCACTATATCTTTGCTCCTATTGGTCGTAGCGTGATGATATATAGCCCACAGCCTTCCTCGATAACTGGACTATCCAACACAAAAAGAATTATTCAATTCGAACCAGTAGTTTCGGAGATTAGCGCTTTCAAACAAACAAACAAACAAACAAACTCTTCAGCTTTATAATATTAGTATAGATTTATAACAAAATTGTTTATAACCTTCATATCAAAAAATTCTTAATAAAAATATACAAAATGTATTGGTTGAAAAAGCAAATTAAATAAGTTGTCCAAAAGATGTAGTTTGAAAAATGTTTACTAATAAATTTCTTAATATTACAGGTGTTATCAACAACACCAAATCCAAAAAGGAAAGCAGAAGAAGATAAAAAGAGCGCCAACAAAAAAGCAAAAACACCTGGAAGAGGACGGAAACCGAAATAAGATATTAACCGACTTGATAATAAATAGTGTTATGTTTAAGATCCATTAAAACTTACTAATATGTTTTTCACAGTTAATACATTATAAATTAAGTATAAGTTGTCAATGTAATTGAATCAAAACGAATTTTGTAATCAATAAAAAAATTATACAAACTAAAAAATTCCAAAAATCCTGATATAGTTTTCTTGATTGTTTATTAAGAAATAACTGTTATTAGACACAATTCATAATCAATAGCTATTAAGGTACCTTATTGAAGCCTTAATAAATGACTGAATGTACTTATTACTTTACTTTTTTTTCAAATACATAATGTGTACATAAAGTGTTATGTAAGAAGAAATCTGTTCATAAAATTCAGGCAGTCATTCACTTAGAAAGATATTTATTGCTTAGCAAAAGTCGTACTTCAACATTACCAGACTGAAATTTGTATGTGTTAAAATTTCCAACAAATATATATAATATACAAAAAAAAATCTAACCTATACTTTAGTTACATCTGATATTTTGAAAGAGATTATTTAAAACAGTACAACTTCTTTATAAATTATTTATTTCCAATTTCCATAGAATAATGAAGAATTATATACAAATATAGAGAAAGCCCTTCAAAGAATCTCTCCTCGGGGGAGAGAGAAAAAGAGAGCTTTTTCACTCTCTCTCTCTCTCATATCATTCCTTAACCAATATACATCCGATTTGTTTTCGTTACTTTATGACATCATGTAGAAATGTGTTAAATAAAATTAAAGTTATTGTTTAAATATTTATTGATACAACTTCAAATACATTCAATACTCTAAACCTTTACATATAATAAATAAAATATTAAGATTCAATTTGAAATATCTAATTAAACGAGTATTTCTCTTTTTGATATAATTTTATAACAAAATAATAATAAAAAAAACAATACATGAAAGTGCAATTTCACAATAATTTTTTGTCAATTTCAGGTTCCATTCTAACACACAAATAGAAAATACCTCGCATTTTGTGTGGTAATATAAAATTTTATTCAATAATAGGAATATTTGTGACAAACTACATATTTCTTGTTAATTTTAATAGTGCTTGACTGTTAATACATCTGTTGCTAAATGTTCAAGTCACAGGTGATGAATACTCTCTCAGTATTATATTGTGTTCTTGTTATTTCTCTTTCATTTAATAATTATTGTAAACATAATTTTTGAATAAGCCAAGAGTATAATAATCTAATATATATAGAGTTCAATTTAAAGTATGAAGAATGCTCATGCTAGTAATAATCTTAATATTCTTCTGTCAAAATATATTATTGACATAAAAAATCTTCTCTTGAGTTTATAATTACAAATAATAAGCAATACAATCGCCATTCATGCTATTTTAAATACATAAAAAAGTGCGTGATTAAATCTATGATTTACTAGTTTAAATTATTCATTATATAGATCTATATAATCATAATTTCTTAATTATAATTCTTCTTTATTTCTCTATATCTAGGTGCTCAGTTAACATCAGTTGATGGTGAAACAACATCACACCTAATGGGTACATTCTACAGAACAATTCGTCTGATAGAAGATGGTATTAAGCCAGTATATGTGTTTGACGGTAAACCTCCTGACATGAAGTCACATCAATTGAACAAACGGGCCGAGAGGCGAGAGGAAGCTGAGAAAGAACTTCAGAAAGCTACCGAGGCTGGTAAATAACTATATTCATATTGTTTGTTTACAAGCATATTTAATATCATCATTTTTAGTTACTCAAACTTTTGCCCAAAACTAGAACTACAAGTTTAAAAGTTAGTAATATAGTATTAATAATAATCAGTATTTATTAAGAGTATGTACGCTATGTGTATAGAATGTTCTATAACTATGTGTTAGTGCTTATCATAACACAATTATCATATAAATAATCAAACTTTATAAAATAAACAAAGTCAAGCATTTTTGTTGTTTCAAAATCATGGCGGCACATGTGATTAATCAAGTAATAAAAGTCTAAAAGTGTCTTACATCTGCCTCACTGCCTTTTGGTAATAAATACTCATTCACTGCTGAATAAAACATAACTAAGAACCACTTTAAGTAAACTGACTTTTAAAGGAAAAATCTGCATTAAAATTAGTCTATTTTTATGTCACACACACACACAAACATACCGGATTCTTATAGCAACTCTCCTTTTGCATCAGAAAATAAAAATTAAACCCTTAAATCTCATCTGCCTGTGACCACTAAAAAAAAACAAAATCGATGGCAGTATGTAATTTAAGATAATAAAAATTACCCACATAAATGTATATTGAATTGCATAATAATTGTTTCACTACATAATGCAATTCAACTTACATAAATGTGGGTAAATAAATGTTTAAATCGCCAGTTATAGTATATAGAAACTATTTAGGTAACATATAATTTTCTTTTTCTTTTGTGGAGACCAATGCAATTTATGCTTTAACCAACCACTTTATATAGAATTTATGTACATAGTTCCACAATTTTTTGCTTGTGGCTTTAGCAAACTGCTTTTACCTTATAGTAATTCTATCATTATACAATCTAGGTAACATATATATAATATATATGTATTACATTCCAGGTGACACTGCATCTATGGACAAGTTCAACCGTCGGTTAGTGAAAGTAACTCAACAGCATGGGTCTGAAGCTCGTCAGTTGTTGAAACTGATGGGTATACCTGTGGTGGAGGCTCCTTGTGAGGCTGAAGCACAGTGTGCTGAATTAGTAAGATATATTGTAGTATTACATAAAACTATGTTAAATTTGTCAAATATATATTGTGCTAAGTAGCAACACTGAATGACAGAGACTAATATAATAATCTACCTACATTACACTTGACATCATATTATTGTTTTAACAATACCAAGCAAGGATAACTAATGCATAACGGGAGCTTCAACAGTGACTGGGACTTGTGACCCAGGTGTAGGTTTAAGGGACCCTATCTAACGCGCGATAAACGCTCCCCTCATGCACAAACAAATATCCTCGGGGATTTTATATGGTTTTTCATAAGTATCGATCATTATAGTCCAATCCGAAGCTGCTTTATGGATTGAGTAAGGCTTGATGTTTGATTTTATAGCCATAGTGCCTTCTCTCATAAAACTCGTTCGTTTGCGGTTATTTCCCTTTGCGCTCTGGCTACCGAAAGACTAACCGCTTCACGTATTATTTCCAGAACCCTATCATTGCATAAATTTTTATTACATATGAAATATGTATTTTATCTGAATAATAGTATAGTGCTCGCACAAATTTATTTTCAACCGACATCAAAAAAGAAGGTTATCACTTAATCTATACATTTTATTCCAGGTCAAAGGTGGCAAGGTGTATGCCGTGGCCACTGAGGATATGGATGCCTTGACCTTCGGAGCCAATGTACTGTTGAGGCACCTCACCTTCTCTGAGGCCAGGAAGATGCCCGTACAAGAGTTCCACCTGGACCAAGTGCTGAGGGGATTGGAATTGGAACAGACGGAGGTTGGATCAGTTTGTTATATATAAATACTAGCTGTGCCTCGCGTTGTTACCCGCGGATTTCCGGGATGTAAAGTATCCTATGTGTTATTCCTGGACGTTAGCTTCCTGTATACAAAATTTTGTCAAAATCTTTTCAGCCGTTTGAGCGTGAAGAAGGAACAAACATACACACACTCACAAACTTTCGCAATTATAATATTAATAGGATTATTTATTATAAGTCGTGGTGGCCCAGTGGTTAAAGGTATGCCTCTCTACATGATGGCGTGGGTTTGAACCCTGGCAAGTACCAATGTGATTCATCACATTCTGTCTAAGAGTATGTAGAAACCACTGACAGGCGGTGAAGGAAAACATCGTGAGGAAACCTGCACTTATAATTTGATTATAAGTGGGCTCCAATAGGCTGATGATGATTATATTTATATTATCAGAATTTTAGCAATAAAATAATTTTTCATGAAAAAAAAACCAATAAAAAATATCTTGAGATATGTCATGAGGTTTGTATTCATGTTTATCTTTGCTGTCTTTTAGTAAACGCCTGGAGTTACTTTAAATGTATTTCTTAGCTGAGATTTATATGATTTCGGGAATTAATAACAAAATGTATAAACATAGTCTCTATATTGTAACTCAGCCATTTAATTATTGGATCTAGATCCTAACACAAGATATAAATATCCTAAGATTTAACTAACGATATCACTACGCGTTGAAAATAATTTTTACTATATATATCAGTAATTTTAATATGTTAATTTCAGTTCATTGACCTCTGCATTCTGTTGGGTTGTGATTATTGTGGCTCTATCAAAGGGATCGGACCGAAACGGGCCATTGAACTCATCAAGCAACACCGCAGTATAGAACAGGTTCATTTGATTATTATAATAATATTTAAATTAAGCTAATATTTTTCGGGATATACTACGCAAATTTATTTTTGATAAAACCTACATAACTACATTCTTGATAAAAATTGGTGTTCACGTGAGGGATCGTTCAAGTATTACGTAACGCAATTTAGGGGGAGGGGGGGTCTCGTAAAACGTTACGATGCGTTACAGGGGCGGGAGGGGGTATCTCTTACAAAACGTTACGTAGCATTGTTTCTTAAAAAAAATATTAATAAAAACCCCCAAACTGGCAACTCTTTTATATTTTTATTTGCTATTCCAAGTTTGCAAACCTCTTAATTGATATTTTACTGGGAATACCTAGATTGCATTGTCTTTTAATGTTGCTTCCGTGGTCAGTATTCGTTAGTGTTTATCCGTGAGTTCATATTGTTTATAGTGTAATTTCTTCAGAAGAGGGAGATTTGTGTCAATGATCTTTTTTCATTTAATAGATTAAAACTATACCAAACTATTACATATTGTTTTACGACTTTGGATGAAATTGATCACTTAAGTGTTACGTAACGTTTTAATAGGGGGGGGGGGGCTACATAAAAACGTTACTGTGCGTTACGAAGGGGGAAGGGGGGGTCAAAAATCTTCGAAAATTGCGTTGCGTAATACTTGAACGCTCCCTGATCACGGTTGCTGAAAAGTAGCCGAAACGTCGGGAGTTTTTATCAAAAATAAAGTCGCGTAGTATATCCGAAAAATATTAGCATCATTCAAAAGAAAAAAACTCGCGTAAATCTTTGATTTCATTATATTGTAATAACAGTACAATACAACTTACATTTATATATGTTTTTAATAAAATAATTTGTTTTTTGTTCAAGGTTCTTCATAATATCGACACAAAGAAGTACACACCGCCAGAGAATTGGGAATATGAGAACGCTCGGAGACTGTTTCAGAGACCAGAAGTTACCGAGGCCAAGGATGTTGAGGTATTATATGTCAGAGGTTCCCAAACTTATCTTGTCTCTGCCTAGTTTGAGAATTAATTATATTATCACCTCCTGAAAAACCAATGATTAATCCTAGCTAAATGACATAAAAAAATTATCCCAGACCTCTACACAATACCTACATATTTTTGTTGTCGCTTAAAGTCAACCCCCCCTCCCCCCTCCTTAAGACCCACTTTGGGAAAGACTGTTATATGTGTATGAGACTCCTACCTGTAAAACTAGTTATACTTTGCATCTTCAATATAAATTTAATGTTTTGTATTGTATAGAAGTTACAAATAAAAGGAGTAAAATTTCGATAATGTTAATTCGTTCTCAGGTAAGTTTGTTAAAAATAATGTCTTTAAATTTGTATAGTGAATTTCAACATTGATGAGACAATTAAACGACATCTTATTATTTACTAGTCGTTAAAAGTATGTTATTATTAAAAACATAGTAACCAAGATTGATGCTCTCAAAAGCAAATAAATAAATATGTATATCGAATCTAAAAATATCTCATATTAGGGTTTATAAAGCACTAGCTTTCAGCCTTCAGCTTCGCCCGCGTGGAGTTCGGTTATATCGCGTTTCCAAGAGAACCTTTCAAAGGTCTGGGATAAACTCTGTCTCTGTACCAAATTTCATTAAAATCAGTTCAGTGGTTTAGGCGTGAAAGCGTAACAGACAGACACACAGACAGACTGAGTTACTTTCACATTTATAATATTAGTAGGGATATGTAACATACTAATAGTATTTAATATATATGAACAGTTGAAATGGTCGGACCCAGATGAGGAAGGTCTGGTGAAGTTCCTCTGTGGAGACAAACAGTTCAACGAGGAGCGAGTGAGGAACGGAGCCAAGAAACTGATGAAGGCTCGCACGGGCACCACGCAGGGACGACTAGATGGATTCTTTAAGGTACACTTGTATTGTATGAGGTTATAAGGTACAGGCTAGCAACTGTCAAGTTACTACGGCTCGAACATGGGCTGGCTCGACCAAGAAACTGATGAAGGCTCGCACGGGCACCACGCAGGGACGACTAGATGGATTCTTTAAGGTACACTTGTATTGTATAAGGTTATAAGGTACAGGATAGCTACGGTCAAGTTACTACGGCTCGAACATGGGCTGGCTCGACTATGGAAGTACCACCCTCTCACAGAAGATCGGAGTGAAGTAGCCTTTAATGTCTGTTTAGTCCGATGAGTGAGAGAGACGGTTGTTTTTTTCCTGTTCCCACCCTTTCCTACTATTTCCTTATTCCCATACCTCCCGTTTGCTCAACAACCAAGGTTGGTAAAGCATCTACAATATACATATATGTTGTATTGTTACTGTTATAACATAACAAGTGACCAGTTTTTGTAGCACTTAGTGTACATGCGCAAACTTATCCCCACTATGTCAAAACCTTGCCAAGATACTTGATAATATAATAACACAAAATAAAGCTAATATTTAACGTCTTTAGATGCTATTATATAAATATGATTTTCGTTAATATACTGAGTAAATATTATAGTCACTTAATGATATATTTAATATCATTTATAACAAAATGATTTATAACCTTCATATCAAAAAATTCTTAATAAAAAAATACAAAATAAATTGGTTGAAAAAGCAAATTAAATAAGTTGTCCAAAAGATGTACAGTTTGAAAAATGATTACTAATAAATAAATTGAACATTCCAGGTGTTATCAACAACACCAAATCCAAAAAGGAAAGCAGAAGAAGATAAAAAGAGCGCCAACAAAAAAGCAAAAACACCCGGAAGGGGCCGGAAACCGAAATAAGATATTAACCGACTTGATAATAAATAGTGTTATGTTTAAGATTCATTAAAACTTATTAATATGTTTGTTACAGTCAATACATTATAAATTAAGTATAAGTTGTCAATGTAATTGAATCAAAACGAATTTTGTAATCAATGAAAAATTAATACAACCTGAAAAATTACCAAAATCGTGATATAGTTTTCTTGTTTGTTTGTTAGGAAATAGCTGTTATTAGAAAAAATCATAATCAATAGCTATTAAGGTAGCTTATTCCAGCCTTAATAAATGACTGAATATACTTAATATTTCCTTATTTTTAAATGAATATATGTGTGTGTATTAAATAACTTTATATTTATTTAAGTAGCAACCTGTTCATAAAATCCAGGGGCCAATGACCCAAAACTCATTCACTTAGAAATATTTTCATTTCCTGGCAAAAATGGTGCTTCAACATTATTCAGATATATCAGATCAAAATTTGTATAATTTTATATAAAAGAATTCACCAATTATCTATACTAATATTATAAAGCCGAAGAGTTTGTTTGTTTGTTTGAAAGCGCTATTCTCCGAAACTACTGGTTCGAATTGAATAATTCTTTTTGTATTGGACAGTCCAGTTATCGAGGAAGGCTGTGGGCTATATAACATCACGCTACGACCAATAGGAGCAAAGATGTAGTGGTAAATGTGTAAAAAACGGGAGAAATTATTTCATCTTTGAAGCCTTCCGTTGCGTGCGCCGTGAAAACGGTTCAAGATACACAAAAAATATGTATTAAAGAATAATAACTCTTTTAATGATCTAAAAAACAGTCCGCGACAGAGTACTTCATTGTGACAGAGTACTTCATTGTGAATTAAAAAAATACATAGGTTTTATCCTGAACATTCTACGGGAACTCGACCATTCCGAAAACCTCGCAAGAACGGGAACTATGTGGGAAGAACCAAAAATCTGACGGAAGTCACTATTCCACGCGGACGTAGTCGCGGCAAAAGCTAGTATTTGATATACATAAATAATTCCTGACTTATTATTACTTTAGTTACAAAATCACACTGACTTTTTTAAAGAGAATAAAAGAAAAACGGCAGAACATATGTAAATAATCCAATTGCCACAGAGTAATGAATAATTATGTTCATGTATGCATTAAAATATTATCTTTCTCTCTCTCTCCTCATATCATTCCTTAACCAATATACATCCGATTTATTTTTGTTACTTATTGAAATCATGTAGAAATATGTTAAATAAAATTAAAGTTATTGTTTAAATATTTATTGATACTTGAGATACAACATCAAAATACATTCACAATACTCTAAACCTTTCCATATAATAAATAAAATATAAAGATTCAATTTGAAATATCTAATTAAACGAGTATTTCTCTTTTTGATATAATTTTATAACAAAATAATTTAAAAAATCAATAGAATTATGAAAGTAACATTTCATAATTTTTTTTTTTGTCAATTTCAAGACCAATTCTAACATAAATAGAAAATACATCATTTTGTGTGGTATTTTAAAATTAGAATATAATAAACTTAAAAAAGGTATATTTTTGAAAAGTTACGTATTTTTTGTTAAATTTCGCCATAATAGTCCTTGACTGTCATTTCAATTCTTGCTCAGTGATGAATACTTTCCAGTGCTAGTGTATTTCTGTTATGTCTCTTCCATTTTATAATTTCTGTAAACATAATATAATCTTTGAATAAACCATGGATAAAATAATCAAATAATATATAGTTCAATTAAAAAATATGAAGAAAGCTTATAATAACAATCTTATTGTTCTATTAAAACATTTTATTGGTATAACAGTTAAATATATGCAACTGAATCCAGAAGTCATTGACCTTTCATCCCAATCATATATTCATCTAATCCAGCCTTTCCCAAAGTTGATGATAAAGCCATCTAGTGGTCGTTGCATACTTAAAAGGCGGTAAGAGACAGAATAAAATGGGGACATTGTGTAAAGGTCTGGCGTGATTCGTAATTTCATTTATCTAGGATAGGCGCATGACGAAGTTAATGGTTTTTCAGTAGGTGATAATATAATTTATTCTCAAATAAGTTTGGTAACCTCTGATCTTATTTATCATATATGTATGTATATTAGAAGTTTTTCTTACCTCTGTTCTTATTTATCATACATATATGTATATACATTAGAAGTTTTTCTTAAGGAAGTGTATGAGCCCGTTTGTGGAGGCGTCGTGCGAGGTGACCGCGCCTCCCTCCGCTAACTCTGGTTCTATGATCTTTGCCAGCTGTTTGCCGAGCTCCACGCCCCACTGGTCGAACGAGTTGATGTCCCACACAACGCCTTGACTGAAGATCTTGTGCTCGTACATGGCTTGAAGGTAAATGACATTTATTAATAAAAAATATAAGGTATGGTCTATGATGATATAGAATTACTAGCTTTCCGCCCGCAGCTTCGCTTTTGGAGTTCGGTTATATCGCGTCTCCAAGAGAACCTTTCTAAAGTCTAGGATAAAAACTATCCTATGTTCTTTCTCAAGCTCAACTCCATCTCTGTACTTAATTTCATTAAAATCAGTTCAGTGGTTTAGGCGTGAAAGCGTAACAGACGGATAGAGTTACTTTCGCATTTATAAAATTGGTAGGGGTTGACTAGTTTTGTATGTGTGTCTGTGTGATTGTGAGTGTTACGTACGCGCTACATATTAAAAAATAAATGAACATCGCCGGGGCGACATCGTTGTATGAATAGAATATATAACGAGTGACTGCTGACTCCGCGGAACGAACACCAAGCCGTGTGAACCAGAAGATTCCTGATACCACACAAGCTATGGAATGGCATTGCTATACTAACATCGGGTCAATCATGTAGTCTTAGGTGTAGGTTATAAGTTTTAATATATAATTCTTATATATATTCATTGTGTTCGTGTGTAACATTAATTAATAATATATTCACCAATGAGTGCTCCTAGTGTGAAGGGTGTAACTTTCTTAACTACGATAGAGTTGGTCGGTCTGTTTCCGGTGAAGACCTTGTGAGGAAGGATCTTGGAGATCGCTTCCGGTGCCATGCCCGACTTGACGAGTTCCGCTTTAGCCTGGAAATAAATTAATATTAATTAAATATAGAAACAAAACTTCTCATCATTCAATATATTAACCGTGCTTGTGCCGGGTCCATCGTTGTAGAGAGGAGCTTCAAGAGTGACTGGGACTTGCGACCCAAGTGTAGGTTTAAGGGGCCCCTATCTAACAATGAAAATTTATCCACCAAAACAGGAAATTAACTCGCGATAAATCTATATCATATCAAATTTTCATCAATTAAACAATTATATTCATAATTTAATCACTTGGGTATTAGAATTATAACTTCAATTTCTTTTAACTAAACAGATCAATATTAATCCTTGATATGATTATTAGAAGATATTCATGCAAAATATGCTATTTCCCCCTATTTCTATTATTAAAGCGGAGAGATTTGTGACAATTAGTATGCGTACCCAAGCGGTCTCGTTTTAATTTATCTATATTTCTTAGTGAGAAATGTTTAAGGACTCAGGTATTATTTATCTTTAATGTATGTACTGTGTTATTGTTTATATTTATTACACCTGTGCTGTTTTTTTTTGTTTTTTTCTCCAATAAAATAAAAATAAATTGAATACATACCTCATCCGCTGTCTTTCCCTTCATGAGAGCTTCCGTCTGCGCCAGGAAGTTAGCCAACAGGATCTTGTGATGAACTCCAGATGAGATAGGGTTGTGGGTTTGAGCTGGTGCGATGAAGTCACACGGGATCAGTCTGGAATATGACGAAATATATATGGAAACTCCACTAAGAAAGAGAGGGCAGATCTGTACTTACTAAAAGAAGGAAACGGCACTAAGAGAGAGAGAGGGGAGATCTCTACCATCGACTTATACTAATGGACCTGCCTTAGAGATGAGAATTGTGGCACTCTGAAAGAAAGAGAGGAAACGAAGTTTCGGTCTGTCTTTATCTCTCTCAAATTTATATCCCGTGCTGGAAATGGAGACTGAGCCCCAATCATAAAAAAGATAGTGCTAGAACGAAAGCATAGGCCATCTCTCTCACTCTTTTCAAACCAAAAAATTACTGCAGATTACACGCGTACGGCATGTCCATTAGCATAAGTCGATGAATTCTACTTACTAAAAGAAAGAGAATATATAAGGATGAAAGTCATGTCATTATTATTAAATTTAAAAATGTTCCAAATAAGAACTCTATTAAGTCTAGACTATAACTACGTGTGTTATTGTTGTCTTATATACTAGCTGCGCCCCACGGTGTTACCCGCGGATTTCCGGGATGTAAAGGAGCCTATGTGTTATTCCTGGACGTCAGCTTCATATATACAAAATTTTATCAAAATCGCTTCATCCGTTTGAGCGTGAAGAAGTAACAAACATATACTCACAAACTCGCAATTATAATATTAGTAGATCATGTGTCTAAATTACCTGGTTCCTTGGTGCACTAGCTGATAGAATGCATGTTGTCCGTTAGTTCCCGGTTCTCCCCATACAACTGGCCCTGTACTATATTGAACCTTTTGACCGCTCCTTGTTACATACTTGCCGTTCGATTCCATATCACCCTGTTGGAAATATGCCGCGAACCTGCGAATACAGTAGTTATATATCATCTTCTACCTGGCAATTGCCCAGCTTTAGCCAAGGCCTTATATAATAATAATAATAATTAATTTATTAACACCCATAAAATAATGTACATAATTTGTTTTTTAGCTTAATAACTAAATCTAGGGTTATTACATTGTCGTCTTTTGTAGTATACCTCTGACTCTAAAACTAATATAAATTGTGATATTGTGAAGAGTTTTAGTGAATAGATATGTTGTGAATAGTTTTGACTATTGTTATAACCAGCCGCCTGCCTGACATCAATCATCTTTGGCAATGCATGATCAGTGATGTCTAAATACTATTAGAAAGTACATATGACTCGGAAAAATCACATTGGTACTTGCCAGGGTTGAACCCGCGCCCTCATGCATGAGAGGCAGGCCTTTTAACCACTAGAACACCACTGATTATATTCAATTATAATTAGTTCAAGTTACAGAATACCATATACAGGGTGACTGGTGAATTACTATCGATATTTAAGGACGTGATATTTGACGATCATATATGACAAAATAAAAATTAATATAACATAAATATTAATAAACTTCTAAGTAAAGTTAACCAAAAGTTATGTAATTAATTACGCATCGTGTGAACACCCTACAGATTAGGTATACACTGACACTCACACATACGCGTGTCGTGACGTGGTGTTGTATCAGCACGCCGCCGCACGCGTCCACACTTGAACACTTGGAACGTGTCAACACTTTACTTATTTATACGGAAATTTTGTCAAAAATTAAGTACCTATTTTTTTTACATAATTCGAATGAGAATCATGTACCGAGTATGCTCCTTAAATATTGATAGTAATTCACCAGTCACCCTGTATACAAGACCAGTTGTGTATTCTGAATTACATTTATAAAATTGTATATTGCTATTTTTTTACTTTAAATGAATTTGTAAAGAATTTGTGCTACCCTTGTCTATACATTATTAAAATTATGTATCTTATAATGTCTTTAAACGGCCACATGTTATATTTTTTATATTGCAAAGATATTTTTTAGAGCATTAAAGAATAGTGTTACAAGTGGCGCCATGTCATGTCGTGTACTAATTATAATATACTGTCATCCTTAGAATTATTCATATGACTGATTATATTTAATTATAATACTGAACCATTGTAATTTTGTATCGTCAACATTTAAATATCAATTGTATTTGTAAACTATAAATACTGGCTTCAGCCATTTTGTAAGACATTACTAGAAATAACGCTGAATATTGAAAAACAAATATGAAACTGTACTCGAACAGTAATTTCACTCAAAAATTTGTGATAAATACCTACATAGTATTTCAAGTAATATTATAAAATTGATAAGGAAAAGAAAAAGAAAATGAGTGAACCCGCATGATGTAATTAGTATATCACCTGTGTAAGTATTGGTCGTATGGTAAAAGTGCATGTGTTTCGGCGCCATAGAAATTTCCATACCACACACCAAGCATTGCAAGTATTACTGGAGCCTGAAATAAAATAAGAGCAAATGTATGAAATAAAAGTCATTTTAAGAGACAAAGCAAATTCATTTATACTATTGAAAGTTCTTATACATAATAGGAAATAACATTTTTCATGTTCAATTATAACCACAAAGGAATAAAATGATGTTTGAATATATAAAAGCTTACATTTTGTTCCAACGGTGCACTCATGAAATGCTTATCCATAAAGTGGGCGCCTTCTAACAGTTTCTCGAAGTTTTCGAAACCAATGTATAGAGATATTGACAGACCAATCGCCGACCACAAGGAGTATCTGAGAATAAAAAAAATATTTTTCATTAATAATTATATGAACTATGATAATATATACATATATGATTTTTAAACAGTTTAGCCCATACAAAAATGACTTTAAATATGTGCTAATAGGGCATAAAATAAGTTTTCTTTCCTTATAGAAACATTTCTTATGAGGTTCTTAAGAAACTCCTAAGTAGTTAGGGCCTGACATATGACAGACAGACTGGCATGTTTTAAATAGCTCAAAAGTAAATAAATGATAACTATTGTAATTGTCAACAATTAAAATTTTCAAAAATTTTTAACAATTTCCTTTTCTCCTAATTATGAGAAATAACAATATAAAAGAATTGTATCTATTTTGACCACTCTCCCCTTCAATATAAATACATATAATCTTTTTAATATTATATATATGTAGCAAAAAGACATATGTATATCTTATAATAATAAATACAAAATAATATTTACCTTCCTCCAACCCAGTCCCAGAAACCAAACATGTTTTTGGGATCAATACCAAAAGCGGTGACTTTCTCTCCATTAGTTGAGAGTGCTACGAAATGCTTTGATACCGCTGACGGCTGAAAAAAAACAAATAGTTCTTAATTAGACAAGACAGAAAAACACAAATAAAGTTATAAATTGTTCGAGATACAATTTCAGATATATTTTTCAATGGTCAGTGTTACTTTTAGTAATATCTTACAAAATGGATGAAGCCAGTATTTATAGTTTACAAATACAAGGTGAAACTTAAATGTTGTCATTAAAAAATTACAATGTTTCAGTATTATTAATTATAATTAGTCATAAGAATAATTGTAAGGATTATAGTATATTACAATTAGTATGGCACAGAGGGCGCAACTCATAACAATAATATGGAATCTCATTTCCCATAGTTGCTTATATAGCTTTAAAATTATCAGTATATATACATACATCTTTAGCTGAATTCAGGAACCATTCCTTAGCGGAGGTAGCATTGGTGATAGTTTCTTGTGTGGTGAAGGTTTTTGATGCTATGATGAAGAGGCTGGTCTCCGGATTCAAGCGTTTGAGTACCTCGGCCAAGTGAGTACCATCTATATTTGATACGAAGTGGACCTGGCATATTAAATAATATATATTAATTGTTATTAAAAGGTATTTCTTCATGTTATAGTACTTTTATAATATACTAGCTTTCCGCCCGCAGCTTAACCCGCGTGGAGTTCGGTTATATCGCGTTTCGAAGAGAACCTTTCAAAAGTCTGGGATAAAAACTATCCTATGTTCTTTCTCAAAGTCAACTCTGTCTCTGAACTAAATTTCATTAAAATCAGTTTAGTGGTTTAGAAGTAAAAGCGTAACAGACAGACAGACAAAGTTACTTTCGCATTTATAATATTAGTAGGGATTTTTGATAGTGTTACGTATTAGTTAAACTTGGACCATATAGTTAAATAAAAATATGATATCAAGTGCAATGTAGGTAGATAATTTATTATGTTAGGTTCTGTCACTCATTCTTGCTACTTAGCACAATACATACATGACAAATTTAATATACCTGTATTGAATACTACAGATAACAATAGTACCTAATACCATTTCATGATATGAAATTTATTAATAGAAACCCCGATTTCAGTGTCAGTATGAAGCTTTTAATTCATAGTACTGTTGAAAATAAATCATTTGAAAATATAATTTTTACTTATTAAATACTCATTTTTTATTACAATAGTATGTATTAATAGCTTGTATACTCTATAGTATTCATACCTTAAGATGATTGGCATAGGGTTTTAACGCCTCAGTTACCATGAGAGGGCCAAGATCTGAACCTCCGATGCCAATATTGATAACATCGGTAATACTTTTGCCGGTATAACTGGAATTTAAATTAATTGCTTAATTATACAATCTTGTACATGTATTTAAAAATATAAACAATAATGAGATCTAAAACTTTTGTGAATATTAATTTAAATTAAACTAATATTTGTTTATTTTTATAAACTACATTCTCCTGATGTTTCGGTTACTTTGCAGCAACTGTGAACACGGTTATTTCAATGTAAAGTTATTGTTATGTTCAAATATAAGCAATATTTATATATTCCTTTAAAGTAATTAAATTCAAAAGTTCATTGATGTTCAAACACAATGTTTTTTAGAAGTAATGCTAGCATTGATGATTTTTTTATTATTTATTCTCTATTTTGATAACAATTTGAACATTTAATCATCGTTAATTTAATTTTGATGATATAATTGTATGAATATACTAGGCTAGTTTCAAATAACATTGAAAATATATAAAGTTTTTTATAATTTTTTAGTTGATATAATCTATTTACCCTTTCCATGATCCGCTAATGACTTGGTTAGTGAATTCCTTCATATGTTGTAAGACACTGTTGACATCAGGCATGACATCTTTGCCGTTCACTAGTATGGGCCGATTTTCTCTATTACGAAGTGCTATATGCAGTACAGCTCGGTCTTCTGTGAAGTTGATCTTTTGACCTGAAAAACGATACCTTTATCAATTTTTGTAATTTTTTACACTTGTGTTTTTGTTATGTATTAATCCTTGCTTGATATTGTTAAAATAATAATATGATGTCAAGTGTAATGTAGGTAGATTACTTTATTATATCAGTTGCTGTCATTCAGTTTGCTAATTAGACATGCATACATTACAAAGTAAATATAGTTTTATTGAATACTACAGTTTTTGTTGAATAACAATTTTTTATATACTATAACTCTTCAGAAACTGCTTTTTTTAATATGTTTTCTAATATTAAGACTTATGATATCTGATTGTGTCAATGAATTGGAATGTATGAGAATCAATTAATTATATCACATTAAAAGATGATGTTATGCTTACAAGCCCTCAAATAAAAGATTCTTTTACTTCTTACAACACAATTTCTACATATTGAACTTAATTCAACTTTAGCCTTTAAAATACCAAGACCCTCTAAATTCAACTTATCTACTACTAAACTATTACTAATCCTACCTGAAAACATAGCATCTCTAGCCTGCTCCACATTCCTACTTCTTGCGAGCTGCATCAGAAGTCCAAACACTGCATCATCTATTCGGTTCTTTGAATAGTCTAACAGGATCTCACCATCATTCGGTGTTGGAATGCAGAGGCTGAGTTAGAAATATAAGCATTCACTTAAAAATGAAACTTTTAAAGTTATGTAGTAAGAAAAAATCTCAGTAAGAAATTAATTCTATAGCTATATACACCTCTAATAGCTATATGTTATATAAAAATTATATGATTAATTTAAATATACGGACATTTCATAATATTAAAAAAAAAGTAATGACATTGCCGTGATCTTAACGACCTTTCGAAAAGTGTGACAAAGTACATAATACACAATTTTTAGATTCAGCGAAAACTATCATAATCAATGTAATTTTAATTAATTAAAATTAATTTATTCATTTCTAACTTAAATTTAAATTATACTTACCTAAACTTTTTAAAGCGGTCAGGATCTTGTTGAAACAGTTGATAAATATTAATCTTCTCGGAGTTCGCAGAATAATAATCTTTCAGTTTTTTATACACGGGGTCTTCTAGCAAATTTACTTTGGGTTCCATTTTTAAAATACTTGTTTTTATTAGCAAAGAACTTTTCCGAAACTGCCGTATCAACAGTGTTGATAACGTATGTCCATTTGACATTTCAAAGACTTTTGAAGGTTGTTTGCGTTTAGTTTTTGCTTTCGATACTATATTATATATAGGGGTAAAACTAAACGTTTTACTTGTATAAATCCAATCATTATTTTTTTTTTTTTTTTTTTTATGTGAAAGGTGGCAAACGAGCAGACGGCCCACTTGATGGAAGGTGGTCACCGTCGCCCATTGACATCCGCAACATCTTGATGCGGATGCGTTGCCAACCTTGTTTTTTAGGGATAGGGAGGGGTGGGAATAAGGAAATGGTGGGAATAGGGAAAGGGCAACCGGCTTTCTCACTCATCAGACGAAACGCAGCCATTAGAGGCTACTTCACGCCGATCTTCTGTGAGAGGGTGGTACTTCCCCGGTCGAGCCAGCCCATGTTCGAGCTGTAGTGATTAACTACAGCTAGGCTCTACCACCTAAAACTTCATTATCATATATATTAAGTAATAAGACTTTGGAACTTCAAAACAATTTTAAAATAATCTTTATTTGATTGTATATTTTCTTGAATAAAATATCAAGTATTACGAAATCATGAATTTAACATATATTTATATTACACTAGCTGCACGCCGCGGTGCTACCAACGGATTTCCGGGATGTAAAGTAGCCTATGTGTTATTCCTGGACGTCAGTTTCCTGTATACAAAATTTTATCAAAATCGGTTCAGGCGTTTGAGCGTGAAGAAGTAACAAACATACACACACACAAACTTTCGCAATTATAATATTAGTCATCAGCCTATGAACGCCCACAGCTGAGCATAGCCTCTTCTCACGTGGAGAAGGTTTGAGCATTAATCACCACGCTTGCTCAAGACGGGTTGGTGATTTCAAACTTATAATTGTGAAACTACATATAAGTCCAGGTTTCCTCACGATGTTTTCCTTCACCGTATGTCAGTGGTGTCTAAATAATCTCAGAAAGTACATAATTATAATATTAGTAGGATATTAATTGCGAATTCTATTGTAATATATTGACGATAAATAATTGCTTAATATTTTTGTCATATAATTGTTGAGGTCTAAAGGAACCAAAGGCTTTATAGATTTTTTTTTACTTTTATTTTTCAGACTATACTATACTTCTGTAACTATTTGATTTTATTTGCACAATAACTAAATATTACAAATATAATATGAATTAATCCGTGTGAAATGGCATTAAAACATGTATGAAAGAAAAAAATGTCTTTATTAAATAACTCTCTTAGCACCGACACTCAAAATTTTGACAAAAAAAAATATAAAAATACATCCTAACATAGTCTTTATATGGTTACAAATATATACATTATAGTTCTTATAATCTACGTAATAAAGGTTATTATTTGTATCTATATATTAAACAAGACAATTTAATGAAAACATTACAGTATTGGTTTTTAAGATATATCTTCATACATTTCGTATTTAATGTATATCTAGTTATGAGTGGTATTCGATAATGTTTTTTATTACAGTGTTATAAAGACGCGTTTTCTATGTAATGCGACAGCGACAGCCAGCCACATGAGTGCCGCGGCTGCGTTGGCCGTGAGTAGTTGAGCGTGGATAGGGGAGGGGAGATGCCAGTGGAGGGGGAAATGCTTTTTAAGCAGCTCACTGCCGACGTAGAGGAATAACGCGTTCTGACCTGTTGGGAGAAGACGTTAGAGGTTAATTAATTATTATTATTATAAAATGCTTAATTAGTTAGTAATAGTAATGATAGTGGAAATTAAGTTGCTTTAATTATTAAAATGAAGTAATATTTTTCGGATTCGGACAACTGTGATCACTCACATCTTTATCAATAAATCTTAGTTTTTATCAATAACTAGCTGACCCGGCAGACTTCGTACTGCCTCAATCAAGAAATAAATTGTCTTATTTATTTTTTTGGTGTTTACCTTTAAGCCATAAATCTCCGTATTCTGAAGTGCGACAAAATGGTTGACATATCAGTTAGTTGTCAAATCTAATGTCAAAAAACAATTTGTATGGGAAATAAAAAAGCGCTGTTTTTAGGGTTTTCCCGGAAATTAATAAAAAAAATTCAGCTTTTAAACCTTCCCTGAACCTCCACAAACATTTCAAGACTATGACAAGATAAATCCGTTCAGTTGTTCTCGAGTTTTAGTGAGACCAAGGAACAGCAATTCATTTTTATATATTTAGAAGATAGAAGATAAAGCACACTTAGTATATCCGAAAAATATTAATTTCATTTAAATGAATAGTCGCAAAATCTTAGATCTCATTTTGCTTTAATTATTTTGTATAATTCTGCTTATATATTATATTATGAACAAAATTGTACCTGCATAGTACAGTGGTCGCCCACCCCACTTGTTCTTCAGATCAACCACGAAGTACAAGATGGCCTGGATGAAGAAGGCCATTGATGACGTCACCAAGCAATATGACACAGACCACAGGTTCTTGTTGACGGGGATGTACCCGCCATCCGAGAACTTACAGAGTAAGCCGCCCACCACGCCAAACATGATAGACCAGAAGACCCAGCGCATGATGCGGGCTCTGAAAGAAAATATATACAGGGTGATTATATATATGGTATACTTGGTCTTTAATATTTTTTTAGAACGGTAAATTTCAACTTTTACTGGTATTTGGTCGATTCAAAATAGCGACTTCTAGGACATTAATATAGGAAATACCACCAAAAACATATACATATCTAAATCTACTACAATCTTAAACCAAATTGATTTTCACTATCAACAATTGAATACAAAGCATTCTCTCTAGGATAATATAACTACTGAACTTTCTGCTTTTTTCATACTACCCTACTATATCATAGGTAATAAAAGTTTTTTCATACCTGGCGTGATTATACACGAGCATGATCCTAGCGGCGTGGGCCCCAGCTTGGACAACAAGGACCCCGGATAATATACCGAGAATACCTTCTGGGTCGTGAGGTACTTGAGTGTGATATATGTTCTTGAAGGTCCCATGTTGGTACAAGTGATTCGGACCGAGAATGAGCCTGTTATATAAACATATGATATATAGAATATATGAAAAATTAATCTTTTAGCATAAGTCATATACAGGGTGACTGGTGAATTACTATCAATATTTAAGGAGAATACTCGGTAC